TCCGGGGAGCTGGGCTGGACTTGAGTAGAGACGAGAGTCTTGGCCTTTGGAGTTATTTCTGCAGGAAAAGACACTGAGGGTTGGGTCCTGTCAGAGCTGAGAGAACACGGCTCTGTTCCAGAAGCAGCCTGGCTGCTCTGCCCGGGTGAGGGATGACTTTTTAATTCCCGTGTCTTACAGGAGGCAGACGGTCAGCAGCAGCTGGGAGAGGAGAAGAAGCCCAAACCACCCGCAGCTGCGAGTGCTGCCCCTGGCACGTGGCTGAGCAAAGCCGTGAAGGTGAGCCCTGGCGCCGGCAGAGCCCGCGGGTGGCCTCGGCCAGCTGGGGCTCATCAGCCCCTGGAGCCACCGCAGAGCTCGACGCGGGGAATACGAAGGAAAAACAAGTGGTTTGTGAGGGAGGGGAGGAAAAAAAAAAAAAAAAAGATGTGGCGGAAAGATGCTGGAAGCGACCACAGGATGGCAGCAGGTCCTGAGGCGACATCCCGCCAGGAGCGACATCCCCGGGCAGCCCGGCTGTGCCAGGTGGAGCTGCGGAGCCTTCTGCCGGGAGAGGGGCGGGAGAGGCTGCTCGGAGTTGGGCTCGAGCGCTGCCTCGGCCAGGAATCTGCCTTGGAGCTGTGGGCTCCATCCTGGCTCGTGTCAGAGCTCCAGGGAGGGAAAGCCGAACTGCTACGGAACATGGGGAGAGGTTTGAGTGTGGGAACATTGAGTGCTGAGACACACACAGGGTACTCTTCCCAGGTTTTTCCACAGAAAAGAGGAGAGGACGAGGGGTTAAGAGGTGTCAAGGCAGGGAGCCCAGTGTTGGTACACTTTGGGGTTCTGGGGGCTGTCCCATCTAGGCCTGGTGTCCATCCTGCCCAGCCAGGCTGGCTGTCCTGCCCCAGGGAAGAGCTGCTTCCTCTGTTCATCCCTGCTCTCTCTCCACAGTTCGAGAAGTCCCTCTCCACATCCTGCCTCATGCCCCCGAAGGGCGTGCAGAGACCTGGATCCCCCTCAGCTGATGAGAACGACTACGGGCTGGATCTGAACAGTGACGACTCCACGGATGACGAGAACGACCCTCGGAAGCCTGTCCCTGCCTGGGCCGACGGTAGGTGCTGGCTCTGGGCTCCTTTTCCTTCCCAGCCTCACTTGGAGCCATCCCAAGGCACAGTCCAGGAGTGTGTGTGCAGCTCCAGCAGCGCTGGGTCCATATGCTGACGGATCAGCGCCGCTTCCTGCGAGGGTTGAGGCAAAACCAGAGTTCCTCCCACCTGCCTCTTGTCCCCTGGTGGGGGGAAGGAACGGGGATACAGCCCTGTTCCCCAAGGAAAGAGCAATGCCCAGCCCGTGGGGTGAAGCAGAGCATGTCCATGTGCGTGATGTGTCATTCCCCCAGGGGCACAACTCCACCAGGCTGTCCTGCACCAGTACTACCACCCTGTGGATGTGGATGCGCTGTTTGGGGCCATCCCCAGTCCCCAGCTGGAGCACATCTTCTACAAGAGCAAGCCCCGCTACTTCAAGCGCACCAGCTCGGCCGTGTGGCACTCACCGCCCGGCCCCAGCCCCTCCTGCGTCCCCCAGAGCTGAGCCGAGAAGACAGGAAAGGGGGTTTTAGGGCACTTATGTGTGTTTTACTTATCCTGTATTTACAGTTTTAACCTTTATTTAATTTTATTTTTTTTTTAGTTACAAAAATAAAAGTATTTCATGAAATCCAACATTCTCTGTGTCCCTTTTCTCCTGCCTTGGTAGCTGATTCCAGACCGATAACTGTGTGGGCCACTCACTTCAGAGGTGACTCGGTGACCCCTGGGGGCCCCTTCCAACTCAGAATCTTCCCTGATTCTGACTTAACTGTGGTTTCTGCGAGGCAAAACACAGAGAAAGGTTATGCCCTGCTTCCTATTCCCTCAGGATCTTCCCTCACACAAGAAAGCTTGGAAATTGCTGTAGGGAAGACTAGATTCTTTTAGTCACCCTGAGGGGACAGTGTTTTCACAACCCTATTTCTACATGTTTACTATATTTATGTATATCTCTATGTATGTATATAGACAAACATCTCTTGTATGTCTATACACATGTATAATCTCTATGTTTACCATCCCTATTTATTATGTGCAAGTCCTCTTCCTTCAAGAACTTCTGTGCCCACCTAGTACCTGGAGCCAGAACCTTTTTCCTGCTGTTGGAAAAACTTTCCCTGGACAATTCAAGCAGTGGCTAATGCCTCCTCACCCTTGTCTTCTAATGGAAAAAGGAAGCCTAGGCTTCCTTTTTTCTGAGTCCTTTTTTCCCAGGAGACTTCAGTGTATGGCCAGGCTTGGGCAGGAGGTGGGTTTATCTGGGAATGGGGGCTTGGGAAGGTTGAGGGGGGTGTGACTGTTCCCGGGGGGCTCCTGCCTGGGACCAACAGCTTTGACTTCTCCGCAGCAGCAGAGCTACGACCATCCCTCTCCTTCCCTCCTCCTCTCCCAAGACTGAACACACAGGGATTGACTGGAGCAGTGATGGACTGCAAGAGATAAGGCCCTGGCTGTAAGGCAGATTTATGGAGACAGAATCCTTGGAGCCATCCCGGCTCTTGGGGACCTGCTGGAGCACCTGCCTCTGCAAAAACGAGCTGGGAGCCCTTGGAGCGCTCACCCCAACAGCCAGCGCACGCCCAAGGGGGCTTTTGTCCCAGGAATGCTGTTTAGCTAGGGCTGGGATAGCGCAAGGGCGAGGTGGGGAGGGCAGCCAAGGTCCCTCCCACCTCGGAGGTGAACACCCCTGGCTCCGTCAGGGATGCTGCCCTGGTCTGCGGCGTCCACGTGGCCGTGTCCGCAGGGGGTTTGGCGAGGCGGGATGGGAACCTTTGCTGCAGTCCAGCCTCGGTAGGGACAACTTCCCGGTTAATTTGCTGCCAACAGAACCTGGAACACCGGGGGAGTGGAAAAAACCTCGGCGCCAACAGCTGCTGGGAGGAAGCTGCTGCCAGCTCCGGCCTGAGCGCTAATGAGGTGTCTGCGCTGCAGCTGGTTCCGGGGACTGCGCGCAGCTCCCGCAGCTCCTGCAGCCCCTTGGGAATGCGAGCCTCGAGCTCCTGGAGCTCACAGGAGCTCCCGGGAGCCTGAGCCTGGAGCGGTGCCGGTTAATGCCACCCCAGGAGAGGCGGCTGTGCCGTCTGTCTGCCAGCACCGCGCCGGGGAGGATCCATCCCGTGGGATGTGAGGAGCAAAAGGCCCCCAAGCACCGAGATCAGGGCTGCTGGTGCCAGCTGGGAAAAGGAGCAGCTCCGTGAAATTAGCAGGAGATAATTAAGCAGGGATCCCCCAGGCTCGGGCAGGCTGGATGTGGAAGTGCCTCCTTCTCAGAAATGCCAGAGCCGTGGTGTTGCCATTTTCCCAGAGCAAACTGTGGGCATTCCTGCAATCCCACAGGGCCGTTCTCCAGTGGGAGGGGGCAGATGGCTGAACCCGCTGCACCCCCCCAAACAGAGAAGGGAAAGGGAGTGTTTCAGCTCACATGGAGCAAAAAAATCCATGTCAACCTGAGGCATTTTTCAGGGCTCTGAGCACAGCAGGGAGACACGACGGTGCTGGTGCTTCCCTTGGATCCCAGCACTCTCTTTGGATCCCAGTGCTCCCTGTGGATCCTAGAGCTCCCCTTGGATCCCAGCTGCCTCGTTTCTCCCCTCTGCTGACACGTCATCTGTTTCTGTTTTCAGCACCCGGGAACCCCTGATTCACCCCATCCCACGGGGATGCTTCCCAGGGCCGGGAGAGTGCGGGAGGGCTGGAGACCGGGGCCGGGAGGGGGCAGGATGCCACCCCTCTTTCTGCTCCTCCCCTGCCGGGTGCCTGGGCCGTGCAGGTGCGGGTCCCCCTGCCTGGGCAGGGGCTCCCTGGGGTGGGGCCATCTCCGCCCGCCGCCGTCTCCCTGGCTCGGCGGCTCCGCATCCCGCTCTCCTGTTGCTCAGAGATGTGGAGGCAGTTGCTAAGAGACACCGACACGTCAGTATCTGGCCCTAAGGAAAAAAGAGGAAAAAAAAAAAAAAAGAGACAGAGAAAGAGAGAGACAAGGGAGGACGAGGAGGAGGAGGGGAGGAAGGAGGTGGGGAAAGACCTGCTCCCATCACCAGGCTCGCAGCAGCCTTGGCCGCCGCTACTGGAGCCCTGCTCCCGACTTTGCGGCCTCCAGGGTGTGGGTGGCCGCTGGGGACCCCCACATCACTCCCTGGAGCCCCCCACATCACCATCCAGGACCCTCACATCATCACAGAGAGCCAGGCCCTGCTACCCCCTGGCCAGTGAGTACCCCGGGGGGCCCCAGCCCTGCCGGAGGGACTGGGAGGCTGTCGCAATGGGGATGACCGGGGGAAGGCGGGGTGGTGGGAGAGGATGGAGCTGAGAGGGTGTGGGCAAGGGAGGATGGGGCAGACGTGGTCAAGTGGTGGAGGGTGAGATCAGGCCTGGGGGGACCCCGGGTGGGTCCTGGGCATGGAGGTCTCTCCCCAGGAGGGAGGTGGGGAGGATGCTCCCAGCACTAGGCTGAGCTGGCGGTGGCATGGGGTTGACAGGGGGTTGGCGGGAGGCTGGGGAGCAGCGCCTCCACTCTGCCCACCCCCAGCCACGATGGGCTGGCCAAGGTCAGAGGGGCTGGGGGGCTCTGTTCTGGCAGAAATCCCCAAGGGGGCATTGGAGGAGCAAGGTGATCGTGGCACGAGGGGTGTGGGAAGGTCGTGGGTGCCCCACAGGCCACTCCATTTGCACCATCTGCGGCCTTCCCAGCAGGGACGTGTGGCCGGCACGGCTTCCTTCCGCCCCTCTTCCTCACAGGCAGCCAGTGACAGCCACGCCGGTGCCCCCAGCAGTGTTCGCGTGCCCGCCGGATGCCGCCGGGACGGCGGGAGCATCGCTGTGATCGCTGCCAGCCGGGCCCCGCGACCGGCCGCCGACAGAGCCCTCGGCGTGAGCGGGCGGGCGGGATGGCCTCCGGCGCCCCGTGAGGGCTGGGGCCGCGAGGCCATGCTTCTGGGCCCCTGGCTGGTGGCGGCGGCAGCGGTGGTGGCGGCGGCGGCCGGCGCGGGCTGCCCGGTGCTGTGCAGCTGCCACGGGCAGGCAGTGGACTGCAGCGGGCAGCGGCTCTTCTCCGTGCCCCCCGAGCTGCCGCTGGACACTGGGAACCTGAGCCTGGCACACAACCGCATTGCCAGCATCCCACCGGGGTACCTGGGCTGCTACGGGCAGCTGCGCGCCCTCGACCTGCGCAACAACTCGCTGGCGGCGCTGCCGGCTGGGCTGTTCCGCGGCGCCCGGCGCCTGGCACACCTGGACCTCAGCTACAACAACTTCAGCCTGGTGCCCGCCGACATGTTCCGTGAGGCCAGCGGGCTCCTGCGCCTCGACCTCAGCCACAACCCGGGGCTGCGCCGTGTCCACCCCCAGGCCTTCCGCGGGCTGGCCCAGCTGCGCGAGCTGGACCTGAGCTATGGTGGGCTGGCGGCCATCAGCCTCGACGCCCTAGAGGGGCTGCCCGGGCTGGTGGGGCTGCGCCTGGGGGGCAACCCCTGGCTCTGTGGTTGCACCATGGAACCCCTCCTCAAGTGGCTGCGGGGCCGCATCCAGCGCTGTGCCTCAGGTAGGTGCTGCCGGACCCTCCGACCCCTGTCCCCATCCCGGGGGCTGGCAGCCGGTCTAAAGCCGTGTCCCCCATCCCGCAGATTCGCAGCAGGCCGAGTGCTGGGCTCCCCCTGAGGTGGCAGGGGCCCCCCTGCTCTCGCTGACGGAGGAGAGTTTCCAGGCCTGCCACCTCACGCTGACACTGGACGACTATCTCTTCATTGCCTTCGTCGGCTTCGTCGTCTCCATCGCCTCAGTGGCCACCAACTTCCTGCTGGGCATCACGGCCAACTGCTGCCACCGCTGGAGCAAGGCCAGCGAGGATGAGGATGTCTAGGTACCACTGCCGCCACCGCCGCCGATGGACTCCCCCGGCTACCCCCCGGCCCGACCACCCCCGCAGGGACACCGGACTGTGCCTTGTCCTCATCCCCTCCCGCCGCCCCCTGCGCCAGGGTGGCCCTTGAGACACCGGGGACACCAGGGGACAGACCCGCTTCCTTTTGCCCTAAAATGGGGAGGTTTTAACCCCCCGCCCCATCACCATGAGCTGAGCTTGGACCCCCCTCCTGTTCCCACTGCCCAGGACTGATGGAGGCAGCAGCTCCAAGGAAGCAACCCCCCAGCTCTGCTTGGGAGAGACCTCAGAAGCTGTGTGTGCCTGGGGAGGCTGAGGAAGTCCCTGCTTGCAGCCCCAAAGCAGCACTACTGGAGTCCCCCAGATCCTGGCCATGCTCTCCAGTCTCCTCAAAATTCCAGGGGGGCAGAAGGTGGTACTGGCACCCATCTTGGCACCAGGGAACACCTGTGCCTTGCTGGTGACACCAGGAGGTGCCAGGGCATCACCAGACCACCAAGCCTGGCGGTGGGACAGGCTGTGACATCTCCCAAATCCGGGATCTCCTGGGGACAGCCTCTCCCTCCTCTTCAGGGCCAAACCAGGCACCCATTGCCCAGCCAGGGGGAGGGTCGGGAGGCAAAAGGAGCATCAGAAAGGGGAAAAAAAAAAGAAAAGAAAAAAATAGAAAAAAAGCAGAAAGCCAACGACCCTCTGTCCAACTGGGGCAGCCACGTCCCCAGTGCCTGTGTCCCCTATCCCCAGTGCCTGTTTCCCCCTCTCCCCCCCATGTAGGTTGAGCATGCTGGGGAAGGGGGGGGGCAGTTTAACCCCAACCCACCCCTAAAGGGCTGCAGCTGCACCCCCGACCCCTGTGCTGCCCCCGGGAAGGGGCACTTGGCCTCTGCCTTCTATATTTTCTCTAGTTTTTTATTATTTTCCTCTTGGTGAGTTCTCCCCATCCCGCACCCCCTGCACGGGCACTTCCTCCCGCGGCCACCTGGGGGCACCCAAAGCACGGGGTATCCACCTGCATCCCACCGGCTCCTTCCTCTGCCTCACCCTCAGACTCTTTTTCTTTTTACGTTTATTTTTATTGTGTTTCTCTTTTGTTTCTCTTTGCCTTTTTACTTGATTGATTTTCTCCCACTTTCCTTTCCATCCCTTTCCGTCCCTTTCCCTTCTATTCCTTCCTTTGGTTTCATCTTACCGACTCTCCTCTTTTCTCTTTCTTTTCTTTTCTTTTTTCTTTTCTTTTCTTTTCTTTTCTTTTCTTTTCTTTTCTTTTCTTTTCTTTTCTTTTCTTTTCTTTTCTTTTCTTTTCTTTTCTTTTCTTTTCTTTTCTTTTCTTTTCTTTTCTTTTCTTTTCTTTTCTTTTCTTTTCTTTTCTTTTCTTTTCTTTTCTTTTCTTTTCTTTTCTTAATTTTATTTTATTTCTCTCTTCTCCCCCCTCCCGCTCTTTGTACGTTTTGTAACCGCGGGTTTTGTACCACGGGGCACTTTTTCAGCGCCGAACCTCGACAATAAAGAGCATCAGCGCAGCCGGGGCCGGGTCACGGGTGTGTGGCAGGGACACGCGCGTGTGTCAGACACACGTGTGCACGCAGCCACCCGTGTGCGTGCAGGGCACAGGCGACGGCCCCCAACCTGCAGAAAGCATCAGCCCTGCTTTTCCCTCCAGCGCTTCCTGTTATTCCTCCGGCAGCATCTCCCGGCCCCGGGGGGGCCCAGCTGTGGCCACCGGGTCACCTCCCTGTCGCCCCCTGCCCGGGACCCCCTCCCCGCGGGGGGGGATTGCGGGGCCGGTCCCGCCTGGCCGGAGCCCGGAGGTCGGGTAGCAGCTGTGCCGTGTCCGGCCGCGCCGCCGGGGAGGGGTGGGGGACAGCGGTGGGACAGGGGTCCCCGGTGCCCACCCCCGGGCCGTGCCGGGCGCTGGAGGACCAGTGGTGACGGCTGTGGGGGGCCCGGGGCACCCCCGAACCCTGGCACTTCCCTGCATGTCCTACCATATGTCCATCCCATCATCCATCCCTCTACCCACGCACCCGTCTTTCCCTCCTTCTCTCCCAGCACATCCGTCCATCCATCCATCCATCCATCCATCCATCCATCCATCCATCCATCCATCCATCCATCCATCTATCCACCCCATCCCCACCTCCCTTCCCAAGCCTCCCACACACATCCAAATTCTCCCTCCCCACACCACTTTTCCCCTCTTCATCCTGCCCCACCGTCCCCAAGCCCTGCGGTGTCACACAGGGACCCTTCGGACCTTCGGGGGTCCCCTCAAACGCGTGGAACCGGCCACCCACGGGTGGGTCATCCAGGGCTCGGTGTGGCGAAGACACACTGGGGCAGGATCCCCCCCAGCCCCCCGAAATGCCACCCCCGCCAGCCGCCGCTCCCACCCCGCAGTGAGTTTCTGAGCCCCGCGTGTTCCAAAGCTCCGCCGCGGCTCAGGCAAATCCCAGTTTTCCCGGCACAAACGGGAGCTGGAGGCCACCCCGTCACGCGTTGAATCCCACACCCCCACCCCCCACTCCCCACCCCGCCTCCTCCCACACCGTTTGCTTTGGGGCGGAAGGTGTGAAGGAGCCCGAGCCGGGCTGTAAACACGGAGGTCACTTCAAAGAGGACGCCCGGGGACATCCTTAGCACCACCAGATTATTTCGGCACCCTCGGGCGGGATGGGGGGAGGAGGTGTTGAACATCCCGTTTGGCAGCTTAGAAAAGCGGGGAGGGGGGGCTGAGGGGGCTCCCTGGGGCAGGGGGAGCTGCCCCTCATCTCGTCCCCGCCCCTGACCCCCATCCCCCCATGTTCCCCTACCAGAGCCCATTTTTAGCTCCAGTCAAGGGGGTGTGTGTGGAACCACCTCTTTCTTCCCAGCCCCACATCTGAGGACCCCTGGCTGTGCCCCCCGGCTGAGCTGGGACCCACAGCATTCCCAAAGCATCACGTTTTGTGGTTTGAGGGTTCCCAGACACTCCTGGGAGCACACCCCACATTCCCTAAGCACTCCAGGGTTCACAGAGCATTGTCTTTTAGGGATGGAGGGTCCCCAGACTCGGCCAGGAGCACACCCCTTGCTCCTCAGCCATCCTTTCCAAGGATGCTCCCCCCCCCCCCCCCGGCCCTCCTGTCCCCCCTCTATCTTCCCTCCTCATCTTCCCTAGGAACTCACAGGAAGGCAACACCTTCCTTATCTCCTTCCGACGGGTGGTCCGGCCCCACTGTCCCTCACCCCCAGCTCCGGCCTTGTTGTTTTCTGGAGTGTCCCTGCGTTTCTCCCCAGAGATTCCTCAGCCAAACATTTCCTTCCTGGAAGGGAAAGGGAAATCTCCAAGAGGCGGATAGAAAGTCAGCAGCTCCGTCTCCGCTGGCCGGGCGCCTGCGGCTGTTTCCATGCCTGGCGGCTGCACCAGAGGGGGAAACAGCAACCCTGACACCCCCACAGTGCTGGGATACTTGGGTTGGGGTTGGGGTGGAGAGATGGATAGAGGGAGAGAAAGGAGGATGGTGGGGTGGAGGGGTGGAGAAAGAGAGGGAGAGCAGATGGAGGGAATTATGGAGGGAGGGAAGGACAGAATCACGGAATCAAGGTCAGAAGAGACCTTTAAGATCATCAAGTCCAACCATCAGCCCAGCACTGACACTGCAACCCCTAAACCACGGAGGAATGGGTGGATGGAGGGATGGAGGGATGGAGGAAGGAGGGGACTGTTGGATTGATGGATGGACATCTGGATTGACAGATTAGTGGTATCGAGGGGTCTCTCCAGGGTGAGGGAGGCTGGGCAGTATCTGGAATGTAAACACATGCCGGGATGCAGCATTCCCACCCCTTTAAGTCCTCCTGGCCCTTAGATCTAACTAGACCCACTGAAAAAATCCCCAAGCAGGCTCCCACCCCTCCAGGTGGGGGGTTTGTGCAGCCCCAGTCCCCCAGCCCCCCCCCAATTCCCTCTCTTTGGACAAAGGACCATCCCTGCGGGGGGGGCTCCAGTTGATGGCCCCCAAACACTGAGCGGGCTGGCAGGAAGGCAGAGGCAGCCCCTCCCCGACGGGAAGCCTCCCAAGGAACCCAGTAATGATCCTACATCCTTGCCAAGCGAGAACAAAGGCTGAGGAGACAGGATAGTTCATCACCAATAAATGAAGGATGTAAATAGCAAATAGGGGGAAGATTTATTTCGAGCAGAGCCTCAGGAAGCGGCAGGGCCTGTAGGGGGAAGTGGGACAGGAGCCATTTGGTGGCTCATCAAAATCCTGGTTGAGGTGAGCCAGGGTCCTGCCCAGCATCCAAATCCCCCCCACCAGCACCCAGGGGGTTCAATGTCCCCCTCCACACCCAGGGGTCCTGTGTTCCCATCCACGCCCAGGGGGTCCCATGCCCCCATCCCTCAGGTTTGGGTATTTCACAGCATCAGGTCCCGTTTCCACCCCCGGGTGAGTCACCCAGGACTTGTCCCTCAGATAAGGATAAAAGCCTGAAAATGGGATTTGATGGGACAGAGCAGCCTCCTGATGCAATCAGAGCTCTGAAGCTGGGGCAGGCAGGCACTCGCCCCACAGGACCAAACACCCCTATCCTGCTGCTGTGCTGCTCCAAAGGTTTGGGGTTTTTCCTACATTTCTCAAAGTGTTGCTGGGGAAGAGACCAGGGAGAGTCTGTCCCAGACTGGAATCCCTACCAGTGTCCAGGGGTACCCAGGAGGGGCCACGGGTAGCTACAGGGTGCAAGGACCCCCCACAGTGCACCCCCCTCCCCACCCCTCACTCATGGACATGCTGAAGCCCAGTTGCAACCCCCATCCCTCTGTGACACTCCCCATTGTGTCCCCACCAGCCCCCCCCGAGGGAACTGCGCACACACTGCTCCTTATTTAACCAAAACTCATTTATTTGACACAAAACACAAAAGGGTGCTGGGGGAGCCACCCCTACCCGAGCCCCCCAGGGGCTCCTCCTCGGCTCTGCCCAGCCCCTGCCCCAGTTTCCCCTTCCCGTGAGCAGGGCTTTCCAGAAGGGGGTCCCCAAAGCAAGCCAGGCTCTGGGGCAAGGTGGAGGTGGGGGGTCCCCCCAAGGAGACCAGCTCGGGGGGTGCCGGGGGGTGGCCGGGGAGGCTCAGGCAGGGAAGAGCGTCTCCTGGGTGGTGGGGTCCAGCTTGCCCCCTGGGCCGGGGCCCCCCTTGCCCCCGGGGGGGTGGCTGTGCCCTGAGGAGTAGCTGGCAGAGCGCTCGGGGCCGGGGCCGGGGGCCCGGCAGCACAGGAGGGTGGCGCAGGCATGGCGAAAGCGGGGGTCGAAGAAGGCATAGAGGAAGGGGTTGAGGCAGCTGTTGATGTAGGCGATGCCAGTGCAGTAGGGATGCAGGTTGTTGAGGAAGGTGTGCAGGGCGCAGGACCAGGGCAGCACCTGCAGGTCCATCAGCACATAGAGGGTCTTGACCAGGTGGAAGGGCAGCCAGCAGCCCCCAAAGGTGGCCACCAGCACGGTGATGATGGTGAGGAGGCGCTTGCGCTTGCGGAGCCCCTCGGCCCGCTCCCGGCGAAAGTGAGTGGCCACGGTGCGGGCGATGAAGAAGTAGCAGGTGAGCATGACGGCGAAGGGGGCCACGAACCCCACGGCGGTGGAGGAGAGCCCCAGCCCCACCTCCCAGGCGCCCTCCGACCCCAGGGCCTCCAGGTCCGAGTAGTCCATGTAGCAGGTGATCCTGGAGTCCTCGCTGAGGGCGGCCGCCCGCCGCAGCACCAGGGCCGGCAGGGCCAGCAGGGCTGCCAGCGACCACAGGGCCACGGTGGCCACCAGCCCACTGACCCGCAAGCGCAGCTTGGCAGTGGCCAGGGGCCGGACGATGGCCAGGTAGCGGTCGAAGCTCAGCCCTGTCAGGCAGAAGACGCTGGCGTACATGTTGACAAAGACCAGGTAACTGCTGACCTTGCAGGCGGCTGTGCCGAAGGGCCAGTGGTAGCCCAGCCAGGTGTAGGCGGCCCAGAGGGGCAGGGTGACCACGAAGGTGAGATCGGCAGCCGCCAGGTTGGCGATGAAGGTGTCGGCCGAGCGCCGGCGGTCGCAGCCGCCCTTGAAGATGGTCCAGAGGACCAGCCCGTTGCCGGCAGTGCCCAGCAGGAAGACCAGCAGGTAGATGGTGGGCAGCAGGGCCAGTGAGGGGCCCCACTCCGTGTACTCGCAGTACGTCTCGTTGTCACTGTAGGCGTAGGCGTCCGCAGCCTCCTCCATCCCGGCGCTCGGCTGGGCTCGGCTCAGCTCAGCTCAGCTCATCCCAGGCTCACCCACTCCTCCAGCCCCTGAGCCACCCTGTAAGTCCCACCGAGTTACCTCCCCTTCCTCTTCCCCGCCCTCCTCCTGGATGGGATGGACAGGACAGGGAAGGAGCAACGGATGGCTGGGGGGGAGTCCCCCGTGGGAAACTTCACAGCTCCCCCCACCTCCATCTGGCTCCTTCCTGGGGGGTTTTACCGAGCTCTCACCCACGTGTCAACACACCGACCCCCGAGATAACCCTGTTCCCTGCCACACCTGGGGGGTCTGGCCGCCCACCACGATGGGATTTGGAGCTGGGATCAGGGCAACAGTGCTGGGAGGGGCTCAGGGCTGGGGGGCTCAGGCCCGGGGGGGGCCTCAGAGTTCTGCCAGCATTTGGGGTTTCACCTCAGGGTGCCGCATTCGGCGCTGGGGTGACACACGTTGGGGTTGCATTTCACAAGAGCACTTGGTGGCAGGGGATCACACTGAGGGGGTTCACACTGGGTGGAGATGCACTGTGGGGGGGTGCATTTGGCATTTTGCATTTGGCACTCAGGAATCCCTATTTTGCTCCTGGGTTTGCTGCACTATGTGCACGCAGTGGTGGCTCCAGGGGATCCCCCACTGCTGGGGCCCCATTTTGAACAAAACATATCAGGGAGACTTTTTTAGGCGTTTACCAAAAATTCAGAGCAGGGGGTTGCTCTGGGACCACCCATGCTGCAAAAGGCCCATTTTAGGGCAGCAGTTGCCACAGGACCAGCTGCCATCAGAGCCCCCAGTGCATCCCAGCTCCACAGGTCAGTCACAGAGCTAGGCACAGCAGTGCCTTCAGCGTAGCCAAGAGAGAACAGATATCCCCCCAACCCACAGATAAATCCTGGGGGGAATGGGGTCAGGAGGGAGGCCCCCTGATGGTGGGGCTGTGAGCTGCAGTTGTTCCACTGGGACTGAACTCTCACAGTTCCAGCTTCGGGGAAAAGCACCAGAGAAGCCAGACTTTGCAGAATGAGGTCTGCCCTAGGGACACGCTCTGGAGTCTGGGCTGGAGCCTGGGCTGAGGGGGGGCTAAGCTGGGCTGAGGGTGGATTAAACACAGGACAGACTGTGGAAGGGGCAGGTTTAACACCTGAGTGCAGAGATGGAGGCTGGGGGGGGACACAGAACTCCTCAGAGTCACAGTGGGGCCCTTCTCCCAGCAAAGGGGTGTAAAGGAGAATTTGAGGGGGAACTTGGGGGGAAATTCAGTGATTGAAAGGGGGGAGCTCACAAGAGTCTCCAAAATGAGTGGTCTCAGGGGGGAAAGGGGCTGCTAAATGGGGGTGCCGGTTGGGGGGGCCCCAGAGGCAGGGACATGGCAGCCACTGAACCAGACACTGAGAGAGGGCCCACAGCGTCAGCAGGGAAAACAAGCCAGGGCCTAATCAGGCTGGAGATAAGGAATGAATCCATATCCAGTGCTGGGACAGCCAGCCTCAGGGCAGTGAGGAATTAAACCCAAAAGCTGCTCCAACTGGCAGCAGAACCCTGAGGGTGTTCAGTTCTGGTTAAAATGCCAAGTTTGAATAAAGAAGGGCTGGAACACCCCACTCCCCAGTGCAGACTAATTAATGCTAATTAACAAGGAAACCCCAGCGCTGCTAACGAGTCACACCTGGGACCACAGCAAGGCTGCCCAAGCTGCTCCTGCCATGACCAGAACCCCATTAGTGAGCAGCACCGTTACTGAGCAGTGTTATTAATGACTATTAATAACAATCCCAGCTACCTCTGCCCCATTGGATCACAACACATGCATCCATTTCCAGGCCCCACTCAGGCATCCCTCTGCAAAAGCTGGGGGACTGAGGGTCCAGGTCAGTCCCTCACTGACCTGGTTGCCCTCAGTGCCATCCTGGTGGTCCCAGAGCTGGGGAAGGAGTCCCCCTGGCTGGGTTTGTGGTGGCCACTGGCAGTGGATCAGTGGCCAGGGCTGGACTGATAACAAGCCCACAGGGCTGATAACAAACCCCGCTGTCTACAGCAGGGGGAGGGGAGGGGGCTGGGGGGGGCTCTGCAAAAGGAGCTGCTCTCCCTCTGTCCTGGGACCCTCATTTCCCTGACTCTGGCACCAGCATCTCTACTGGGAACAAGCCAGGTCATGGCACCACTGCTGGCTCTGAGGGGGACTGGGGTGGGAGCCCCCATGGGGGTGGGATGTGCAGCAAGGCCCCCACAGGCAGGAAGGGCAGCACTCGGCACTGCACAAGGAGGGCTCCGGCAGCTTCCTCCAAAGCCGCAGGAGTTACATCCGACCAGGGAAGCAACACCCCTCGGGCACGGCTCCTGTCCCTCTGTTCCCCCTTCCATGGGCTGTGCTGGGAACAGGCAGCCCCAGGGTGCACTGTGGGCACAGAGCTCCTCCTGCTGGCAGCCCCTGCACGGTGACCCCCATCCCACAGGGACCTCTGTGAGCCCCAGAGAAGAGCCAGGCCCTCCGGACTGACCAGCGAGGTTTTATTGTCTGTGGCAGCAGCACCACGAGCCGGACCCGCCGCCCTGTGTCTGGGGCGATACACGAGCAGGGGTGAGGGGAAGGGGGAGGTCGTGTCCACCCCCAGCCCCCGGGGGACCGAGGGGATGGGGTACAATGCGGGGCCAGGCAGGGGGAGGAGGTGCTGGGGGGAACGGGGACCCTGCGAGTTCGTACAAAGTGCATAGGTGTGTGTGTGTGTGTCCCCACGGGAGGGGACAGCCCTGGTCACTGGACAGCGGCCGTCGGCATCGGGGAGAGAGCCTGGAAGAGACACAGTGGGGAGGGGCTGAGGATCCGCAGGGATCCCCAGGGGTGACAGCACACCTCCCAGGGGTGACCCAGGCTGGGGGTCCTGAAGAAGGCAGGAGGGAGGGAGCTGCCCCCCCAGCAATACAGACTCCAGAGACACAGGGACATCTCCCACTGAGCCACCCCATCCATGGTGCCACAGACTGCCCTGCCTTCACATCCCTCTCCAGGCACCCAGGACGGACAGCCCTGCACACAGGGCACACGGCGAGGCCCTAGCCAGGGGGATCCGTGCCCAGCATCCCCCCAACTCCCACACTCACCCGCTCAAGGCTTCTTCCTCTTCAGCTTCAGCGCCTGCAGCCAGTGTGGGGGGGAGGCCTCGGATCTGGGGTGTTGGCACAGCATCAGCACCAGTCTCCCAGGACCAGCCTGGGGACCCAGACTGAACCTCCCCAGCCCCCCTTTCGCCCCCATGAGGGTCCTGGCCCTACACTCACCCTGACGATTTCTCTGGCTTGGGGGGCAGCGCTGGGGGTTTCCCACTCACACCAGGGATCTTACAGGACTTGGAGCGCTGCACGTGGGGGTCCTTGGAGGGGGTTCCCTTGCTGTCCCCTGATGATGTCCCCTCCTCGGCCGAGCGGTTGCGGCCCCTCAGCTTGGCCTGGGGGCAGAGTGTGAGCTCAGGGGGGCACACAGTGTTCTGCCCCCTAAATCCCCCCACTGCCTCCTCCCTGCTTCAGGCAGCCCCCACCCTGACTCAGCTTCCCCACCCCGGTTCACCCCCCTACCAGGGGTCTGGGGGTCCCACCTTGATGGCGGAAGCGCTGAGGCCGGGGAAGAGGGGCACCTTGACCCCCCTGCCCAAGGGGGAGCCACGCACCCGCCGGCTCCGGGGCTCCTCCGCTGCCTCCTCGTCGGAGGACACTGCTGGGGCTGGCCGGGGCTCTGTGGGGACAGGGACAGCACCACGGTGACACCTGTGCCAGGACAGACGCCCCGCTCCCCCCCCCGTCCCCTCTGAGCTCACCCGTGGAGTCGCAGAAGATCCAGCTGTCCCCCTCGGGGGCGGTGGGACGCAGGGCTGGTGCCCGGTGCCGGCGCTTGCGGCCCAGGCTGGCCTTGCTGCGGAACACGCTGCTGTCCAGGAGCTCCGTGTCCTGCCGAGCCCATGGGGCATGTCAGAGACGGCAGGGTGAGCCCCGGGACCCTTGGCAGGATTGGGAGCTGCCCCCTCCCCACTCACCTCCAGGAAAGGGAACTCCTGCCCCTGCTCCATGGGCTCCTTGGGCTGGGGGGTGCCCAGGGAGAGCCGCTCCTCCCCCCAGCCTGGGGGGCTCTCCCCATCTGGGTGGTCTGACGTGGGTTCCTCAGTCCCTGTGTCCACTGGGATCCCGCTGGCAGCCTCCTGCAGCAGAGAGAGGGCCCCGGGGCTCTGCAGGGCAGTGGCATGCTCTGGGAGGTCTCTCTCCTCCTCGGTGGGGCTCAGCAGCTCACCCTGGGAGGTCTGCAGAGCTGGAGGATCAGCTGGGGCATCACCCATCGGTGGGCTGGGGGCTGAAAGACGGAGGCTCCTGCTTGGGAGACAAGACCCCAGAGTTGCTCCAGCCCCAGATAATACAAGCCCTGCTCATGTCCCAAAACCCCTCTGTCCACCTCAGAGGAAGCTGCTACCTCCCTGCCACCACCAGTGCCCTCCTTACCTGTCCTCTGTGCCGGTGTCCCCTCCCAGGCTCCATTCCCCGGTGCTGCGGTCCCGGCTGCGGGCAGCACAGCGGGCACCAAAGGCACTCGCCCACTCCTGGTGCTTGGCCTCGGCATCCTGTGGCTCCACGCTCCAGCTCTCCAGGTCCTGACTCCAGCGGGCATCGCCCGTGTCCAGAGAGAGGTTCCTGTGCCAGCCTGCCAGGGACTGCAGGCCCCTGGACATGGCACTGTCTGAGGCTCTGGTGCTGCAGGGGTCTGGCACCCACTCTGTCCTAATGCCACCAAAGTGGTTGTGGCAGTCGCCTCCTCCAAGCTCTTCAGCCCAATCCCTGCTATCAGAGCTGTCATGCTCCTGCTGGTGGGCACTGCCCCAGGTGGGCTTCTGGGCTGGGGGATCAGGGCAGAGGGAGCCAGAAATATCTTCCTCACGGACCCCGACAAGCCCGGCCTGGCCGATGCTGCTCTCACTGGAACAGCTCAGCTGGCCCGGGATCAGCTCCTGCTCTTCCTCCATGGAGATCACAGAGCTGTGCTCCCCATCCCGGACTGCTCCACTGGGGCTGAACTCCCTGTCCTGGGCCTCCACATCCCTGGTGCTGGACCTGTCACCCCAGGCTGCTCCACTGGGGCTGAACTCCCCATGCCAAGTCTCCATGTCCCCAGTGCTGTGCCTATCATCCCAGGTTGCTCTGCTGGGAGTGAAACCACTGTCCTCGGTCTCCATGTTGCTGGTGCTGGATCTGTCATCCCAGGTTGCTCTGCTGGGAGTGAAACCACTGTCCTCGGTCTCCATGTTGCTGGTGCTGGATCTGTCACCCCAGGCTGCTCTGCTGGGGCCGAACTCTCCATCCTGGGTCTCCAGGTCCTCGCTGGTGCACTCGCTGGCTTCAGCCGGCCGGCTGGGGTGGAACTCTTGGTCCTGGCTCTCCGTGTCCCTGCTGCTGGATTTGTCATCCCAGGTCAGCCTGCTGGGGGTGAATTCCTGATCCTGGCTTTCCACGTCCCTGTATTCACCAGTCCAGGCCGGCCTCCTGGGGCTGAACTTCCTGTCCTGGCTTTCCATGTCCCTGATTTCACCAGTCCAGGCTGGTCGGCTGGGGCTGAACTCGCGGTCCTGGCTCTCCATGTCCTGGGTGCTGTACCTGTTATCCCAGGCCACTCCACTGGGGCTGAATTCCCGGTCCTCGGTCTCCACATTGCTGGTGCTGCACTCGCTGCCTTCAGCCAGCTGGCTGGGGCTGAACTCCCTGTCCTGGCTTTGTGTGTCCCTGTATTCCGCAGTCCAGGCTGGCCGGCTGGGACTGAACTCCCGGTCCTGGCTCTCCATGTCCCGGGTGCTGTACCTGCTGTCCCAGGCTGGCCGGCTGGGGCTGAGTTCTTTGTCTGGGCTCCCAGTGTCTCCAGTGCTGGATCTGCCAGCCCAGCCCAGCGTAAAATACTCATCCCTGCTTCCAGGGGTGCTGAATTTACTGGCCCAGTCCGGGGTGAGCTCCCTGTCCTTCATCTCTGTGTCCTCGGTGCCATACCTGCCCGCCCAGGTGGGCTGCCCAGAGTCGAGCTCTTCTGCGCTGCTGGCACAGCCCAGGCCATAGTCTGGGCCCCACTTGGCTGTGCTGCCACCGAAGTCTGGATCCCGCAGGCAGCTCTCCCCAGCACTGAGGGACTGGGACCAGTCGCTGCCTCCCAGTTTGGTGTCCCCCATCAGCTCCGTCCCTCTGTAGTCACTGCTCCAGCCCTCACGGGCAGCGCCGAAGCACCCATCCGGCCTGACCCCAGCACTGTTGCTGTGGGTGCTGTCCCAGCCGGATTTGGCCCTGAATTCCTGGTCCTGCTTGGTCTCAGCAGGCCAGTCTCTCTTCCTGGACACAGCCGGGCAGCTCCAGTCAAAGGTGCCAGCCTGGCGCGGGCGGCAAATGCCAAACTCACTGCACAGGTCCTTCCGCGACCAGCCCAGCAGGTCCTGGAGCAAAGGGGGAGAGGAGTGAGAAGGGTTAGAGGGGAGCACAGCCCTGGCTCCTGCAGCAGCAGAGTTGGGAAAATGGGGAGAAACACCCTGGGGTGCCCAGGGACATGGCACAGCGGGGCCCACCCCGAAGGGAGGCCAGACCCTGCCGCCTGCCCCTTACCACACGCTCCCACTTGGCCTCCATCCACCCACTCATCCCATCCTGTCCTGTCCCCTCCCATCCCACCACACAGTGATGGAGGAGCCCACTCCATACTAACCCCACAGAGCCCCCCGCACCCCCTCACCTCCGGTGGGCCATGCCCTGTGGTGTGGGCCCCAGGTGACGCCAGTAGCTCTGTCAGCCAGCCCGGGTCGGCATGGGGGTCAGGGCCCTGTGGGGGTCCTTCAGCCTGGCCTGGCCCCCCAGGGCCCTGCAGGTCTTTGGGGCTGTCACCTGCCCAGGCCAAGTCAGCCAGAGGGGCTGGATCTGGGGTGGCTGGATCTGGGGGCACTGGATCTGAGGGGGCAGCTGTGGTGGTGCTGGGCTGGGTGGGGGGCTCAGGCTCAGCTGGGTCCCAGCCAGGCTCCATCACACAAAGTGGGGACTGGGACCCAGGGGCGCCTCGCTCTGCCTCCCCTTCCTCCTCCTCCTCTGTCAAGCCCTCAGCCTCTCGCTGGGCTACAGGACCCCCTGGGCACGGGGCCCCCTCTGCCCCACGGCTGTCAGGCCCTTCAGACCCGCTGTCCTCCGGCAGGCTGGGGGCTGCAGCCTCCCCTTCCGACTCGCCGTCTTCAGAGAGCCCTGAGTCAGGCGTCTCTCGGATGGGGGAGCGGGGGGGGAAGGCCGGCAAGCGTATCCCCCGCGACGGGAACGTCCACTCAAAGGACTGGGAAAGACTCCAGCCGGACTCACTGCCCAGGGAGGGCTCAGACAGGGGTTCTCCAGGCCGGGGCAGGGCACTCAGTGAACCTCCCAGCTGCCCCAGGCCCTGCCCCGTGGGCGGGGACTGCAGCACCCCCTCTGAGGAGCGCCGGAGTCCCACATCCCGGGGAGGGGAGCTGAAATCGGGACCCTCGTGGGGCTGTGGGGACACTGCGGAGTCATTGGGTCCCTCTGGGGAGCCTGGGGGACAAGAAGCTTTGGCAAGGGGTGGGCTGGGGGGACCCAGGTACTCTGCAGCCGCCTCAGGAGAGCCAGGGGGGCAAGTGACTCGGGGGGGCAGTTCGGGAGTGCCAGGGGGGCTGGCAGTGTCAGGGGATCCCTCCCCAGGAGTGTGGGGGGAGCCAGGGGAGCGGGAGGTGCCGAGACGTGGTTTGGTGGCCGAGGGAGCACCTGGGGCCTGGATGGAGGGGGCAGGAGCCCCAGCTGGAGGCTGAGCGGGGGATTCAGGGGAGCCAGGGGGCAGTGTGGGGGAGTCGGGGGCCAGGAGCTCAGCAGGAGCATCAGGAGAGCCGGGCGCCGGGGCAGAGGGCTCGGCAGGCTGGAAGGGAGCTCCTGGGGCTGGGGTTGGGCAGGTGGGGGGCCTTGGGGAGCCTGGGGGTCCGAGGGCCCCCAGCTGGAGAGAGGAGAGCTGTGGAAAGAGCCAGTGGGAGGTCTTGTCACTCAAGAGACACCTCCAAGCATCATCCACCCCAAACCTCCAGAGGGTCCCTCCCTCCAGCCCCGCTCCCCTCCCTGCACCCGGGGCAGGAGGTGCGCATGCTGTGTGCCAGCACCAGGCTGCTCCTGCGTGACTCAGCCTGGGCGGCTCCTGGTGCCCCAGCCCCGCTCCCGGCCCGGCCCGCCACTGCCCCCGGAGCACCCAGACAGATGGAGAGGAAGAAATGAAGCAGAAGGAAGTCAGGACCCCCCAGCCCAGCCGCCTGCCTTGCCTGGGGGTGGCATCCCCCTGCCTAGCACCGGCAGAGTTCACCCTCATGCCGGGGTGACCCAGGGCCACTGCCCGGGCTGTCACCCGTGGTGTCACCGAGGCCTGGTGTCCCGGTCACCGCCCCGAGCAAGTGCAGTGGGGAGAGAGGGACTGGCAGGGAGCCCGAGGGGCCTGCCCTGCCACATACCTGCTGGGTCACCAAACCCCTGCTGGTGACTCACAGCTGCTCCCTGCCCACGCCTGGCACTGGTGCTGGCACATGCCACCCCTACATCCCTGGGCCCCATGCTGGGGGCCCGGCGCAGGGGGCACTGCACCCCCCCGGAAGGGGTGGCCAGCACCCCAAGGAGAAAGGAGAGACACGCACCCTGCAGAAAGGGAGCCCCGGAGGAGACAGGAGAGCCCCGAAGGAGAGAGCCCAGGAGCGGAGCCGCCACGGAGCCGGAGGGCGAGGCCAGCACTCACATCAGGAGGGGACGGTGGCCTCCGGTGTCCACGGGGGTCCCCAGCACAGCACGGCCCAGCTGGGGGGGAGCCGCTGCGGAGAGAAACAGGGAAAGAGAGTAAATCCCACTGTGTGCGTCAGGGCTCCTCTCCCCATATCCACTGACGCGCCCTTGCTCCAAACCACCCTCCATGGCCACAGGGGGCCAGGGTCAGGCCCTGCCATGGCTGCACGCCGGGCCCCTGGCTCGGGCTGCCAGGGGAGGGAGGAGAAACACTCCCAGCCCCTTTTCTGGAAAGTTTTCAGTCCTTTGGGAGTGAGTTTCTCACACTCTGGTTCAGAGCAGCCCCCGCCCAGCTCTCCCTGAGGTGCCCAAGCTCTCAGGAGCACAGCCAAGCCCTGGCTACAGCCCAGGACATCCCGGGGCTGGGAGTCCCGCTGATCTGCCCACTCCTTGTGCCTTGGCATGGCCCAGCAGGGAAAAAATAGTGAGGCTGGGAAAACAAGAGTGTTTCCCGGGGGAGCAACCCCCTGCCCAATGGCTGGCTTGGAGCCCACCCACAGGGCTGCAGGCAGCTCCTGGTCCAGGACAGCCCGTCCTGCAGTTGGCACCGGCTGCCATGGCCTTCCCACGGAGGCAGCTCGAGGCGCTGCGGCTCAGGAGGAACCCGGGCCCTGTGCCGGCGACCAGACCTCAGCTCCGTTACATTCCCAGCCCAGGATGGCTCGGAGCAATGTCCCATGTTCCCACGTTCCCACTCCCCCTGGGGCTCATCTCTGGCCCCTCACCTCGTCTCAGCCATGGAGTGTCCATCATCCTCCATTCCCAGCTCGCCCGCCGCAAGTCGGGGTGTGTGGGGGGCTTCACCAGGGGGTTCTCCATCCACCTCCCCGCTGGGACGCTTCCGGAAAGCAGTGAAGGTCTTGGAGCCGAAGCGGGAGGAGGGGTCGGGACAGAAGGGCGAGAGCCAGGCCCTGTCTGGGCTGCCCGGACCCTCCCTGCTGTCCATCTTGGCCAGGATCTCCTCCACAGTGGTGCCTGGGAAGCGCTCCGGCCTGGCGGCCACCGGCACCGGCGTCACCTTGAAAGGTGTGGGGCCCTTGCGCGAGGGGGTCAGTGGGGTGGGGGGCGTCTCCTCCTCAGCAGCTGCCACTGGGGGCGACGGGAGCCCCTTCCCGTTGGGGGTCTCAGGTGACCTGACAGTGAAGGAGGGGCGGCGGAGGGGCCCCCCCGTGCCACCCCCGCTGTAGGGCTGCGGCCCAGCCAGGCGGTTCATCTTCTCGGCCGAGGGCAGCTCGGGCCGGGGGTGCCGCGGGCCCGGCATGGGGGGAGGCACCGCGGGCTTGGTGGGCACAGCCGGCTTGGGCAGCACGCGGGGCTTGGGCCGCACCGGTGGCTTGGGGCGCGCAGTGCCTGCGGAGAGCCAGGGAGGGGGATGGGGTCAGGTGGGGCAGGGTGGCCCCCCAGGCAGAGAACAACAGCAAACCTCCCGCCCGTGGCACTGACCTTTGTCGGGGCTGCCGGCCAGACCGGCCCCCCCAGTGCCAGCAGGGGTGGCGCAGGGCACGGCAGGGCGCAGGGGCTGCGGCTGGGAGGCCATGGCGACGTGGGGGGCACGGCAAGGGGTCAGCCCCTGGGGAGAGAGGAAGGAAAGGAGGAGTGCTTTGGAGATCACCCCCTGCACGGGGAGATCCAGTGGCAGGCCGGGGGTGCCCAACCGCCGCCCTCCAGCCCTGTGCCAAGCCCCATCCAGTGGTGCCAAACCGCGGTCACGCCACGGTAACACCCTTGGTACACTGGCCTTGGCTCACCTGAGCCAGCCTGGCACGGGCAGCGCCCCAGACACCGTCCCGATCCCCCACCACCGTAACCACATGGAGCCCCTGCGACACTCTGGGCGCCGTGTGGCCGCTTCCTTACCTGCCTGACCCTGCGCTAACCTGTCCCAACACACACGTGTCACCCCCACCGACCTCTGCCAACCCCCGATGGCCGATCCAGCTCCCAGTTTGCCTCAATCCCTCTCCTCAGATCCCCGCCCTGGCCACCCGCCGCCCCCCCCGGGCCCCCGGCAGCCCCGGAGGCACCGCCCGACCCCCCGAGAATTGCCCCCCAGCCCCATCACCGGGGCCGCGGGTGCCCTGCTCACCTTCCCCACATCAGCCTCATGTCCGGGGCGGGCCGGGACACACGTGGGGGCGCAGGGCGGGCGGGGAGGGGGGATTACCGTCCCCACGGGTCTCACGCTGCCGCCGCCGCCGCCTCTCCCGTGACTCACCGGGGCTGCGGGGACAGGAAAAACCCGCTCGGTGCCTCCTCCCGGCCCTGCCCTCCCTCCCTCCCCTCCCCGCCTCACTCCCTCCTGACCCCGCCGGGGTCCAACCCCCACCCCCAGACCCCCTCCCTTCGCCTTCCACGGGGAAACGGCCGCCACAACGCACATCTGGAAACGATCGGGCCCGTTTCCCAGCCCGGGATGGCGGCGGGGCCCCGGGATGCGGGCCCGGCTCCGCCGGGGTCCTCCACCAGCGCGGCCTATGCCCGTTGCCACGGCAACGAAGCCTCCGCTCGAGTCGCCGAGCAGGCCACGACCGCGGCCTAGCGCCATCCCCATGACAACGAAGCCCCTCACCCAATTCAGGGGTCCCGCGCCCGTGGCGCTCGCCGGGGCCGAAGCCGCGGGGTCCCCCGGCGGGCGCCAGGGGCCCGGGGTGATCCCGGTCCCCCGCAGCCCCATCCCGGCAGATCGACCCCCTCTCACCCTCCGCCGCCGCTGCTAATGCATATTCATGAGCGCCACCACTGGCCACGCCCCCAACGACAGAGGGGGCGGGGCACAGCGGCGCCGCGTGGCGGGCGGATCATAGAGAGGAGCGGCCAGAGAGTCCTTCAAAATGGAGCTGGGGGGACACCCCAGAGACCTCCAGGAACCCCCGAATGACCCTCAGGGCGCGGGGACGGGCAGCCAGGACCCTCTAGACACCCCATGGACCCCCCTCCCGCTATAAATTATCCCATTCCGCGGGTCCTCCAACAGTGAGGCCTGCGGCTGGAGTGGCAGCAATGAGCACTGAGGTGGGGGTTGCCATGACAACAGCACCCCACAACTCCACTTGGGGGTCCGGGGTCCGTTGTCCCCGCCGGGAACCCGCGGCTTTGGCCCCCGGTGGGCACAAGGGACCAGGGGGTCTCCTGCTTCCCTGCAGCACCATCCCAGTGGTGCCAGTAAAGGCTGTGGAAAGGCGGGGAACAGGCAGGCACGGGGGTCCCCGAGGGGCTGGTTCCAGACCGGGAACTGGCCGCAATCAAACACCGGAGGGGAAAAGGGACTTAATCGGATCAACCCATTCATGAGGGAGATGGAAAAACCCCCAAATGGCATCAGGATTGAGCGAGGGGCCGTAATTAGGAGTCCTGATGGCTGAGCAGGGGCTGGGGGCCGCTAATGGAGGGTGGGGAGAGAGTGAGGTCAGCCCTGGAAGCGGTTCAAGGAGGGGAACAAGCTCCTGGATGGCTGCGGGAAAGAAGGAGGGATGGGGGGAACGGGCCCCGCACCCACACAGACGCCCTCGACAGGGTTTTTTTATTCAATCCAAGTTGCCATGTGAACGGACTCAAAATACAAAAAAAAACACCACCAAAAAAACCAACGAGTGAAGGAAAGAAAAGGAAAGAAACCTAAGTGTTTAAAAAAAATAAATTGATGAGGAACAGGAGTGAGGGGGTGCTGAGGAACCTCCACCACCTCCTGCCACCATGGGGTTTCGCACCCCCAGCCAGGCACGGGGGGTTGGGGGGGATGAGGGCCCCCTGACTCTGTTCCCGGGGGAGAGTCATCTGGAGCCCGGGACCCCGGTCCCTGCCACGGGGCCGGCCCGCCCCGTCCTCTTGCCGACTTGGGAACCAGCCTGGAGCCAGCCGGGATGGGGCTAATCCGAGCCAGATGCCGAGTCCTCCGAGCTGGGGGGTGGGCTGGCAGCCCCCTCCTCCTCCGAGTCCTGCGGGCAGGGCACATGGAGATCAGCGGGGCACAGGGAGGGAAGGGCAGAAATCCCCACTCCACCCTCTTTTCTGTGCCCCCACACTGGGGACAGGGTAATGGTAGTGACTTGAGGACACCCCCAAGGGATGTGACTGTGTACTGCAGACATGAGGTAGGAGAGGGGCCCAACTCCTGCAGAGACCCCAGAAAAGAAGGGCTGGGAACCCCCAACCAGGACCCTCTACCTCCTTCTTGCTCTCTGCAGAGGAGCTCTCGTCACTGGACACAAACTCCTTGCTCTTGAAGCTGTCGCTCATGCTCTTGGACGGGGACTTGGAGGATGAGGACTTGGAGGTGGCACCTTTCTTGTCCCCTTTCCCCTTCATCTGCTTCTCCTGCTTCTTCTTCTTCTTCTTTGACCTCTCCCTGTGCCGTGTGGGGAGAGAAGCGGTGTCACCTGGCTGGCAGACCCCCAGCTCTGGCGAGGCACAGGGCAATAGCCTGATCGGGGGGGGGCCAAGCCCTGCCAGCCCTGGGCCCAGCACACTCACCCCCTGTGGCTGTCGGCCTTGCTGCCCACACTATACTCCTTCATGGCCTTCTCATAGTCCCGTCTGGCATCTTCCGCCTTCCGATCCCACTCCTGCAGCCATAGAGCAGAGTCAGCAGGGCCCTCCCTCCTCCTCCACCACCCCCAGCACCCACTCACCCTTCCCCTTCCCAACTCCTCCCAGAAGCAAGGAAGGGTCCCCCACATCCAGCCTCCCCTCCCAGACCAGGCCCAGCTCTGCCACTCAGGGGAGCAGCCCAGTCCTCCCATCCCTCACCTCCTTCTTGTCCTTGGACATGGTCTTCCAGAGCTCCCCAGCCTTCTTGAACAGGTCGGTGATGCTGATGCCAGGGTGGTCCGACTTGATCTTCTCCCGGTTGGCATTCAGCCAGAGCATGTACGCCGACATTGGCCGCTTGGGAGCGTTGGGGTCCTTCCCCTTCTTGCTCTGGGAGGTCGAGAACACCCGTGGAGCCCCAGCACACCCGTCACCCACCACCCCAGGGCCCCGCTCGCCTCTGCAGCCCCCCAGTAGTGCAGCAGCCCCTCACCTCCTGCTGCTTCTTGCGGGGCTTGCGGTCCTTGACGATCTTGGCCTTCTTGGCAGGTTTCTTGTCGTCGCGGTCGCTGTCGCCGTTGCCGCTGGAGGAACTGGCTGAGGCATTGCTGTCAAACCTGCGCGGAAGGCACTGGCCTCAGCACCCAGCAGGCAGCCAGACCTGCCCCCAGAGGCTTCCCGAGCCGGAGCTGGCGTGTGCTCCTCTTAACAGCCCTCAGGGGAACCGCCTTCCACGAACACGGCTCACCATTTTCCGCTTCCTGGACACTGGGGGCTCAGCTCCCAGCCCCCCCCACTCCCACCACACTGCTGCAGGGACCACATCCCCACCCACCCTCAACCCAGCTCATGGCTTTAGCCCTCCTCCTGCCATTCTCTTTCCTGGCCAGAGCAGCCAAGGCCTCCCCAGGAGCCCCTGATTCCTTCTGCAACTGCCTCACACTGCCTAATGGTGTTACAACAGAGCGAGCCCACAACTGTCTCTGCTGCCTGACATTCCCAGATCCAGGGCTATACAAGGTGATCCCAGCCGTGCTGGGAGCATCCCCCAACAGCACCTTCCTAAGGCCCTTCTGGACAGAGCCCTGCCCAGCCTCTACTCACTCTTCAGCCACATCATCATCCTCTTCTCCAGGGTTGAAGGACTCATCTGGAGAGAGCAAGGGATCAGCATGTCAGATAATCATGGGAGAATGGAGCTGGAGCACCACACCAGCCCCACACAGTCCCCTGCAGCGCCAGCCCTCACCTGTTTCCTCCCCGGATCCATCGCTGCTGTCGTTGGCATTCTCCTCCCGGATCTTGCCCTCCTCCTTCATCCTCTCTAAGTAGGCGTCGTGCTGGTCCTCATCAGAGTCGGCATATTCATCGTAGCTCTGCTTCATTCCCTGTGGAGAGGCGGGATGAGAGCTGCTCCCTGAGCACCCCCTGCACACCCCCCACTCTGAAACACAGCCCCTGGCATGGCCCTGGGCACGCACAGGGTGGAGGATGGACACAGACATGTCCCCTCCTTCCCCACCGTCAGGGCCCCGGAGAGAGGGGCAGAGCAGTTATGTGGGTTACGGGGGCCCTCGCACACCACACTGGGGTTAACCAGGTTAGTCAAGGACCACCACGGCCATGCACAGGAAACCTGCACCAGGAGGAGGAGGAGAGAGAGGAAGGGGTATCGCACGGACCTTTTTCCTCTACAAGGGCAAGGAGAGAAAAGAAAGGTGAAAAAAGGAGGGAAAAGCAGACGGATTTCGGGAGAAGGCAGGTCCCGCACAGCAGGTACCTCCTTCAGCCCCCGGTTCTTGATGTTCAGCTTCTTGGCATTGACAAAGTCGAAGAGCTTCCCATACTCCTCCCTGCAGGAGAGCTGTTGGTCAGGTCTGGGGTGCCAGGGAGCCCCAGTGGGCACGGCCAGGCCAGCCCCAGAGCCCACAGCCCAGAGCCCACAGCCCAGAGCCACCTCTCGATGCTGCTGAAGGTGTACTGCGTGCCCTGCTTGGTCTCGATCTCGAAGTCGAAGGAGCGGGTGGTGGTGGTGCCGCGGGCGAAGTTGACGAAGGAGATCTCATCGAAGCGGATGTGCACGGGCGGCTTGTGCACGTAGATGAAGCCCCTCTCCAGCGGGTACAGCAGCCCTGAGCTGGCCTTGTAGGAGCAGGTGATGCACTGGGCTCCGGAGTGTCTGTGGGGCAAACATGGCTGTCCAGCACCCGCGGGGACAAATGGTCTCCCTGCGCCCACCCTTGCAGCTGAAGGACCAGTAGCCCTGCTTCCTGGCACAAACCACAGAGAGCCCCTTCCCCCCAGCCATGGGAATAAGAGGGAAAGAGAGGGACTGGGCCTGCAGCCACTCACCCCTGGAAGTTTCCAGGCACAGTGATCTTGCGGTTCACCAGTGCCTTCATCACCCGGCTGACCATCTCGTAGAGAGACCCCGACATGTTCTTGGTGAGCCGCCCCTCAAAGCGCTTCTCCACCTCCTCCCTGCACAGCCAGGAGGGCAGAGGTGAGAACGAGACGCCAGGGGCTTGGTACCTCCCTTGGGGTCTGGGTTGGGGGGCCTGGGAAGTGGCCTGGCAGCAGGGCAGCTCACTCATTCATGTTGAGTGTCAGGGAGATGTCCTCATCCTTGGAGAATAGCAGGATGAGGAAGTGGTATCGGGTCTGACCTTGCTTTATCGGGGGGTCCAGGCTAATCTGGAAAGAGAAAGGGAGGCGAGGACGTGAATCCCCCTGACCCACCCCTCACCCCGCTTCCTGTGGGAGGGCTGACCCCTTCCCGCTCACCACAAAGAACATCTGGCGCTGGTCCTTGTGCGGGAGCAGGAAGAGGCGCAGCACGGTGGTGTAGGGGATCTTGTAGTCGAAGGTCTTGCCGTGTAGGTGCAGGAAGGTAGGGTAGATGCGGATGTCGTAGCGCCCGCGTGGCGTCAGGCACTGCAGCTCCCGGAAGATGCAGATGGCGTCGCCGGTGGCCTGGATCACGTCTGCCTTGGACAGCACGTTCTGGGCGAAGGCCTGCGAGGGACAGGATCACAAAGGCGCCCTCGCTGTCACCCTGACCCACCCCCGGCAGCCCCACGCACCTCCACGGGGTCCACGCCATCCTCCTGGGTGGGCGGCACGTAGAACCGGACCTCCATGAGCGAGACCTCTGCGTCGTCGTTCTGGTGGAACTCCAGTGTCACCTCGTTCTTGCCCGTGGTGCACTGGGACACGTTGCTGAGGGGGATCTCAAACACGGGCTGCTCCCCGATGTCGAAGGACAGCAGCTGCCCTGCGGGGGCCATCGTGGCCGGGTCACAGCTGCGCCCCACGGGGCAGGTTCTACCCACCCTCTCCCAAAACCAAGCAGTGCCTCTGCTCTCCCCACCATGTTCCCGCCCTCCCAGGTCTCCAGGCTTTCTCCCTTCTGGCTGCAAGCCTGGAAACTGGCATTGATCAGAAATAAGTAAGAAACTGTCTGTCCCCATGTCCTCCAGCTCAGAGCAGGGAGGACATCCACCAGCTCTCTTGGTTCCTTTGGGAACTGGCAGCTGTGCCAGGTGCTCACAGCTTCCATGCTGAGTACTGTCTGCACAACGTTCCCCTGGGATTTGGGACCCACAGGTACCTTCTACTCTCTTGAGATGGCAAATGTCCTTGCAGCCCCCAAGGCAGCTGCTCCCAAGATGATGCCAGGAGCGGCAGGGCCAGCCACAGTGGTGGGAACAACCCACCCCACAGCCTCGGGGCTGCCCCCAGCACGGCAGTGCCAGGACTCACCTCCAAACCTCACTGTGCCCCAGTTCCAGCCCTTCACACACAGATCCTTCTCCGCCAGCTCCAGGCAATAGTGGGCCTTGAAGAAATCCGAGAGCTTGTCAAACTCCTGGGCAGGGCAAGAGGGAGGAAACATCCATCAGGAACCACCACATGCCAGCAGGCTCTGCCCAGAGGCCCCCCAGGGACACAGGGGAAGAGAGCTGCCCCGGGGCTTGCAGGGAGCACGGCTGGATCCGGGACAGGGCCAAGGCAGTGGGGAGGGGGACTCACCGACTCCCGGAACCCATCATACTTGTAGACGTGGCCGTTCTTCGTGAGCAGCTTAAGGCCGTGCCCCAGCGCCACGCGCCGCCACACGCCCTCGGCCAGCTCTGAGGCCTGGATGTTGTCCACCTTGCCCGTCTTGCTGTTCTTGAAGATGACGCCCTGCCGGCTCAGCCGCAGCCGCCCATCATTCTGCGGGACAGCCGGGCCTGAGGGGGGCACGGGAGGGATCCCAGCCCCTCCATCACAGCTCCTCACCACACAGCGCCCGCTCCCTCCTCCCACCCATCAGGTTCGTCCCCACGCACCCCTCCCCGGCTCACCATGGAGCCCTTCACCTCCTGGTAGATCTCATTGAACTCCAGCGTGTCGGCCATGGTGGCTGCGAGGCTGCTGGGGCACGGGAGGGGACGAGGACGAGCGCACAGAGGGGATCAGCGGCCCCCCCAGCCCGGCATGCCCGGGGCAGCAGCACGGGCGTCAGTCAGAGCGGCTGCGTGGTGAGGGGGGTAGATCGGGTGAACCGGGCCGTCGAGGGGCCCCTTGCCCTCCCCAGCTACCCCAAAACCAACCCTGTGCCCCGCAAACGTTCCCCACGCCCGCCCCGACGCTGCCTCTCGGGGTGGCACATTATTCATTCACGGGAGCGACCTGGACACCCCCGGCCCCTCACACTCCTTCCCCAGATGTTCCACCCCCTGTGCCCCCCGGCCACCTCTGTGTCGCCCTGCCACCCTCCGTGTGTCCTCGCAGTTCGTGGGTCCCTCCCGCCGCCCGCCCTCCTCTTCACCGGAGTGACCTCCCCGCACCCCAAATCCCTCCGGGGCCTAAGCTCGCACACGTCTCCCCGGACATCCCCCCGACCCCAGGTCTGTCCCCCGCCCTCCTCCCGGGCCCCATCCCCGGCCCCAGGCCCGTCCCGCCCCGCCGGTGCCCCCCCGGTCCCGGTGCCCCCGGGCCCCCCCGCACCGCCGCCGCCTTTCCCGCCTGCGCAGCGCGAACCGCGCGGGACCACCGCCCCCGGAACTCGAGAGGTACTTCCGCCATGGAGCCGCGCCCACCGCGCTGGCGCCCCCTGGCGGCAGGGAGGACACGGGCAGCCGACGGACCCCGCCCACAGAGGCGGCGGGGGCGGGGCCAGAGCGGCCACTCCCCGCCCGCCGCTCTGCCCCGCCCATCATCATCGAGACCCCCATTGGCCAGCGCCGGGCGAGACCCGTGACGTCACCGCGGGGGACCCCTCCCCAAACCAGGGGCGCCCCAAAGTGGGGGGACCGGACCCCCATAGCGGACACCCCCGAAACCCGAGGGCCGCACGCACGGCGCACCGCCCTGCGCGCCCCTCGCACGGGGGTCTGTGGTCTCCCCCCTTAAATCGGGCACCTCCAGAGTGGGGGGCCCCACACCCCCTCCGTGCACCCCAACGCGGGTTGGGGTCCCGGAGGTCCGGAGGAGGAACCCCAGAATAGGGGAACCCCAAAAGGCAGGGATCCCCGGGCGGGTCCCCGCCTGCCACCCCTCTCCATCTCCCCACGAATCGGGGGCGACCCCTCCCGCCCCCGGGCTGTGCCCCCGCCCCTGGCCCCCGCCCTGCCCCCGCCTCCTCCCGCCCGCCCGCACCGCCTCGGCTGCCCGCACCCCTGCGGGCTGCTGCCCACACCCTGCCGGTGCCCGCGTCCTGCTGGTACTCCTGCCCGTAACCCCGCCCGCACCCCTGCCCGCATCCCTGCCTGCACCAGCACCCTGCCCTGCCCGCATCCCTCCTCACTGCCCGCACCGCTGCCCTGCCCTGCCCTTCCCGCATCACCCTCTGCTCCTGCCTTGCCCTGCCCGCACTCCTGCCTTGCCCTGCCCGCACCCCCGCCGCCGGCCGCCCATGTCCCCCCCGGGCCCCCGCACCCGCTGGGTGAGCGACTTCTTCTCGTACGAGACCACCAAGTCGGTGGTGGTGAAGAGCTGGGTGGTGGGCGCTGTCAACCGCGGCGTGCAGCTCCTCATCCTCGCCTACTTCGTCGGGTGAGCCCCCGCCCGGCGCCTCCGGGACATCCCCCGGGACACAGCCCGGAACCCACGCCCCCGGGACTCCTTTTCCCGAGATTTCCCCCCCTCCTCAGTACCCCCTTCCCGGCACCGCGGGGTGTGACACCCACGTGCTGCTGCAGGTGACACCCGGGGGTGACAAGGGCTATGGGGTGAGGAGGTGGCCAGGCCGAGAGCGGTGGGTGAGAGGGCGGAGGAGGGACGGCAGAGAGGGTGACAAGTATGCTAGTGCCGGGAATTCAGGTGTGCCGCTGGGGTGACACAAGGGGGACAGCCGGGAGAGTGTGCTAGTGGGGCGACACCGTGGTGACAGCCGGGACAGTGTGCCGGCGCGGGTGACAGGAGGGTGGCAGCGCGAGTGACATGATGGGGACAGCGAGCAGAGGGTGTCGGTGCCGGTGACACAAGGAGGGCAGCCAGGAACAGCACCTCGGGCGGGCGACGGGGAAGGGGACAGTTCGGGTGACACCGAGGGGCAGAGCAGCAGCGGGGGGTGACAGAGGGGGGGTCCCTGTCCCCGGCTGCTCCTGGGGGGGGGTGACACAGCGGCCACCGGAGGGGGGTGACAAGCAGCAGTTACCGCTGGCGCTGGCAGCTCCGGGGGGTCCTGGGTGTCGGAGGCGCGTGCCGGGGGGTGCCCGGGGGTGGCTGTCCGCCAGCGTCACCCGCCGTGTGCCGTCCCAGCTGGGTGTTCCTCCACGAGAAAGCATACCAGGTGCGGGACACCGCCGTCGAGTCCTCCGTGGTCACCAAGGTGAAGGGCGTGGGGCGCTACGCGGGGCAGGTGCTGGACACGGCCGACTACGTCACCCCCCCTCAGGTGAGCGCGAGGGGCCGCCGAGGGGCGCGGGCCACGCCCTGGCGCGGGTCAGGTGACGGCGGCGTCCCTCAGGGCACCTCGGTGTTCGTGGTGGTCACCAAGCAGATCCGGACCGAGGACCAGGCGCAGGGCGTGTGCCCGGAGGTGCGGGGCGGGCGGGGAGGGTTCGGGGGGGACCCCCTCGACGAGCCCGCCCCATGCCCACTGACCGCCGCCCCTCAGAGCGAAGCCGCGTTCCGCTGCTCGGCCGACCGGGACTGCCGCGGGCTGAGCCCGGCCACGAGCAACGGTGAGGGACCCCTGGGGGCGCCGAGGACGGGAACGGGCACGGCTGAGGGGCGGAACGGATCGCGGGGGGCCGGGGACTGCGTTTGGGTACGAGCAATGGTAAAGGACCCCCGTGAGAGCTGAGTGGGGAAAAGGCGGGCTGAGGATGAGTACGAGCAACGGTGAGGGCGGGAACAGGGGGCTGAGGGGGGCCAGGGTGGGGCCGGAGAATGATCCCCACCACGGGCAGTGGTGAGGGACCCTCAGGGAGCTGAGGGAGCCAGGGGCTAAGTCTGGGTACAAGCAATGCTGAGGGACCCCGTGAGGGCCAGTGAGGGACCCTTGTGAGAGCTGAGGCGGGAACGGCGGACTGAGTCTGCATACAAGCCACGATAAGGGGCTGTGGCAGGAACTGGGGGCTGTGGGTGCCAGGATGCTGATGAGGGAACTGGGAGTCTGGAGGAACAAAAGATTCAGGGTCCCAGGGGTGCTGACAGGGATCTGGGTTCCCAGAGGTGCTTCTGGGAGTACTGACACGAATCCGGTGTCTCAGGGGTGCTGACATGGGTCCAGGGGTCCTAGGGTTGGTGGCGGGGGTCAGGGGGTCACAGGGGTGCTGATGTGGGTCTGGGGTCCCAGGGATGTTGACAGGGCGCTGTGTCCCCTACAACACGACCCTGAGCACCTGCGAGATCCAGGGCTGGTGCCCTCCTGAGGTGGACACCGTTGACGTGTGAGTGGAGCCAGGGGGACACGAGGAGACACAGGGAGGAGAGGGGGCTGTGCCCCGCCACCATGTCCTCAGGGTCACCCCTTTTCCCCCAGCCCCATCATGCTGGAGGCCGAGAACTTCACCCTCCTTATCAAGAACAGCATCCGCTTCCCACTCTTTGGCTTTGAGAAGTGAGTGGCACTGGAGGGGGGAACAGGGGACGGGGGCGACGTGGCAACAGAGGGACACAGGACATGGAGACACAGGGATGGGCACATCCTCCTGTGTCCCCCTCGTGTCCCCAGGACCAACCTGCCACCCCCTGGCAGTGGGGTGGAGCTGGGCCGGTGCCGCTTCCACCCGCAGCTGCAGCCCCTGTGCCCCATCCTGCGCCTGGGGGACGTGGCACGCCTGGCCGGGCAGGACTTCCCTGCACTGGCCGCCACCGTGAGCAGGGGCAGGGGGGGCACAGGGGGCATGGGGGGGAACAGGAGGAGTGTGGGGGCGTGGGGGCACAGGTAGGCGGGATGTGAGGGCATGGGGACATGGGACCTGGTGGCACAAAGACACAGGACGTGGGGATGCAGGGATGTGGGATGTGGGGATGTGAGACACGGGATGGGGGGAATATGGGATGGGGGGATACATGGACATGGGGACACAGGGAAGCATGACATGGGGACACAGGATGCAAGGATGTGGGGTGTTGGGAACAGGACATGGGGATACAGGAGCACAGGACATGTAAGTGATGTGGGAATTGGCGATGTGGTGATGGGGTTCAGAGGGGTATGGGGACACAGGCCCATGGTGTGGACGCCTGGGGTTTGGGATGTGGGATGTGGTGACATGGGGTGTATAGGCACAAGAATATGAGACCTGGGGGACTCGGGGATGTGGGTACATGGGACACGGAGCATGAGGCCATGGGAATGTGGGGCTGTGAGGCCGTGGAAACAAGAAGCTGTGGGAACAGAGGTCTGTGTGCCATGTGGCTGATGTGGGGCCGGGGCAGGGGGGAGTGCTGGGGATCAAGATCGGGTGGGTGTGTGACCTGGACCAGGCCTGGGAGCGCTGCCTGCCCCACTACTCCTTCACCCGCCTGGACAGCCTGGCCCGGACTCCTGCCCCCGGCTACAACTTCAGGTACGGCCGTGCCACCACCGAGACACTCACGGTACAGGGGTGTGCACTGCCTGGCATGGCCCCCTGTGCCCCTGTCCCTGTGTCCTCGTGTCCCCACACCCCGCAGGCATGCCAGGTACTACCGCTGGCCTGACGGCTCCGAGCGCCGCACCCTCACCAAAGCCTTCGGCATCCGCTTCGATGTCCTGGTGTACGGCAGTGTACGTGTGGGGCCGGGGGCTCGCAGGTCGGTGGCAGTGTTGGGGGCTTCCACCGACAGGGGCTCTGCACCCCCAGGCTGGGAAGTTCAGCCTTGTCCCCACCCTCATCAACATGGTGGCAGCTTTCACCTCCATCGGTGTGGTGAGTTGTGGTTGTTCTCAGCCCTGGCCTGGTGGCACCTCCCGTAGCCATGGGAACACAGCACAACCCCAGGGCGACAGCGGACTGGCTCTGTGGGGGACTGAGGGGGATCAGGGGGTGCCCTGTAGTGCAGGGCCCCCCACCCCAACGACGCTGCCCCCAGGGCACGGTGCTGTGCGACATCATCCTGCTCAACTTCCTGAAGGGCGCCGAGCACTACAAGGCCCGCAAGTTTGAGGAGGTCAGACGTGGGGCTGGGGTGCCATGGGGATGGGGCCATCGCCGGGGGGCTCGATTGGCCCTACCTGGGGCTCTGTAGGGCTGGCTAGTGGGGGACGTGTGGGCAGCGCCCCTGAGCCCCCCAGCTGCCCTGGCTGTGGGGCAGTGACTAACACAGTACCCGGCCCCCACCCCACAGGTGCCAGAGGCTGGTGTGCCCGCCACCCCCGCCACCCCCACAGCGTGCCCCCCAGGGGTGCTGGGGGGCTGCAGCCGGGACAAGCAGTCCACCGACTCGGGCACCTTCTCCCTTGGCCTCTAGCCCTGGTGCCATGGGGCAGCCCCCCACCTGCCCCCCATTGAGGGGAAGCCCACGGCTGGGTGAGGGGCTTGCCGGGACCCCCATTGGGCTCCCACTGCCCACCCAGTCTCCACACTGAGCCCCATCCACATGCCACTGTCCCCAGTGCCCACCCTGCATGCCCAGTCCCAATCCCAGTGTCCCCTGTGCCCTGTCCCTTTTCTCCATGGTGCCCCCGTGTGCCCTCCTCTGGCACCTCCCTGCTCCCCGCTGGCCCCATGCCGGGGGGCTGCACCCCCTTACAATAAACCCATGGCTCGCAGCACCCACCCATGTCCAGCCTTGGTTATGGGAGCCTGACAGGCAGGGTTGGGGTGCAGGAGCAGAGGGGGGGGGGCAGAGTGCTACCCCTGGGCAGGGGACCCTGTCCCCCCCCCATTGCCCACCCAGGGGCCATGCAGGAAACAAGGGACACCCGCAAAAACCCCCTTACCCCCTGGCTGCTCCCAGCACCCATCCAGGCTCCCTGACCCCTCCCCAAACACCAGGTGAGTGCTGACACCAAGGCTTTATTGAACTCCGAGAGAGAGGGCGCAGCGCCCCATGTGGGGGTCGGTGGCAGGGCGGGCAGGGGAGGGCCCGGGGGGCTGAGATCCTCATATCTCACAGATGAAGGGCAGCCGCCTCCTGCAGTTCACGCTCATCCAGCGTCCATCTAGGGAGAGAGGGGGGGTCGGCCTGGCACCCACCAGCATCCCCATCCACAGGGACCCCCTCAGCCCCAGGGATCACCCACTGACCCCTTAATGCAAGCCCCCCCCAGTGACAAGACCCCCAGTCACTCCACACTAGACCCCAGCGCACCAGTGTCACTCCCCAGCCCGAGGTGCCCCAGCACCCTCCCCTCCAACCCCACCACCGGCAGGGGGTTCCCTGCAGCCCCCCTGGAGCCCCCACTGACTGTTGGAGCAGAGGCTGGTGCAGAAGCGGTGGCCAGGCAGGGGGTGCCCAGGCACCCACTGGCTGTAGTCCCAGCGGCTCCGGTCGGTCCAGTGGCAGCTCGGTCTCGGGAACTGCCAGGTAGAAGGGCACATGGACCCCCAGCACCGGGCACGGGGTGCGCGGGGGTGTGGAGGGCAGGCTGGGCACCCAGGGTGGGTGCTGGGGAAGATAGGATGGCAATGGGACTCCCAGGTTTGGCAGTGGGGTATGCAGGATAGGCACCGGGGATGATGGAATGGGAATGGAACATCCCAGAGCACTAGGGGTACTGGGACAGGGCTGGAGCACCCAGAGTGGGTACCAGGGACACTGGGATGGGGCTGGGGCTTTCATGGTGGGCACTGAGGACACTGGGAATGGGGCTGGGACACCCAGGGTGGGCAGTGGGGACACTGAGATGGGGCAGGGTGCCCCAAGGCTGGGGTGGTGGGCATGGTGGGGGTCCTTACGGCGGGCTGGCTGACGGCACCGATCCAGACCAGGGCTGCGTTGCTGAGCCGGTGCACCATGCGCAGCAGGAAAGAATTGATGCTGGCACTGTGGATCGAGGCCAATCTCCCACGGTATCGGCAGGCACAGTATCTCTGCAGGAACATGGCTGTTACAGGGGGGACCAGAGCCCCCACTCTGACCCCCCACCCAACCTACCCCGTCCCACCTGTGCTTGCTGGAAGGTCCGGCAGAAGGGGACCATGATGTAGGTGGGGGTTCTGGTGCCCGGCATGCTTGGGACACTGAGTGTCTTTGTGTTGCTGGCCCCCATATCTTCCTCAGGCACCGCCAGCCCCACCACCTCCTCGATCTCCCCTGCCACAGGGCTGGCAGGGCCTAGGGACACCAGCAGTGTCATCCTGGGGTCGGATTTGTCCCCAGGATGTCTTCACAGGCAGGTGGGGGTGTAGGGGCACTCACCGGAGCAGCTGGGGGCACAGTGCCCAGCAGGGCCAGGGCAAGCAGCAGGTAGGGCCACATGGTGAAGGGACACGCAGGGACACTGGGGACACCACTAGCACCCTTGGGAGATATCACAGCCCTGTCACCTTCGGCCACCCTGGGGACACCCCCACGGCCCTCCTGCCACCCCCAGCATCATCCCATCCTCCCCACATCTCCTGTGCCATCCCCAGCCTTCCTTTGACACCCACAGTGTCACTCGGTCTTCCCTATGTCCCCTCTGAAACCCTCTACCATCCCCAGTGCTACCCCATGCCTCATTCCCTCTGTCACGCCCAGCATCACCCCCACAGATCCCAGCCCTCCTGTGCCCACCATTTCACCACTTCCTCACTTCCAACCCCATGGTCGCCCCATCCCCTGGGCACCCTGTGCCACTCAGTCCCCCATCATGTCCCCTGGCACCCCAGAGACCCCCCTGCCAGCCTCCAGGACCTCCAGCCCTGGCAGCCGAGGACTGAGTGCTACCCAATATCCCCATCCACACTCCTCACCTGTGTCCTGGGGAGCTCTGCCCTCTGCCACCCTTATATTGGTGACAGGGACACGTGTCCCCAACCACAGCCTTGTGACACTCCCAACCACCAACTGCTGGGGACATGGTGGGGGGGGATACGTGGGTGACACCCCTGGGGAGGTTCTGCCCACACCCCGTCCGGCCAGTGCTCAGGGTGTGCTTGGTCCAGGGAAGGGGGTGCAGGGGGCTCAGGGAGGGTGCTGAAGGAGTTTGGGGTGTAGAGGCTCAGCACAGAGACTCTGGGAATTTGGGGTACAGGGGCACAGGGATGGGGGCTCAGGGGGCTTGGGGTGCAGGGAGCTTGGAGAGGGGATGCTGGGAGTTTGGGGTGCAAGGTCTCAGGATGAGATCTTGGGGAGTTTGGGGTGCAGAGGCACAGGGGGCTGCTGCGGAAGGGGGTGCACAGGGCATGGCGATAAGGATGGGGATTTGGGGTGCAGACAATGGGGTGAAGAGCCCCGGTGGAGTGTGGGTGCTGAGCCACCGGCCAGGGGGCCAGTCAGGGGAAGGGGGGCCTGGGGAACTGTGGGGGGCTGTGGGCAAACGGCCGGGCTGGACTTGGGGGGCCATGGCCGTTGGGGAGGAAACAGCCCTTGGGCAAGCACGGCCAGGGGGAGATGGTATCAGCACCCCAACATCCCCTCAGCACCCCTCTGCACCCGCAGCACCCCCCTCGGACACACTGTGCCCCACACACCCCCCCTCACCCCTCGGACTCGAGCAGCCCCCACCTCTGTGCCCCTAGCCCCCGCTTTCCCCCCACCCCTGGTGTCCCTCCAATGCCCCCCCATGTCCCCCTGGTGTCCCCAAGTCCAGGCTGGGGTGGCGCAAGACTGTGGTGGGAACATGTGGCCCGTCACCCTTATAAAGGTGACAGCGGGCAGATCCCTCCAGCCTCCAGGTGAGGAGCAGAGACGAGGGCGTGGGGTGGGCTCAGCCCATGGCTGCTGGGGTTGGGGACAGGGGTGGACATCCCTGAGGCTGGCAGGGGGGACTCTGAAGTGCCAGGGGGAGATGGGGGTGGCACAGGGGGTGGCAGAGGGACATGGGGCACAGAGAGGTAGAATGGGGTGAGGATCACGGGTTGGCACCAGGTGAGGCAGAGGTTCAGTGGGGACATGGGCTGTTGCAGAGCAGATGTGGGGAGGATGGGTTGTCACCAAGGGTGACACAGGGTCTCAGGACCATAAGGGTGTCCTCAGGGTGGCCGAGGGTGACAGGGCTGTGGTATCTCCCAAGGGTGCCAGTGGTGTCCCCAGTGTCCCTGTGTCTCCACGCCATGTGGCCCTGCCTGCTGCTTGCCCTGGCCCTGCTGGGTACTGTCCCTACCAGCCACTCCAGTGAGTGCCCTCCACACCCCTACCTACCCGTGGGGACATCTTGGGGGCACCCTGAGTCCCTGCCACCTCATTGCTGTGCCCACCTCTCCAGTGCCGTGTGGCCAGGGCTGGCAGCAGGTGGCAGAGGGACCCTGGTGCCAGCCCTCACACCTCTTGTCCTCCAGCCCCTCCCCAGCCCCAGGGGGTCCCCGCGGCTGAGGCCATCCCCCAGCTTTACTACACGGTGGTGAAGAGGCTGCGCACCTACTCGGGTGCCCAGGTGAGGGGACGTGGGGCACAGTTGGGTGCCAGGGGGTACCAGGGGGGCCCGGTGTGCCAGGCCATGCCCACCACAGAGCAGCGGTGCCGGGAGGTGCCGGCGGGCGCAGGTGCGTACAGGCGTGCGGAGGTGCGGGTGGGAGCGGTGGGTGCCAGGCTGTGCCCTTCCCCAGGCCTACTGCCAGGATGTGTACCGGGGCCAACTGGCCTCACTGCACAGCGCCGCCCGCAATCAGGAGCTGCAGAAACTGGCCCGTACCTACACCTTCCTCGACGTCTGGATCGGGGCCGTCACCAGCCGAAAGGTGAAGGGGCAGCAGGGGGGTGCCTGGGCTGGCCAAGGGCACTGGGACCGGTCTGGGGGCACAAGGGGCCGGGCGTGGAGTGCAGGGGCTGCTTTTTGGAGGTGAGGGGCTAGGTAGGGGGCTGGCTAGAGGTTGCTGGGTACCAGGCACTAAGTGCTGGGCCTGGATTTTGGGAGATGAACCGCGATATGGGATGCTGGGGATGGGGACTGGGTTCTGAGGGGTGAGGAGCTGGGTAGGGTTGCTGGGGCTGGTTTTGGGGGGATGAGGGCCTGGGTATGGGGATGCTGGGGGCTGTCCCTGGGGTCTGTCGCTGGGGACTGAGGTGTTGCCGTGGCAGACAGGGAAGTGGGAGTCGTGCTGGGAGGACTCCAGCCCCTGGAACTACGCCAACTGGGCACCCACCCACCCTCGCCACATTGTGACCACCTGCACCACCCTCAGCACCCGAGGTGAGGGCATCCAAACCTCCCCACCCACCACGCTGGGTACCTGGGCTCGGGAGCCACAGGGCTACTGGGGACACTGGGGAAGCCAGTGTCTTGGAGCCCAGACACTGGGAGGGGGCACAGGGCTACTGGGAGCAATGGGAGGGGGTTCAGGGATACTTGGGGTATGGGGGGGTCACTGGGAGGGGGCACAGGGCTACTGGGAGCACTGGGAGGGCATTGGGAGGGAGCTGCAGGGCATTGAGGGCACTTGGAGGGGCTTAGGGGGCACTGGGAGGGTTTACGGGGCACTGGGGGCCACCGAGAGGGTTATAGAGGGGCCCTGGGGTCCACCCCATGGCCCTGACCTCTTTCCCTGTTCCCAGATGGGCTCTGGCGCAGCCGCCCCTGCTTCGAGCTGCGCCCCTTCATCTGCCAGTACTGAACTCCTAGTGCTGCTGTTGCCCCCCAGTTCCCTTCCCAGTAAAGCAGAGGTGCCCTGAGCCATGTCTGTGTGTGCAGGGGGCCTGGGGAGGAGACTGGGAGGGCAGCACAGCATGTGGAAGGGGCAGCAATGTTTATTACCCCTAAAGTCCCCCATCCCACCGGCACGGCACCCCCAGGCCAGTACAAAAAGGGGGTGCTGGGTGCCGGGTTCCTGGCAGGTGCAGGGCTCAGTGAGGCATCTCGGCGGGGGTCTCGGCGGCAGGGGGTGCTGTGAGGGGGGTACCAGCTGCCTCCAGCTCCTTGGCTCGCCGCCGGCACTCGCGAGCCACCACCACGGGGCTGACAAAGGCCACCAGCACCACAGCGATGAGCCCCAAGTTCACCTGGGGAGGGGGGGTGTCAGGGAAGGGGGCTTGGGGGCTGACTCCCCCAAGGGGGGCCCCTGGGCCAGCCCCATGGCCACCCCAGTCCCCTGTGCTAGGCCAGGACCCCCATTTCCCCAGGGCATGACACCCACCCTAGTGTGGGGCGGGACCCCCATTCCTCCCAAGGCTGGACCTTCATTTCCCCATGGGGCAGGAGTCCCACCTTACTGTGGGACAGCACCCTCAAATCCCTCCCTGGGCAGGACCCCCATTCCCTCAGGGTCAGGACTCCCATCCCTCCCCAGAGCAGTACCCTCATTCCCTTGTGGAGCAGGGGAATGTTCCTGATGGATCAGCCCCCCCACCCATCAGGGAGGGGCCTCAGGATGCACTCACATAGAAGGGGTCCCCTTGGAGCGGCCCCTGCAACAGGGCGACACAGGGGTACTGCAGGAGGGCCACCACCGCCGACAGTGCCATGGCCAGCCCGTACAGCTTCCCAAAGTGCTGCGGGGGGAACCTGCCGGGCACCCCCGTCACTACCGGGCACCCCCTGGCACCCTGACACTGGCACCCCACCCAGCACCCTCCTGACACCCTGACCCTGGAAGCCCCACTCTGACACTCTGTTCTTTGGCACTGCCACCGTGATACCTTGTCCTCTGACATCCCCAACCATGCCACCACCCCTGCCACCACCACCACCATGTCCCCTGCCACGCCCCGTCACCACCAGCATCCTCTGTCACCACCACGTCCCCTTCAACCCTCCGTCCCCAACACCCTCCCCTGCCACCCCTGCCCTGACCCCACCACCCCATCCCCTGCCACCACCATCCTGTCCCCTGGCACTCCAAGCCCCATCACCATCCCGTGCCACCCCTGCACCAACCCGGCTGCCCTGTCCCCTGCCACCCTCACGACGACCCTACCACCATCCCCTGCCACCTCTGCCCAGTCCCCTGCCACCCCCAGCCCGTCCCCTGCCACCCCCACAACGGCGCTGTGGCCATGCCCTGGCACTCACGCGATGGCCAGGAAGGCGGCATTGCCACCATACAGGAAGGAGCGGCTGATCACCTGCAGCACAAAGGTGGCGAACTGGACCTGCAGGATGGGCACGGCGGCGCACACGGAGAACAGCAGGCACTGCACCACCGTCACTACCAGTGACACCACCGCGGCATGCAGGTCTGCCAGCACACCCCGGGCACCTGTGGGCACGGGGGTCAGGCCACGGGGACACGGCCCCCTCCCCAAGTGCCACAGGGCTCAGGCACAGCGGTGGTGGCACATGGTCACCCACCCAGATGAGGGCACAGGGACCAACCCCAGGGCTGGAGGGGTGGTTACCCCCAGGGTGGGAGGCCAGAAGGGGTAGTTCCACTAGGGGTAGGGGTTCTGGGGGCTCGGTTCCCCTCAGAGCAGGGAATGAGGACAGTTACCCTCAGGGCGGCGGCGCTTGCCCCGCTTGTGCCAGTCGAGGATGAGGCCGTTCCAGGGGGCACAGAGCACCCCGCAGAGCTGGGTGAAGGCGAAGGCATTGGTGTAGGTGCTCACTGAGGATGGGGGGACAGCGTCAAGCAGGAGCCGGCCCCCGAGGGTGCCCGCCGTGCCCCCCGTGGTGCCGTACCCGCGTTGAAGTCCCCTTGTGACAGGCGCTCGAGTAGCGGGTTGAGGGTGCCGATGAACAGGTAGTGGCGCAGCTGCATGACGGAGAGCCAGGCCACGTGCCAGGCAAAGAGCCACGAGCACACACAGGCCCGGAACGTCATCCCGGGGGGGGCTTCACCTGCATAGGTATCAGGGCAGGGCACAGGGGAACACACCCCTCCCGGCCCCACCCACCTGATGTGCTCATGCACCTTGTCCCTCCCCCCCACTGGGACCCCCCCAATCCACCTGTATGACCACACCCCTTCACCTGCATTGCCACGCCCATCCTCTGACCATGCCCCAAACCACCACACCCACTCTCAGGCTCCACCCCATTTACATGCAAATTAATGTGCCTCCAACCACGCCCACGACAGACCACCCCCCCTTCATCTGCATAATAGACCTCGCCCATTCCGTAACCACATCCATTGGGCCAAACCCCTCCCCACCACCCGCAGTAAGCCCCCGCCCCCCGACGAGTCCCGCTTCCTCAGACCAGATCCCCACTCCCGGCACCTCGGGGAACGGGGGGCTCCAGGGGGATCTCCTCGGGGCCGTCCTCCCCTGGGGGCCTCTTCTCCTCGTAGGTGCGGTAGGAGCGGGAGCGCCCTGGGCATTGCAGCCTGTGGCAGTGGCCGTGTCACCTGCTGCCCACAGGATGGGACCCACCCCCCCACAGGGCGCAGTCAGCCCCCCTCGTACCCGTAGTTGTAGGCAGGGGGCAACGGGTAGGGGATGCGGGTGCGTGGCATCAGGAAGAGGGTGCGCAGCAGATGCCAGGCGCTGCAGGCTGCCAGGAAGAGGAACATGGCTTGCAGGGATAGCCCCTGTGCATACAGCAGCTGGGGACAGGGACAGAGTCAGGAACAGGGACAGGCTGCCACTGGCCACCATGGCCACCTGCTCAGGCCCTGGGCCTGTCCTCACATGTGGCCCCTGCAGTGGATCAACTCTGTCCCAGGCTGTGTCCCCAGTATTTCCACAACTGTGACCCAACTGTGTCCCCAGTACATCCCTAGCTGTGTCTGCAGCTGTGTCCCCAATATGTCCCCAGATGTCATACAATCGTCCTCGGCTCTGTCCTCTACCCTTCACCTTCCCCCACCATCACCACACCCCCCCCACCCTGTGCCCACCTTAACGATGAGGAAGATGGCAGAGGAGGAGTCAAAGGCCCCATTGTAGAGGGTGATGATGATGGAGCGGTACTTCCCAAACAGGTTGCCCACCTGGCACCAAGACACAGCCCCCCATGCCATCAGGGTCCCCCGTGCTGGGCAGGTTGCCCCTGCCACTGGGTGGGAGTTGGGGTGCCAGGGGAACCCACCTGCATATTGGTGAGGATGAGGAGAATGCCACCCACCGACAGCATGGACATGGCCGGGAAAAGCAGCACCGCCAGCTCTGGGGACACAGGGGTCAGAAGGGACAATGGGGGTCCCCAATAGATCCCCCACAGTGCTGGGGACCCCCTGTCCACAGGGGCTCACCTGGAGTGGAGAAGGCGACGAGGAGGGTCCCACCGGCGTAGAGGGAGCTGAGGGGACAACGGTGACACATGGGGATGAGGTCCTGGGGAACACAGGTGACCCCAGGCCCACAGGTGCCCCTCGTGCCATCAGGACCTTCCTGCCCCATCCTACCTGGATACCGCCCATCTCTCCCCAGCCCCCCGTCCCACCCCGGCGCAAGGCTCACATGGCGATGAGGCGAGCGGCCAGGGTGCCAAAGCGGTCAAAGACGACGCCCATGGGGAAGGTCATGAAGTTGTTCATGAAGGAGCCGATGGTGAAGACCAGGGAGAACTGCTCATCCTGCGCACTGCAGTCTGGGGATAACGGTCAGTGGGGTGTGGGGAAGGGGGGACACAGGGACATGGGTGTGGGGACTCTGGGGACACCAGGGATGAGGGGATGCAGGGACCCACTGGCACAGGAACACCAGACAGCAGGAACCCAGGGAAACACTGGGAATGTGGGGACACCAGGGACGTGAGAATACTGGAGACATGGGTGGGGTCTAGTAGGGACATGGGCATGGAGACAGTGGGGACACGGGATACTGCAGGGATCAGCAGGACATTAGTGAGCATGGGGACAGTAGAGACTGAGGCAAAGGGACAATGGGAACACTGGGCACATAAGGGCATCGGGACATTGGGACACGAGGACAGGGATAGGCAGGGTTCCCTACCGAGCCCCTGAGTGTGGTTGGTGGGGGAGGGCTGGCACAGCCACCGGAAGTAGCCGAGTTCCTTAAGGACAAAGACGAGGGAGGCCCAGCCGAAGATGATACCACAGAAGGCGCCGCACTCCAGCAGCCCTGACACAAAGGTACCCAGACGCTTGGCCAGTCCCGCGCCCCCCGCCATGTCACCCGCCCGGGCAGCCACCGGCCCGGGCTGTCACTGGCCTGGGGCGTCTCCGCCGAGCCTGCGAGTGACAAACACTGGGCATCACACCATGCTGGCACCCGCTGGGGGCACGGGAACACGTGAGGGTGCGCGGGGGCACACGGCGGCACGTGGTCACCTGGGTAAAGGCCACCGTGGTCCCAGCTCTGCCCCTTGTCCCTGGCCACAGCAGCTGGCACCGGTGTCCCTCCCCATGCCAGGGCACAGGGGAGGACCTGTGGCTTGCACACACAGGCACACACATGTTTACATGTGTGCACACCTGTGTACAGGCACACGCACACGTTTACATGTGTGCACGCCTGTTTTTATGCACAAACACATTTGCATGCACACACATACATTCACATTTACACACTCCTGTTCACAGGCACACACACGTGTTTGCATGCACACACCTGTTTATAGACACGCACATGTTTACAGGTACACACATTCACAGGCATGCACACACAACCATGCCTGCTGGCCTCCCTCCTGCACCCCTCACCTGCACAAGGCCAGGGCACCCTGTTGTCACTGTCACTGCCGCCACGGCGTTTGAACCCCAGCAGGGTGGCCCGGGCGCACCTCCACAGCCCCCCCTGCTAATCTCCCTGGAGCACCTGTGGGTCCCCGGGGCTGACAGCACCTGATAGCACCTCAGTCTCCCTGACAGCTCCTCGGTCTCCCCGATAGTGGCTTGGTCTCCCTGTCACACCAGGACCCCCCCGTGCTGTCCCTATCACCCCGTGCCGGCCCGTCCCAAGGCCTGCCATGGCCCTGGGGACACTGGCACATTGCCAGTGTCCTGGTGCGTGCTCCAGGGACAATAACATAGCCCTGGGACGCCAACACCCCCACGAGGGCATCAGCACCCCACGGGGACCTGGCACAGCCATGGGGACACTGACACGCTGCCGGGCACCCTGGTGTGTGCACTGGGTTCAACATAACAACACTCCCCCCCCCGGGGACACTGCCACCCCGCTGGGAACCTGGCACAACCCTTGGGAACCTGGCACTCTCCCTGGTGATGCTGGCACAGCCCCCGGGGATACTGGCAACCCCTGGGGACACCAACAAACCCCCCCGGAGACCTGGCACAGCCCTTGGGAACCTGGCACAGCTACTGAGGACGCAGGAATGCTGACGGGGATGGTGACACACCCTCTGGTGCTCCAGCACAGCCCCTGGGATCCTCCCTTGGGGACCCTGGCATGGCTCTCAAGGACACTGTCACGTGTCTGGGGCCCTGCCACCCCCTGGGGACCCTGTCGTGCTTTCAGGGATCCCCTCACACTGCTGGGGACCACAACGTGTCTCCTGGGGACACTGGTCCCCCAACGACTGTACTGCACTGGGGATTGTCACCCTACACACACAGCTGGGACTCCCTGCATCACCAGTGTGACCCACGGCCAGGTGCTACGGGCACCAAGGCCATGTCACCCCCAGCCCATCGCTGTCCTCTGTGTACCCCCACCCTGCTCACCCGCACGCAGCCTGGCTCCGCCACACCAAGCCCCGCGTCAGCGTCCGGGGCCTGTCCCTGTCCCTGTCCCGGTCCCCTGCCCGCGGTAATGTCGGATAATGAGCCTTCATTACAGCGTTCAGAGGCTAAAGATTAACCTGGCCGAGGTCGGCGGGGGCGGCACGGGGGGACTGCGCTATTTTTAGCCACCCAGGCTGGGAGCTGGGGCTGCGGCACCCACTTGGGGGGCACCGGGGCACCCCAAGATATGAGAGTCTCTACCTGGGACAGCCCGAGGCACTCACTATGGGTGTCATCTGTCACCAAGCCAAGACTGGTGTGTCCTGGCCACACTGGTCTAGCCCAGCCAGACTAGCGATCCCCCTACAGCAGTGACCCCCCCGTACTGGTGAGGTGCCCGCAGTGGTGAGCCCCCCACGGGGGGAGCAGGAGGGTCTGGGGCGGGGAGGGGGTGCCTGGCTCCGGTGACTCCGTCCCCTTTGTCCTCTCCGCCTTTGCTGTGTCCCCCCAGCTCACCTCGAGCCGTGACGGGGGGCAGGTGCGGGGTCTCAGGACCTCCGGGGCTGCCATGGGTCTAGGCTCCCCCTCCCCACCGCGCTGCCCTCCGTGGGGCGTGGGTGCCCCGGGGTGGGCAGCGCCCGCGCCCCACGGAGCAGGGGCAGCCCCGGCCGCGGAGACTTTGGCCGCGCACATGTTCGGGGAAGCACGCACGTGGTCCTGGGGATGGGCAACCGTGGGGCGCCGCCGCGCCCGCGCCCCGAGCCGAGCCTGCCACACGGCCCCGGGGCCGACACAGCCCCACGGCCCCGCCACACGCACCCCCCGCGCCGCCCGAGACACCCGCACCGCGGCCGCGCGAACCCAAGCCCCAGGGACCCATAGCCCCGGGGCCCCACGGCCCCCAGATCCTCGGTCCCCCCTCTCCCGGATCCCGCCGTCCCCGCCGCCGCTCCGGGTCCATCCGAGCCCCTCCGCACCCCCGGCTCCTCCCGCCGCATCCCCGCGCCGCTCACCCGCCTCCCGCCCGGCCCGGCGGGGAGGGACCGTGCTCTCCCCGCCCCGGTGCCGCCTGTGCTCCCCGTATTCCCGGGGCCCCCCGATGCCGCGGCCACCCCCGATGGGCGGAGCGGTCAGGCCCGGGCCGACCCCGCCCCTGGCGCGGCGTTGGCGGGGCGAGAGAGGCGGCCCCGGTGGAACTGCCCCGGTCATCCGTGGGTCCGCCCCGGAGGGGCTGTTCCGGCACGGAGCCCTCCCCCGGTGACGCCCCTACGCCCCCCACAGGTGCCCCCCACCCCGCCGTCTCCAGGTGTGACACCTCCTCACCTGGTATCCCCAAGGTGTGCTCCAGCTGGGGCCACGTTTTGGCCACCCTTGGGTCATGCTTGGGCAACCCCTAGGCCAGTCCTGGACATGCCAAGACCACCCTTGGATCACAGTTGGGCCACTCCAGCTGTGCCATCCCAGATCCCTCTCTGTACCACCCCACCGTGCTTTACTGTGTCCCCTGCCTGTCCCTGTCCACCCCTCCCCGGCCTTCACTGCACCCAGGACACCCCTGTCCCTCCTGTCACCCTTCCCCTGGCTACCCACACCATGTCCTTTCCTCTCTCCCTCTGTCCATCCATCGGTGCTGGGTGCTTGCAGCCACCTGGCCTGTTCCCACCCCTCCAATCGTTCATCTGCTCCTCCAGCTGCCCTTCTGTCAGTTCATCACTCGTCCATCTGTCCGTTACCCATCCATCTGTCTGTCACCCATCAATCTGTCCATCATCTGCCTGTCTGCCCATCACCTGTCCATCTGTCCCCCTCTGACCACAACTCTGTCCATCCCATCCCACCACCATCCGGCTGCCCATCACCTGCTCTTCCCTCCATCTGTCCATCTATCTGCCTGTCCTCTCCATCCATCCCCCACCCATCCGTCTGTCCCCATCTCCAGATGTTCTCCACGCATGTGTCTGTCCGTCTGTCCTTTCCTTCCATACACCTGTCCATTCATCCATCTGTCCCCTCCATCCATCCCACACTTCTCTGTCCATCCGTCTGTCCCTCCTTCCACCCTCCACCACCTATCCCTTCTCGGACCCCCACCCACCCCGTCTGCAGCTCCCCCAGGCAGTTGGGCACCTGCACCTGCAGCCCCCGCAGGGTGGCGACCCCCTCCCTTGGCCCACCTGGGTGTGCCCGGCCGGGGTGCCGCGGGCCAGGGAGAGGCACGGGCGGGGGCCACGGGCGGGGGGAGCGGATGGCGGCCCCTGAGTCAGTCCCGCGCCGCCCACACCCCCTCCCACGGGTGCCGCCGCACCAGCTTGTGGCATTTCGCTCGCCGGAGACGGCGCCGCAAACACGCGCCGGTGCCAGCCGGTGCCGGTGCCGCCGCAGTCCGCGCGGCCACGCGTCCCCGCGCGGCACCGCCGCGGGGCCGGTACACGGGGCCGGTACACGGGGCCGATACACCCCGCACCGCGGCCCCGCGCGTGAGGCGCCCGCTGTGCCCCGGGGCCGGTGCGGGAGAGGCGCGGAGGCACCACGGACAGCGCCGGGTCGGCACCGCGGACAGCGCCACGGTCCCGCGTGGGTGTGGGGACCACCGCCCCCCGCGCCCTGCCGGCGGCCGGCTGCGTCCCGGGCTCCCGGTCCCGCGGCACCCGCCCGTGGGCAGCCCCCGCGGGGTCCCGCGATCCATGGGGGCACCGCAGCCCGGCGCAAGTCTCGAGATCATGGGAGGGAGAGAGGGACAGTGGGAGACCACCCGCCGTGTCCCGCGGTCACAGTTCCCCACGAGAGCCCCGAGTCCCCCCGTGGGGGAGCCCATCACTGACCCCTGCGTCCCCACTGGGGGTCCCCCTCTCGGTTCCGCAGCGTGCGTCCCGAATAGGCACCCGCCTTCCCCGCTCTCCCTGCCGAACTACGGGGGGTCCCCACGCCCACCCCGTCCCGCGTGGGGCGGGTTGGCCCGGGAAGGGTTAAGTGGAGGGGCCGGCGCGGGGGGCGGAGCGGCCGCCCCGGGATAAGGCGCGGCGCGGGGAGGGCTCAGCCCCACGGAGCCGCGGGCAGCGCCGCGCCGAGCCCACCCGTGCCCGAGCCCGAACCCCCCCGTGCCATGCCCCGGGGCGGCGGCAGCTGCTGCTCCTGGCGGCGCGGCGGGGGCGAAGGGGGCGAGCAGCCCCCTCGGCACCGGCCATGACCCCGCGGGTGGGCAGCGCCTGAGCGGCCGCCCCGCCATGCGGCCCCCCACGGCTCGGGACCTGCCCCCAGGTAGGCGCGGGGTCGGGCGGGGTCCCACGGGTGTGGGGTGAACCCCCGGGGTGCCGCCCCGGAGACCTCGCTCCCGGTTTGGGGTGCCCCGGGGCTCTTGGGGTGCGGGCGCCCCGGGGTGCGTGGGGAGCCCCGGGGTGCGCGTGGAGTCCGGGGCCGCCCCGGAACGCACAGCCCGGCGTGGGAGCGCAGCCCCAGGGCACCCCAGGGTGCGACCCCCGCGATCCCCGGGCTGTCTGGAGTGGGGGTGCCCCACACCCCACGAAGTGCCCCCTGCCAGCCTGGTCCGAAGTACGGGTGTCTCTTGACCCACGGGCTACTCGATGCCACCCCGGGAACCCCAGTCCGGTGTGGGGGTGCCCCATGACACATGGGGTACGCGGTGCCACTCCGGGACCCCCGCCCAGCGCGGCTGTCCCTACAATCCCTGGCACGCCCTCTGCAACACCGGGATGCATAGTCTGGCTTTTGAGTGCCCCACGAACCACGGTGGTACCAGGTGCCACCCCTGGACCCCCAGCACGGAGTGTGGGTGACCCACGACCCACGAGAGACCTGGTGCCACCCCAGGATCCCCAGCCCGGCGTGGGGGCTCCCCACGGTTCACAATGTGGGCACCGCCGGGGTGCCGAGAGCGCTCGGGTCACCCCACGGGTGGGTACCGCGGGGTCTGTGGGGTACCCACAAGTACCAGGATGGGGGGTGTTGGCACCGAGGGTGGGGGGAAACGCTGAGAACCGGTGACTTCAGCTCCCAACTGAGTCAGCCCGCGGCGTGGGGGAGTGACAGATGGGACGCGGGTGGGGGGCGCACGCCGGCACGGGGCGCCGGGGAGGGGGCGGCGCTGAGCAGATGCGCCGGACGCCTCCGTGGGTGGGTGGGGTGGGTACCCCCACTCCTGGAGCACCGGGAGAGGGGAGGGAGGGGGCGGTGGGACCACCCGGTGCACCGGAGGTCACACCGGAGGTGCACCGGCGGGTCTCACAGCCCCCCTCCCTCCTCTCCCTTCCCCTCCCCTCCCCCGGTAGCGGCGACTGGGTGCATCCACGCATCCCCGGGCGTGGATCCAGGCCGCCGGGCTGAATTATGGATGAAGCTCTCGGGTTGCAGCCCGAGGGGGGGGATGGACACGGGTGGGGGAAGGGGGGATGCTGAACACCCGGAGCGGCGGCGCGTGTCGTCAGCCCGCGCCCACGCGTGCCCCGCCCCACACGTGGCCGCGGCACGCGCGCACGTGGCACCGCCCCGTTTGGGGGGGGGACAGCCCCCCCCCAGACTGGGACAAGGGGGGTCCCAGGGGTGCATGACCCCTTGGAGGGTTCTGGTGTACCCTGGGGTGAGCATGGTCCCATGTGAGTGTGGCCAGGGCAGGAGGGTCAGGGAGCTTTGGGGGTCCCTGGGGAGAAAGGCCCCAGTGGCAGGTACAGCCCCAGGGGGTCCCAAGGGAATACAGTCATTTTTTTGGGGTGCCCAGCCCTGAGGGGTGGGCTTGGTGCTATGGGGTGGCTTGGCCCCGGGTTGGTGTTTGGGAAGCAAAGCCCTATGGGGCTGATGTGAGTCTAGGGGGCTGCAAGGGATGCTCAGCCCTAGGGAGTGGTTATGACCTTGGGGTTCTCCTATGGGACCATGATCCTAGGAGCCTCCCGGGGGACGGTGGCCACTGAGGGGTTCCTGGAGAGGCATGACCCTTGCAGGTCTCCTGGAGGCCATAGCCCTATGAGCAGGCACAGCCCTGTGGGGCTCCTAGGGGTGCCCTGCCCTTCAGGGTGGTCATGACCTTGGGGTTCTCCAAGGGAACCATGGGCCTATGGGGTGAACAAGGCCTTGGGAGTGCCTAGGGGTGCCCAGCCCTATGAGGGGTCATGACCTTGGGGTTTTCCCAAGGAACCATGGCCCTATGGGGTATATACCATCCTGGGGGGTTCCTAGGGGTGTCCAACCCTATGGCAAGGTGAGGACCTTGGGAACCGTGGCCTGATGGGGTGGGCAGAGCCCTGGGAGGCTCTGTGGGTGGCAGAGGCCGGGGGGCGGCGGTGTGGGGGTCGGGGTCGCGCGGTGCCCCGCGCTGACGCCCCGCTGTGCCCTCAGGCGGGCACCCGGCGGCCCTGCTGCTGCTGGCGGCGCTGGTGTGGGTGCCCGGCGGGGCTCCTGCCTGCCCCGCGCTCTGCACCTGCTACGTCTCACCGCCCACCGTCAGCTGCCAGGCCAACAACTTCTCCTCGGTGCCCGCGGGGCTCCCACCCGGTGCCCGCCGCCTCTTCCTGCAGAACAACGTCATCGGGGCGCTGCGGGCGGGCACCTTCGGGCCCAGCACCGTCACCCTCTGGCTCTACTCCAACAACATCTCCTCCATCCAGCCGGGCACCTTCCGCCACCTGCCCGCCCTGGAGGAGCTCGACCTGGGTGACAACCCCCACCTCCGTGTCCTGGCCCCCGACACCTTCCACGGCCTCCACCGCCTCCAGGCCCTGCACCTGTACCGGTGTCGGCTGGCCAGCCTGCCCAGTGGCATCTTCCGTGGCCTCCGCAGCCTCCAGTACCTCTACCTGCAGGAGAACGGGCTGCTCTACCTCCAGGTCCGCATGGCCCAGGGGCACAGGGGCCTGGGGCAGGGGGCAGGGGAGGTGGGTGACGTTGGGTATTGGGACTGGTGCCCGCCCTGTGGGTGGTGCCCACAGAGCCAGGATGTGGGACAAGGCGATGTTGATGAAGCCAGAACATGGGGTGGTGACAGGGGATGCTGAGGGAGCAGGAACATGCAGCAGGGTCATGGCTGTGGGGCAGGACCATGGGTGACACCAGCAGGGCAGGGACATGGGACAAGGTCTTGGATGTGCCCATGGAGCAGGGACAGAGGGCAGGGTGACAGGTGATGCTCATGGGGCAGAGTGATGGGTAACACCAATGGAGCAGGAAGAATGTGGAGCAAGGAGTTAAATGATGTCAGGGGAGCAGGGACACAGGGCAAGGTGATGGGTGATGCCTTTAGGACAAAGATCCAGGCCAAGGCAGGTTTCCAGGTGATGTCCACGGGGCAAGGCCATGGAACAGCACCATAAACCCGCACCCCATGCTCACCCTTCTCCCATTCCCTGCAGGACGACCTCTTTGCCGACCTGGCCAACCTGAGCCACCTCTTCCTGCACGGGAACCGGCTGCGGGCGCTGTCGGAGGGCGTCTTCCGGGGGCTGCCGAGCCTGGACCGCCTGCTGCTGCATGCCAACCGGCTGGCAGTCATCCACCGCCACGCCTTCGGCGGGCTGGCACGCCTCACCATCCTCTACCTGTTCAACAACAGCCTGGTGGCCCTGCCGGGGGACCCTCTGGCCGCCCTGCCTGCGCTCCAGTTCCTGCGCCTCAACGCCAACCCCTGGGCCTGCGACTGCCGTGCGCGCCCACTCTGGGCCTGGTTCCGCCGCACGCGCGTCTCCAGCTCTGCCGTGCCCTGCGCCAGCCCCCCACACCGCCGCGGCACTGACCTGCGCCACCTGCGCCCCCACGACTTCGACGCCTGCCCCGACGACGACGAGGAGGAGGAAGAGGAGGAAGGTGGCAACGGTGGCGCCAACGGGGTGGCGGTGATGGGCACCCCCGGGCGGGCGCTGGGCCGCCCCGGCACCCTCCCGGCCGCGCCGCCCTCCGCCTTCTACCGTGACGGGCTGCCCCCCCACGACCTGCGGGGACCCCAACCCCGGCCGCCCCCCCCGTCCCGTGACTCCCGCAGGCCCCCCGAGGACGCCAGCTGCCCCCATGACCCCTGTGCCCCCATGGCCGCAGCCGCTTCCCACCAGCCCCCCATCCTCCTGCCCCTCCTGGCTGTACTCCTGCCCCGACATTGAGCCCCCCTTGGCGCCCCAGGGGGGTCCCAGTTCCTCGGGGTGCCTGTGCCTCCCTTCTCCCCAGGGGAGGCCTAAAGAACTGTGGGGGGCAGCCGGTGCGAGGTGGGGGGGGGCCGCAGGATACAGAAGGAGGTCCCCCCCCATCCTGAGCGGGAAAAACCCCCAACAGGAACCAAAAGGTGGAAAATTATTTATTAAAAATGGTCTTATTTTGGGAGAGTGGGGCCTGGCTGCTGCAGGGGGGGGAGGAAGGGGGGCCACTGCTGTTCCAGGTCACCGCCTGCTGCTCCTGAAATATTGATGGGAGTGGCGGGCGGCAGGGCAGCGAGGCGTGCAGGGCGCCGTGGGGAGGGGCAAAGAGACAGACGGACACCCACCCCCCACCCCCAGGGGTTGTGCAGCCACACGCACCCTCCCACACATGCTGCGCACCCGTCACCGCGCACCCACAGCTGCAGTGGGGCCGGCCACGCGCAGGCACCCGTGACGCTGACGCCCCGCATCCCTTGTGGGGTGCCGGCAAGTGTCACGGGAGCTGCGGGGCGCGGAGCCACTCCCGTGCCCTGCACAGCCTGACCCACTTCCCGCAGGCGCTGGCACACAGATGGAGTGCGCGCTGCGGGGGCACGGGCACGGCCCACCCCGGCTGTAGGTCCTGCTGCGCAGTGTGTCACCCCCAGGGTGCCACTTGGCAGGTGTCCCTCACCCAGGGTGGGGTGTCCCTCAGTGGGGGTAGCTCCCCGGGTGTCTGTGTGGGGGGTCCCTTTTCCCCTCAACTGCCCCTGCAGGTGCGTGTGTCCAGAACTGTCCCTGTTTGGGTGTCCCTTGTGCTCCCTCCTCTGTGGTCTCTGATGTCCCCACGTGGTCCTGGCCCAACCAGGGCTGGGTGTCTTGGGGGTATCCCTGTGTGGGTGTCCCTGTGCCCTGCCCCTCCACAGGGCTGTGTCCCTGTGCAGGGACCCCCGGTTGTCCCCTCTGGTGACCCCCAGCACAGACAGACAGGGAGGGGCTGAGCCTTGTCCCACCCCACTGGGGATTACAAGGGGCTCAGCCTGGCTCTGCCTAATCCAGGGGATTACACGGGCTGGGCCTGGCAGGGGGGGCACCCCCGGGTGCCCCCCACAAGGACACGGCACGTGGCAACTGAGGACACCAAGGGGGGGCTCTCAGTAGCAACCACAGGCACCACATACCCCAAGAGACAGCCACGGTGTGGGTTTGGGGGTGAGGGGGGCCAGAGCCCCCAGTTTATTGGGGTGCAGGTGGGGGGGCTCAGGCGCTGCCGCTGCCCTGCTGCATCCGCTTGAGCAACTCCTCATCCTGCAGCGACAGCTCTGTCAGCTTCTTGCCCATCCGCTCGTGCACTTCCAGGTACTTGGCCACGCACCTGTCCAGGCACACGCACTCCCCCTTGGACAGCTCCGACTCCTTGTACAGCGGCGGGACGCACTTGCGGTGGCATGCCTGGGTCATCCTGCACAGATCACACCGTGCCTGAGCCCCGCAGGACCCGGCCCGCACCCCAACACCCCCTGCACCCCACCATCGCCACCCCCCGGGATCCCCTGCACCCTCGTCACCGCCATCGCCAGCACCCTCACCCCATACCACCCTGGGACCCCAGTCTTGCACCCCGACACTTCTCGTACCCCCCGCGATCGCCATCCCCGGCACCCCCAGACCGACCCTGCACTCCGCAATTACCGCCCCAGGACGCCGGCGTCTGCATCTCCCCAAGATCCCGGCCCTTTGCACCCCAACATCCGCTGTCATAGCCGCCCCCGGCACCCCCGGGACTCGTCAGTATTTCCCATCCTCGGATACCTCCGATGCCCCCCCATGTCGCAGGTGGCCTCTAGGACCCCGCGCGCTCCTCTCCATCCCCAGCCCCTCAGGGTCTCCCAGTGGCTCTGGCACGGCCCAGTGCCCCCCCCAGCCATAGGCACCCCCCGGTATCCGCAGCACCCCAATGCCCCCCGTGGTGGGCCGCACCGGTTGTACATGTCGGCCATCATCTCAACCTCCAGCTCGGCCGCCAGCTGTTGTGCCCGTAGCGGGTCCATGGCGGCCGGCCCCGATCCCGCTGTCGCTCGGCCCGGCCACGCTCGGTTCGGTCCCGTCCGACCCCCCCGATTCCGCCCGGTCCTCGCAGGAACCACGTGGGTGCCGCGCTTCCGCCCGCCTGCGCTGCGGCCCCGCCCCTCCGCCCGCCCGGACCAATAGAGACCGGGGAAAAACGGGACCCGCCTCGCGTCCCGAGCGCTCATTGGGTATGGGGAAGGGCGGGGCCAGGGCGGGGCCGGGGTGGCGGGAGGGACGGGCGCGCTCTGCCCGGCGTTTGCCCCTCTGGGGCGTGGTCAGGTGGAGGGGGCGCGGCCAGCGCCGAGACCGTCCCCGCGACAGTCCGGGGGTCGTCGGGGGTTCTGGGGTTCTCCGTGTCCTCTGCCTCGTGTCCCCAGCTCTCTGGCTCCCCACCGTGTCCCGCCACCCCACCCGGGCTGTCCCCGTGTGACCCACGTCCCCCCTGGAGTCTTTGCCCCCGGTGTTCCCCGTGTCCTCCACGTCCCTCCGTGTCCCCCGTGAGCCCCGCGTCCCGCCGTGTCCCCGCACCTCCCTGTGTCCTCCCACCTCCTCCCCAGTGTGCCTGTGACCCCCAGGTCTCCCTGTCCCTGCTCGGGGTGTCCCCTGTGTCCCCGGGCCCCCAAGGTGCGGGCCCCACGTGTCACCCCGTGGGCTCCTTTGAGGTCGTCGCCGCTGTCCGGATGGGAGTGTCGGCGTGTCCCCCCCTCCCCAACCGCGCCCCTGTGTCCGGCCTGACCCCACGCGTGCCCCGCGGGTGGGCGGTGAGTGAAGGCGGCACCTGCCCCCGGCCGGGTAAAAATAGCCCCGGGCGGGGGGGTCGGGGCGCGGCGGGAGCAGCGGAGCGGGAACGGCCCGGAGGGTACGGGGCGAGGGGCTCCGAGGGGAACGGGGGGGTACGCGGGGCGCAGTGTGGAGCGGGGAGCGGCCGGGAGGGTACCGGCCGGGGGGCACCGGGAGGGGAGCAAGGGAGACTCAGAAGGGTTTTGTAGGGTGGCCGACGGTAGGAACTGGGGGGCCGGGAGGGGACGTGTGTGGCACGGGGACACTGGGGATCGGGAGAAGCTGGGGGTGGGGGCGGTACGGGAGTATGGGGGTGTCTGGAGGGGGCATGGAGGAGTCGGGAGGAGGTTATAGGGGCATCGAGAGTGGGACACATGGTGTTGGGAGGGGGAAGGGGGCCCCGGACGTAATGGGGGTACAGTGGGCAGGAAGGGGTACAGGGGTGCTGACATGGGGTATGAGGGGAATGGGGAGTGGGGCACGGGGGGCTGGAGGAGGAATGGGGGGCCCAGGATTGGTCATGGGAGAGTCTGCATGGGGGCAGATGGGTTGTCCAAGATGGGGGAATGGTTGTGCCAGGGCTGGAGAGGGGCGTGAGGACAGGGGCAGGGTAGGGGTTAAGCGGGCTGGGGGGCACCCCAATGACAGCCTTGTGCCCCTGCAGCAGTGACCGAAGCAGCATGGAGGCCCTGGGAGACACCGACACCCCCACCTCGGATGCCCCCACCTCGGACACCCCCACCTCGGATGCCCCCACCTCGGACACCCCCACCTCGGGCGCCCCCACCTCGGACACCCCCACCTCGGGCGCCCCCACTTCAAAAACCCCCACCCCGGGCACCCTCACCCCGGGCACTCCCACCCCGAGCAACCCCGCCCCAGACGCCCCCACCTCGGACACCCCTACTTCGAAAACTCCTACCCCGGGCACCCCCACCCCGGGCACCCCCCAGCCCCATCGGCACCCCATCCCCGGATCCCTCGACCCCTGGCACCCTCACCCACGGTAGTCCCACCCTGGACACGCCCCCTGACCCCCCCGCGGGGCCGGCGGGCAGTGGGGAGGCGACAGCACCACAGGGTGCGGGGGAACCCCGGGAAGCGGAGGGCGATGGGGGAGAAACGGGAGGTGACGGGGCGGACACGGGGGGCTCAGAGGGGTGCGTGGGGGGAGAGGCTGCCGGGGATGGCGGGGCAGAAGCAGCCAGGGGTGCCAGGGGCGATGCCAGGGAGACCGGAGATGGTGAGGGCGATGCTGGGGCAGGGACAGCCGGGGACACCGGGGTGGTCACCAAGGGGAGTGCCGAGGGCGAACCGGGGCCAGCAGCAGCGGGCAGCACCCGGGGCCGGCAGGTGAGGCGGGGGGGCTCGATGAGGGGGAGGGACACAACCAGGGGAGGACAGATGCAATAGGGATGGGGACAGGGTTGACAGCGCCGGGGCGGCGTGACAGTGTCAGGAGCAGGGTGACAGTGCCAGGGACATTGTGTAAGTGACAGGGCCCGCGCTGGCACTGCCACCCCTGCTGTGCCCACAGGAGCCCACTTGGCATCAGGACGAGGACGAGGAGCTGTGGCCTGAGTTTCCCCCGTGCTCGTCCCCAGAGGGGGCCCCCAGCCCCACAACCCCCACATCCCCTGTGTCCCCCACATCTCATGTGTCTCCCTCATCCCCCACCTCCCCAGCATCCCCCACGTCCCCCACAGGTAAGAGCCATACAGGCAATGACACCTGAGTGCCCTGGGGTCACCGCTGCCCCACACAGTGTCCTTCGCCCCCATGGGGTCCCCTGCAGAAACCCCATGACCCTTCCCTTGGGGAAGGACCTTGAGACCCAGGGGTGTCCCAGCATTTGGGTGCTCCCTCCCACCCCTCTGACCCCTCCTCTCTCCTTGCAGCTGGCACCACCGATGGCACAGAGGGCAGCAAGAGGTAAGTGTCCCCAAGGATGCCACCCCAGTACCCCACCCCACAGGTGGCATCCTGCAGCCCCACACTCTGGGCTGTACCCCCCTGTGAGTGGCACCCACCGTGGTGCCCTCAGCCCACCCATGGGTCCCCCGTGTGCCCACAGGGGTGCTCCAGCGGGGGGGCCACGGGGCCGGGCACCCCCTGGTTCGGCAGGGCAGAGACCGCGGCTGGAGGGGGCCGGGGGGCAGCCCCGTGTGGGGTCCCGGGCCTATGGACGCAGTGCCATCCTGGAAAAGTTCGGAGGGTGAGGAGGGCCTGGCCCCACGGGGGGCATGGGGGACAGGGAGGGCATGGGAAAATGGGGGGGACTGAGGACTGTGGGGCTGTGGGACAGTGGGGTGGGTGGGTGCATAGAGCAGTGGTGGTATTTGGGACCTCAGGACGATGGAAAGTACGGGGGAATTGGGGGACAATGGCGGGGCATGGGGCAGTGGGGGTATTGGTGGACAGTCGGGGGGCATGGAACAGTAGGGATATTGGGGTGCTCAGGGCAATGGCACAGTGGGGTCATGGGAGATGTGGGGGTCTGTGGGACAGTGTGGGTATTGGGGGGGCATGGGGAAATGGAGGGAATGGGGGGTGCATAGAGAGGGGAGGATGTGGGACAGGGGGACAGTGGGGCAGTGAGGAATTGGGGGCCCAGGGTCATGGGGCAATGGGGTCACGGTGGGACTGGAGGTCGCTACGGGGGGCCGGGGGGTGTGAGGGTCCTATGTCCCGGGTCCCTCCAGTGCCGCCACGGGGCCGGCCCCGCACCTGCGGCGATCGGGCAGGGCCGCCACGGTCAAGACGATGCTGCTGGAGTGGTGCCGCGCCCGCACCCGCGGGTACCCGGTGAGCGCAGGCGGGGGGTGGCGGAGAGGGGGCTGGGGAGGGCCCCGTGGGGCGGCCTGACCCCCCCCGCCCGCGCAGAACGTGGACGTGCAGAACTTCTCCGGGAGCTGGGGCAGCGGCCTGGCCTTCTGTGCGCTCCTGCACAGCTTCTTCCCCGACGCCTTCGACTTCGGTGCCCTTGAGCCCGACGCCCGCCGGCACAACTTCGCCCTGGCCTTCGCCACTGCCGAGTGCGTGAGCGCAGCCCGGCCCTCCCAGTCCCCCCCGGCCCTTCCCGGCCCCCCGGCCCCGGTGACGGCCGTGTCCCTCCCTGCAGGGAGCGGGCGGGCTGTGCCCCGCTGCTGGAGGTGGAGGACATGGTACGGCTGCCGGTGCCCGATGCCAAGTGTGTGTACACGTACGTGCAGGAGCTGTACCGCTGCCTGGTGGCCAAGGGGCTCGTGAAGACCAAAAAGCGCTGAGAGGGTCCCCCCCACCCATGCCACCCCCAACCTTGTCCTCTGCCTTGTCCCCTGCCTTGTCCCCCAGCACTAAAGGCCACGGTGCCAGGCAGTGGTGGCCTCGTATCTGGAGGGGGGGACGTGGGCACAGGGGCACTGAGTGTCTATGGGGACACAGCCCTGGCTCTGCCACCGGCAGGGTGACATTCCCTCCACAGCTGGCACACAGGGGGCAGCACCTCCCGGAGCCCCCCACCGTCCCCATGAGATATCATGGAGCCAGAGTAGGTGCTGGAGCAAATTTATTGCCTTATGTACAGGGGGACAGCTCCTGTGGGGGGCCAGAACCCCCTTTGCAGTGCCAGAGGGGACCCCCTTGCCCAAGGTCCGGTGCCGAGGCAGGGGTGATGCCAGGGCCAGCCCCGGCTGGCATAGGGAAGGAGGGGGGAAGCCGGGGTCTCCCCAGGTTGGGGGTCTCAGGGGCCGGGGAGGTCGGGGCGCGGCTCGGCATGGAGCTGGGTGTGTTCCCGTGCCCGGTGCCAGAACTCCTCGGGGTGCTCCTGCAGCTCCCGGGCCAGGTCCGGCCTCAGCACCCGCTGGGGGGCGGGGCTGTCCAGCAGGAGCAGCAGGTCCTGCAGCACTGCGGGAATGGAGAAGGGATCAGGGGGACATCCCCAGTGCTGCTCTCCCCCCGTCCCCCCGGTGCCCACCTTGGACGGCGCGGGTAGTGGGTGCCCAGTGCTCATGGGTGGTGAGGGGCTGGCAGACGCGACCTTCGGGGTCCACGCTGGGATGGTAGATGGGGGTGCGAAGGGTGGCACAGGGGGGCACCAGCGGGTGGTGGGGGGAGAAGGTCAGCTCGAAGCGGAAGGCACCCGCGTTGTACGGGGGGTTGTTCTGCTGGGGTAAGGGGGTCACCTCAGCCCCCCCAAGCCACAGCATCCATCGGGGGGATCCCTGTCCAGCCCTAATACACCCAGTGCCTCCCGTGGAGAATCCCCACCACCCCCACCGGCAGCCCGAGGCCCTCAGGAGGGGAACCTCCACCCAGTGTCCCCAGCCCAGCACCCCAGGGTGTCCCCTAGTAGTGTCCCCAGAGGGACCCTCCCCAATTCTGCCCTGATAGGGATCCTCACTCAGTGTCCCCCAGTAGTTTCCCCAGAGGGACCCTCCCCAGTTCTGCCCTGATAGGGACCCTCACTCAGTGTCCCCCAGTAGTTTCCCCAGAGGGACCCTCCCCAGTTCTGCCCTGATAGGGACCCTCACTCAGTGTCCCCAGGAGACACCTCAGGTCCCAAGGATTACCCCCAACACCCCCCATGCCCTCATGGGCCCATCCAGGCCTCCTGTGCCCCTCTGGCCTCCCCATACCCCCCACGCCCAGGAGACAGCCCCACACAACCCCAGCCCCTCGCTACCCAGGACTCCCCCACAGCCCCCCGCCCCCCTCCCCACGCACGGGCAGCAGCAGCCCCTCCCAGCGCAGCACGTTCCGGTCCAGCGGCCGCACATCGCGGGTCCCCTCCCAGCGCCGCACCTCCTCCAGCTCCTGCGGGACGGGCAGGGGGTGGCTGGGGCCGCCCGGGACACGCCTCCAGGGAGGGGGCTGCATCCCAAAACACCCCTCCGTTGGCTCGTCCTGGGCGGGCCAGCAGCCGCGACGCACCTCGAGGGGCGGGGATTCCCATGGACCACGCCTTTATGGGCGGTGCTTTCCAGGGAATACGCCCTTATGGGCGGGGGACTCCTTCATGGACACGCCTCTGGAGTGCGGCCACTACAGACCACGCCCTGACGCGGAACGGTTCCCGTCGGGGAAACGAAACCGGAGTGCGTAGGGCGGGTTTGGCATCCCCGGCATCGGAAACCCTTCACGGCGGTACTGCCTCCCCCGCACCCCGGCAACGGGACCCCCGCACCGGCACTGACACCCCCCCAGCACCGCTTCTCCCGCACTCCCGCACCGGCATTGACCCCAGCACCGCCTCTCCCGCACCCCAGTACCGGGACCCCCGCACTGGCACTGACACCCTGGCACCACCTGTCCCGCACCCCGGTACCGGGACCCCCGCACCGCCCGCTGCGGTGCGGTCACAAGGACTCCCGCGGTCCCGGTTCCGCCGGAGCCCACCTTGGCGATCCTCACGGCCATGGTGATCAGTGCCCGGTGCCACGGGGATGGGCTCCGTGGGATCACGCCCCGGGGCGGGCGCGACGAGGTTCTCTGGCCGCACCCCTTGGACGGGTGCGTGGGGTCAGACGGGTCTGGGGCGGCCGGGGACACCTGTCACCCGGGGGTCCCGGTGGTGGTGGGTGACAGGACCGCCGCCCCCCACCCCGTCCAGCGGGTGCCTGAGAAGGGCAGAGCGGGACGCAGGGCCGCATCCCGCCCCCTCGGCTGCCCCCGCACCGCCCTGCCCGTCCCCCCGCCCCCGGCTGCCCCCGCATCCCCGGCTGATTTACGGGAACCTCCTTAATCTTTAACCAGGCAGGGCCGGAGCCGGCCAGATCTCCCGGCGCCCGCTGGACACGAAGGGACCGACCCGCAGGGCACCCAGGTGGGCCTGGGGCACTGCTTCCTCCCACACCCCGAGGGGGGGGCAGAGTGGGGGCACACGGGATGGGGTGGGGGTGCACGGGATGGGGTACAGGCGGTGTAGGGAGGGGGGGTGCAGGTACTAGGGTGAGGGTACAGGGTGCTTGTCCTGCCCTTGACCTGTGCCCTCCCACCAGGATGCCCACCATGACGCTCTGGCTGCCCCTGGCATGGCTGGTGGCCACAGCCACAGCCACTGTCAGCCCGGTGAGTGCGGCCCAGGAAGACGGGCTCCCTGTGCCCAACGCCCCTGTGTCTCCCCTCACCTGAGCTGCCCACCTGGGTGCACCGTGCCCCCCTCACCCAGGTCCCTGTACCCAGGTGCCCATGCCGGAGGCCTCTCCCAGCGGGATGAAGCTGCTCACACAGCCCCTGACACCACCAGTGCCCCCCATCCTGCCCTGGCCCCCCCGCAGGACGTGGGGGCACCTGTCCTGCCTATGCCCACGCATCATGCCCACCCTGAGGGGCTGCCTGGCTGGGATGCCCCTCACAGGGCCACGGATGCCCCCAGCCCTGCAGAACCCGAGGGAGCCCCTGAGGAGCCAGGAACCACACCCTACAGGACCACGGCTGTGCCCACCACTCAGGGAACCCCAGGCACTACCACCTCGCCGTGCCCCGGGGACGAGGAGCCAGCCGAGGCGTGTGGGGAGCCCACGGGGGAGCAGTGGGCAGCCGTGGCAGAGGCACTGGGCTCCTTCGCCCTCCGCTTCTACCAGCACATGGCCGAGGCCGCCCAGCCCGACGCCAACCTGCTCTTCTCCCCCCTCAATGTCGCCACAGGGCTCTCACACCTGCTGCTGGGTGAGGGGCTGCCTGTGGACACCGGCACTGCCGCGGGCACTGCCTGCGTCCCCTGGGGCTGTACCACCCGGGGCACCGAGCCGAGCTTCCCCCGTGCCTGCAGGTGCCCGCGGCGAGACCCGTGAGCGGCTGAGCACCCTCCTGGCGTACCCACCGGGGCTGGGCTGTGTACACGGTGCCCTGCAGCAGCTGGCCAGCTTGCCTGGCCTCTTCTCGGCCGCCCAGATCTTCCACCACCCAGGTGAGGCAGGCTCCAGGTGGCCGTGGGGCACTGCTGCCAACTGGGCACAGGCTTGACGCCCACCGCGCTGCCACACAGAGCTGCGCCTCCGGCCTCGCTTCCTCAACGACTCCCTGCGCTTCTACGGCGCCCACCCGCGCACCCTGAGCGGCAACGAGAGCTTGGACCTGCAGAGCATCAATGCCTGGGTGCGGGAGGCCAGTGAGGGGCTGCTGCCCGCCCTGCTGCCCGCGCTGCCCCCGCAGCCCCACCTGCTGCTGCTCAGCGCTGTCCACCTGCGCGGTACGGCCCCGCCACCACATCCACCCGTGCCCACCCTTGATCCACCTGTGATCGGGTGCATGGCCGAGGCTGCTCCACACAGTGCCCCTGGTGTCCCCCACCCCTCAGCCCCCATGCCCTGTCCCCACAGCTGCCTGGCGCACGCCCCTGGACCCCGAGCAGACGGTGCCGCTGCCCTTCCTGCGCCCCGGACGCCCCCCTGTCAAGGTGCCCACCATGACCAGCACCAAGTACCCAGTGGCCTCGTTCACCGACTCCCGCCTGCAGGTCCAGGTACCCCGCTGGGACAGGGGTGGGGGTCTGGGGGGTCACTGGTGGGCACTGGTGGAGCTTTGAGATCACTGCTAGGCCCTGGGAGGGCTGTGGGGTCACTGCCTGGCCTGGGCAGCTGGCAGGTCACTGCTAGGGGTGGGTAACGGCATGATGTCACTCCAGTGGCACTAAGGAGGGATGCCAGGCTGTGACATCGCTCCTGTGGTACTCGGGGAGGATGCCAGGCTGATGTCACTCCCCTGGCACTGAAAGGGGCCCTGGCCGTGACCTCATTCCCCTGGGCTGGGGGGATGCCAGGCTGGGACCTCACTGGTGGCACTGGGGGATGCCGGTCTGTGGGGTCCCTGTGGTGGCCCTGAGTCAGGGGGCCATCCCGCAGGTGGGGAGGCTGGAGCTGAGCGAGGGGCTCAGCCTGGTGGTGCTGCTGCCACGGGGGCCCCTGGGGGCACTGGAGACCCTGGAGCGGGCGCTGGACCCCCCCACCTTCTTGGCACTGCTGCGGCGAGCAGCACAGACACCCCCCCGGGCCACCACGCTGGCCCTGCCCCGGATGCACCTCGACCTCACCCTGGACGTGGTGCCCCTGGTCCACGACATGGGTAAGGGCACCTGTGATGTCACCACGAGGGCTGGGTGGGCTGAGGGTGACATTGCTCCCTGTGGGATGTCACGGGCTCCTCCTCTGCAAGTCCCTTTCCCCAGTGTCCTTGGAGACTCCAGTTTCCCCAATGTACCTTTGGTTTCCCCTGGGTCCTCCCATGTCCCCAGTGCTCTCACTGTGCCCTGCTGCCCCCAGCACCCCTAATGTCCTCCTGCACCCCAGTGTCCCCATATTATCCCCCATATTATCTCATGTCCCCGGTGGCCCAAATATCCCCATTCTCCCTGGCGTTCCTCAGACCCCTTCATGTCCCTGGTGTGCCTCTGGGGTGTCTTCCATCCCCAGCATCCCCGTGTCCCCCAATGTCCCTGCAGCCCCGTGTCCCTGTGCCCCCCGTTTCCTCTGGATCCCTTGTCCCCCTGGGTGCCCCCGGTGTCCCCTCGCCGCCTTGACCCGCGGGGGTGACCGTGAGCCCATGTGCCGCAGACTTCGGGCTGTTTCTGGACGCAGAGCTGTGCGGGCTGGCAGAGGGCCCGGCCGCGGTGGACACGGCGCGGCACCGGGCGGTGCTGGCGCTGGACGAGGCCGGCGTGGAGGCGGCGGCTGCCATGGCCACCTCGGTGGCGCGCTCGGCGCTGGTGCTGGAGGCGCTACGCCCCTTCCTCTTTGTGCTCTGGCACGACGCCGGCGAGGTGCCCGTCTTCATGGGCCGCCTCAGCGACCCCCGGCCCTGACCCTGCCCCTCCTGTCCCCGCCCTCCCTCCTCTCACCCCTCCGTCCTTCCCTCTTGCCTCCTCCTCGCCCTCCTCCCTCCATCTCCGCCTTCTCCTCTCCCTCCCTCCTTCCCTCTCTCCCTCACCCCTTTCCTCCCTCCCTCCCTCCCTCCATCCCTTGTCCTTCCTTCCACCCCTCCCTCCGCCCATTCAACCACCGTCCAGCTCCATCCTTCCCTCTCCTTTCCCTCCCTCCCTGCTTCCTCCCTCTCTCCCTCCAGTTCTCCCTCCCTCTTCCCCCCTCCCCCCCATCTCCCCGTTCTCCCTGTCCATCTCCCCACCCTTCATCCACCCCAGTTCCCCAGGGTACCAGAGGGTCCCTGCTCCTCCCGTGCCTCAGTTTCCCCACCAGCTCGGGGTCCCAATAAAGGCTCCGAGCCCCTCACTGCTCCTGTGCGTGGGGAGAGGGAGCGGGCCGGGGCCATCAGGGACCCCCACTCTGTGCCAGTGTGCCCGCGGGTCCCCGGCTGTGTGCCAGGAGTCACCCCAGGGTGAGCCAGGGGTGGTGACAGCACCGCGGGCAGGTGACACACAGCATCTTCCTAAAAAAAAAAAAAAAAGCCTTTATTGCCCTAGAAAAGCCCCACAGCCCCCGCGGCTGGGGACGGGCACCGCGACCGGAGGGGCACCGTGGGGGGCACGGGGAAGGTGCAAAGGAGGGTTCACCCAGCGCCAGCCCCCCAACGTGCCCCCACGTGCCCCCCAGTCCCAGCCCTGCCCCCGCGTCAGTCCCAGCCGTTCTCCTTCACCATGTGCGACATCTCGATGATGAACTTCCCCTCCTTGTACTTCTGGCTGCTCTCGAAAGCCTGTTCCTAGGGCAAGGCGGGGGGGCGGCGTCAGCCCCCCGCACCCCGACGGGGGCACCCGGCGTGCTGCCTTCCCCCAGGGCTCAGGGGTGTCCACAGCGAAGGTTTGGGGGGGCCAGAGGATGCCCATTTGGGGTACCCGGAAAAGGGTTTGGGGTGCTTGGGACAGCACCCACAGGGTGGGTTTGGGGTGCCCAGGGGTGTCCAGGGCAGGGGTCGGGGATCCCGGGCAGTGCCCGCAGGGGGTGGGGGAGCCAGCGCAGGGACACTCACGTATTTCCAGCCCAGGGTGGTCTTGCAGCTCTGGCAGAAGATGTCGGCCACCGAGTGCAGCCCCGTCAGCAGCAGGCGCTGCTCAGCCGGGCCACAGCCCACGTTCACCCTGCGCCGAGAGCGGGGTGTCCCACGGGCACGGCAGCCAGCCCGGGAAACCCCGGGACCCCCCCATCCCCCACGGCCCCACCATCGTCCAGTACTCACACGGAGTTGAACAGGTAGGCACGGCCGTGGCTGCCCTGGAAGGACTGGGGGGACACGGCCAGAGTCACTGGTCAGCCCCTCACCTCCTCAGGCACCCCCTCCCGCCACGGCCCCTGCGTGCCCCCCCACGCTGCATTGCCACCGTGCCAGCCCCGGGGACACCGCGGGGGGACACCTGCCCCCCTGGGGACACTGAGTGGGTCACGGTCACCTCCACGGGAACGCCAGGGGGGACACCTGCCATGCCAGGGGCGCCATGGTGGGGAATGCTGGCTGTCCCAGTGCCACCTTGGGGGGAGGCTCAGCGCCTCGAAGGCACAGTGGGGGAGACACCCGCTGTCCCAGCAACCCCCCGGGGACACGATGGGGGTCACTGGCCGTCCCAGTGCCACCCTGGGGGGACGCTCAACACCCCGGGGACACGGTGGGGGAGGACACCCGCTGTCCCGGCCCCCCCCGGGGGACACTGCGGGGCGTCCCGCGGGGGGACAGTCCCCGCCGCGGCTGTGGCACCTTGGAGATGAGCTCCTCGTGGCGGGCCAGGTGCGCCCGGCAGTGCACGCAGCTGTAGGTGCGGTGGGAGCGCGGCAGATAGCTGCGGAAGGTGCGGGGGGGCAGGCGGGCCGCGGGGGCAGGCGGCGGCAGGGCGGGGCTGCATGGCCGGGGGCAGCGCCCGGGGGCACCGCGCAGCCCCTGCACAGCCGCTCGCAGGGGAAGCAGCGCAGCAGCGCGCCCAGAGCCGCCGTCCCGCCCGGCCGCGCTCGGGGGCTCCGCCGGGCCCCGGCAGAAGGAGGCGGGAAAGGGGGGCGGCCTGCGGAAGGGGGAGAAAGGGGTGGTGAGGCGGGGGACTGGGGGCGGGGAGGAACACGGGACTGCTGGACCCCGATTCCCCAGCCTGAGACCGGGCGGCTCGTGGCAGGAGTGAGGGGCAGCACCCGGGGGGCTCCGAGAGAGGGCGGGAGAGGGAGGGCCGAGGGACCGGGGTAGGATGGGAGAGGGGGGGTGTCCCAAGCGGGGTCTGGAGTCCCTTCTTGAGACACCTGGGAGTCCTGGGGGTACATTGAGGGGAAAAGGTTGGGGGTCCCGGGGGGGAGATTGTGTGTCCCGAGGAGGAGAGACTGGGGGTCCCGAGGGGAAATGATGGTGGACCTGACGGGGAGAACTGAGGGTATCGGCAGGGGGAGAATTCAGGGTCCTGTCGAGGAACGATGGGGGTCCCGAAGGGGAGAGATTGGGGGTCCTGAGGAGGGAGGATGAGGGTCTCGAGGGGGGAATTGGGGGTCCCGAGGGGCGATGATGGGGGTCCCAGCGGTAGATTGTGGGTCCCGGGGGGGTATGACGGGCTTCTCCGGGAGGGGACGGGGTGCCGGGTGGGGGCGTATTTGGGGTGGCGAGACAGGAGGACGGGGATACTGCCATGGGGGAGGGCAATCTCAGGAATGCTGTGGGGGCACGATGAGGGGCTCGGTGGGGCTTTGGGGATCTCGCGGGAGGGCACGATGGGGGGGTACCGGGTTCCGTGCGTTCGCGGGGGCCGGGGCCGCTCACCGCCCGCCGCTGTGCCCGCTGCCGCTGTCGCCGCTGTCCCCGGGGCGGGCGCGGGGGGGCCCTGCGTGCCCGGGGGCCGCATCGCGGCACCGTGACTCATCCCGCGGCCGTGACGTCACCGCCCGCCACCGCCGCCGTGACGTCACCGCCCGCCCCTCCGACGTCAGCGCTGCTACCGGGGATGCGCTGCGGCCGCCGGCATCCCCTGGTCCCCCCCTGTGCCCTCCGGTCCCCCCGTGTGTCCCCGTGTCCCTCTACATCTCCTAGTTCCCCCGTGTCCCTCATTTTCCCGTGTACCCCATGTCCATCATATCCTCTATGTCCCATGTGTCCCCCTGTGTCTCCCCTGTCCCCATGTCCTCTTGTCCTCATGTTCTGCCTTGTCCTCCCAATCCCCCCGTGTCCATCATATCCTTTATGTCCCACTGTGTCCCCCCATGTCCCCGCAATCCGCCGTGTCCCCATGTTCTGCCTTGTCCCCCTATGTCTCCCCGTGTCCCTGTGTGTCCCCTGTGCTCCCCCCGTGTCCCCCATGTCCCCGTGTCCTCCTTTATCTCCCGGTCCCCCCGTGTCCTCTCTGTCCCCGCGACTCCTCCCTCTCAGTAACTCCCGGGGCGCACGCAAATGAGATGTAAATCAGGCGAGGTGAAGGGAGGGGACTGGACTACGTGCAAACCCCACGCGAACGACACGCGAACGATGCCGGGAGCCATCCCGAGGGACCGCAGTTGGGGGGGGCACTGTAGTGCGATGCGAAGGAGAGGACGGAACGCAGACACGCACTCTACATGCAAATATATGCAAATGAGATACTAACGAGCCTCAGTCCCCACCCACGTGACCCGAGCGCCCCACGTCATTGGGGAGCAGCACGTGACGCGGGCCCTCCGCTCCCGCCGTCGCGCCGCTCTGACGTCACTTCCAGCGCGACGGCGGCGGGTGCCGGTACCGGGAGTCCCGGGGCGGTGTCATGGCGGACGATGGCGGCGAGGAGAAGAAGCAGGTGGCCAAGTTCGAGCTGGAGCGGGAGACGGAGCTGCGCTTCGAGGTGGAGGCGGCGCAGACGGTGCAGCTAGAGCTGCTGACCGGCATGGCCGAGGTGTTCGGCACCGAGCTCACCCGCAACAAGAAGTTCACGTTCGACGCGGGCGCCAAGGTGGCCGTGTTCACGTGGCACGGCTGCACCGTGCAGCTCAGCGGCCGCACCGAGGTGGCCTACGTGTCGCGGGACACGCCGATGCTGCTGTACCTGAACACGCACACGGCGCTGGAGCAGATGCGGCGCCAGGCAGAGCGCGACGACGAGCGCGGCCCCCGCGTGATGGTGGTGGGGCCCACCGACGTGGGCAAGACCACCGTGTGCCGCCTGCTGCTCAACTATGCCGTGCGGCTGGGCCGGCGGCCCACGTTCGTGGAGCTGGACGTGGGGCAGGGCTCGGTGTCCATCCCCGGCACCATGGGCGCACTGTACATCGAGCGCCCCGCCGACGTCGAGGAGGGCTTCTCCCTGCAGGCCCCCCTCGTCTACCACTTCGGCTCCACCACGCCCGGCACCAACATCAAGCTCTACAACAAGGTGAGCGCCGGAGGGGATCCCCCCCGCCACGCCGGGCGCAGCTCCGGGGGTCTCTGTGCCCCGGGATGTGGGCAGGGCGGCGCGGGGACGGGCGTGGAGGAGATCCCCCCGGGGAGGGGAGAGGGGCCACGGCTGGGCTGTTCCCTACCCCGACTCACCAGTCTGGGGGGGCTCTGAGTGCCCAGGGGGCTGTCCGGGGACAGAACCCTGACCTGGCTGCAGTCCTGGGGCAGTCCCTCCTCCCCAGCTGGAGGGAGGGAAGTGCAGAGGAAGCCGTGAAGCTGCTGAGGGAACTGGGGCACCTCCCCTGTGCAGACAGGCTGGGAAAGGGGGTTTCTACTCGGGCTGGGGAGGAGAAGCTTGTGTGGGGACCCCAGAGCAACCTCCCGGTATCTGAAGGGACTCTTCCCCAGGAACTGGAGTCATGGGACAAAGGGGAACAGGTTCACAGTGACAAGAGAGGAAATTTGGGCTGGATATTGGGGAGGAAGGGTGGTGAGAGTCTGGAAGTTGCCCAGGGGAAGGTGTGGCTGTGCCCCATCCCTATAAGTGTCCAAGGCCAGGCTGCTCAGTGCTGGGAGCAACCTGGGCCAGCGGAAGCTGTTGAGGTTGGAACGGGATAATCTTTGAAGTCCCTTCCCCCCCAGATCACGTCCCGCCTGGCCGACGTGTTCAACCAGCGGTGCGAGGTGAACCGGCGTGCCTCCGTCAGCGGCTGCGTCATCAACACCTGCGGCTGGGTCAAGAGCTCGGGCTACCAGGCCCTGGTGCACGCTGCCTCCGCCTTCGAGGTGGACGTGGTGGTGGTGCTGGACCAGGAGCGCCTCTACAACGAGCTGAAGCGCGACCTGCCGCACTTCGTGCGCACTGTGCTGCTGCCCAAGTCGGGCGGCGTGGTGGAGCGCTCCAAGGACTTCCGCCGGGAGTGCCGGGACGAGCGGATCCGCGAGTACTTCTATGGCTTCCGCGGCTGCTTCTACCCGCACGCCTTCGACGTCAAGTTCTCCGACGTCAAGATCTACAAGGTGGGCGCGCCCACCATCCCGGACTCGTGCCTGCCGCTGGGCATGTCGCAGGAGGACAACCAGCTGAAGCTGGTGCCGGTGACGCCGGGGCGGGACATGGTGCACCACCTGCTGAGCGTCAGCACGGCCGACGGCCCTGACGACAACATCTCGGAGACCAGCGTGGCTGGCTTCATCGTGGTCACCGGCGTCGATCTGGAGCGCCAGGTCTTCACCGTGCTGTCCCCGGCACCGCGGCCCCTGCCCAAGAACTTCCTGCTCATCATGGACATCCGCTTCATGGACCTCAAGTAGAGGGGGGCAGCCGCGTGTGAGCCCCCCCTCCTCCCGGGCAGTACCCCCCTGAGTCCTCCCGGCTGTGTGGCTGCCCTCCACTTTTATACTGTTTTGTACGGTTTGATATTAAATCCGGAAGCCCTCTGCTGTCGGTCCGTGTCAGTGTCATGGGGAATTCCCGGGGGTCATGGGGTGCGGTCGTTCGGTCCCCGCGCTCCCCCCCCCCACCGTGCCCGCAGTGCGCGTTCCCCCGCGCGTCCCCGCGGTGGTGCGTCCCGCGCGTGCGCCGCGTCCCCCGCGCCCCACCGAGCCCGCGCCCCACCGAGCCCCGCGCGCATGCGCGCCGCCGCTCTCGGGGCGGGGCGCGGCGGGGTGGTGGCCAATGGCGGGCGAGCGCGGCGCGCACGCGCGCTGGGGCCGGCCCCGCCCCGCCCGCCCGGAGCCGCCGCCGCCACCGCCGACCGATCCCGGAGCCGCGCGCGGCCCCCCCGGTGAGTCACGTGGGCCGCCAGCACACACACACCGCCCCCCCATCCTCCGCCGCCGCGCCCTCCCCTCCCCGGCCCCGCCGCCGCTCCTCTCGCCGCTCGTCCCGCGGCGGCCGCCCCCGCGCGCCGCTCGGGCCGTGCCCCCGGTGTGTCCCGGCGGCACCCCCAACCCAGCCGCCTCCCGGACGGGCACCAGCCCCTCGCTCCGTCCGCCCGTCCGCGGCCTCAGCCCCCGCCGCGTTCCGCACGGCCGACGCTGCCCGATGGCCGCCGGTGCCTCTGCACGGGAGCGCCGCTTCCTCCTCCTCCTCCCCCTGCCCCGCCGGCAGCGGGCCGTGCTGCGCCGTGCCCCGGGGGCTGGGCCCGGCCGTGCGCCCCGGAGCGGGGCCGGGAGCTCCTCAGGGACGCACTCGCTGCCCCGCACCCGTGCCCGGCCCCGGTGCCCCCGGGAGCACCTTCACCGCCGCGTTCCGCACACCGGCGCCGCCGTCGCGCCTCCGCGGGTTTTTGGGGCGAGTTGGTGCGGCTCCGGCCTGGCCTCTCCACGCCGTTCCCCGACCCCTCCCGCCGGTGCGGGAGGGAGGGGACGGGCTGCCCCCGCGTCCCCCGCGGCTCCGGGGAGTGGTTCCCCCGGACCTGCCGGCTCCTGCCCCGGCGCAGAGCTGCGTCTGGGCGCTCGGGAGACGGGATTCTCTGTACCAGGGTGGATTTGGGGGGTGTAAAGTGCCACCAGAGCCTTGTCTCGATCGGAGCAAGGAGAGCTGATCTTGGAGCCTCTTCCTAGGCTTAATCCAGTTATCACCTTCCTTCCCTCGGGCCCAGGTGCTGCTCTAGCAGACGTTTATTCCCGTTGGATCCCGAGGCCACGAGCCCCGGTCTGGAGATGGAGAGAGGGGTAGTTAGGGGGGGCCTAATGGGGGACCCTGAACTCCCCTGTGAGGGGCCTGTTTGGGAACACTCCCACCTGCAGCTGTGCCCGGCGTGTCCTGGCGCAGTGACAGGAGCCCGGGTCTGTCCGTGCTCACTGTGGGGCCCGGTGGGACACAGCCCCGATGGACCAGCCATGTTTCCTCCTGCCTTGCCCATCTGATGGGGCTAATCCCGCATAAAGCAGCGGGATGGGCTGGGGAAGGAGGGTGGGATCGGTGTAAGCCCCGGGCAGGAGATAAGCACAGAGTGATTCCAGCCTTCTTGCTGTCTGCAGCAGAATATTTGTCCATTTTCCCTGTTCATCCTCCTTGATGCCCTTGTACATCCATCTGGAAGAGAGGAGGGTGTGCAGGATGCAGCAGTTCCACCATGTCCAAATGCACGTTGCTGTGCGTCCTCCTTTGGAATTAGAAGCAAGAAAGTGTCCCAAAAACAGGGCAGTGGTTCCTGTTTGCACACAGGATGGGGACCAGAGGGGAATCTTGTGCTGGGGGGCTGCAGTGGGGCAGGTTTGGGAACATTTCCGCTCTCTCTGATGGATTTTGGAGTCCTAAACGTCAGTGGTAGGTGAGAGCTGGCCGTGCAAGGACAGGGGGAGCAGAAGGAGCTGCACAGGGAAGAGGGAATCTCCTGGTGCCGGGGCTGAGCCCGCGGCAATCTCTGGAACAGCGCCGTGGAACTCCGGGGCGCAGCCGATCAAAACAAAGTGGGAACAGGTAAAGCACATCCCGTCTCCGGCGCAATCCTGGATCTGCCCTCTCTGGGAGTTGCCTCACGTGGAAGGAATTGTTTGTGTGCTTGCCCTGCGCTGTGGGAACTCGGCTGGATCGGGGCAGGTTGGGAGCTGTGGATCCCAGCGGGTGACGCAGGTTTGGGAGCCGGGAAGTGAGGGGGAACTCTGCCCTCCCCGTGCCGTGGGCTCCCATCCCGGGTAGTGGCGGGAGCCCTGTGGTCAATTCCTGGGTGTATTTCCTCCTTCCCGGGCAGGAGTGGAGCGAGGAGCCACAGGGACAGGAGGGAGTGATTAAAGGAAATCCTCAGAAAGGGAGATGAGGGAAACAGGAGCAGCTGCCCTGTGTGAGCAGAGGGAAACCCTGGACTTGAATGCTCCAGGGTTGGCTGAGCAGAGCAGGACTGGGAAAGGGCTGTGAAAGGGGAGTGCTAGGGTGGGAAAATAGGTGGAATTTCTGTGGGAGGGGAAGGGGGAGCGAGCAGTGACAGAGGCACTGGGGGAGGAAGGAGCAGGGCAGGTCTGGAGGAGCAGGAGAGGAATTGCTGGGCTGGAAGTGACAGAGGGAGAGGAATGGGAGGCAAGAGCAGAGCCTGTATGTGTCGCATGGAAGTGACATGAGCTGGGGACTCTTTGGAGCAGGGAATTCTGTGAGTGGCCTTTGGGAATGGGGACAAAGTGTCCAGAGAGACAAAGGGTTTGGGGAGAAGGTGCAGCGAAAGGAAGGGTTGGTAGACCAGAGGTGGGCAGGTTGCAGGGCTGGGAAGGGGGATGGCTGGGGAGGAACATACATGTTTGGGAGAGAATCAGTGGGAATGTGGCCTGAATTGGTGTCATCTGTGGGAATTCAGGGTGGATTTTCCTTGAGTTCTCCTGGGCACCCTGAGGATTGCAGAGCAGAGATTCTGACACGCTGGGCTGGGCTGGGCTTCTGCCCAGGCCTCTGCAGCAGGGCTGGGGGGCTCTGAGGGGGTCTTGCCATGCCATGGGGATCAGGGAGGCATTGCCAGAGCTGTGTGGTGGCTCTGGGAGTCAGGATGGGCTCGGCAGCCTCCTGGTGAGTTGTGGAGTTATTCCGGGCACGAAACAGGGATGCATTTGCATCGGATCTCACTTGGGTGTCACTAATGACAGCGCTTGGGACTTTCCTCCAGCTCAGGTGGCCTGTCCCACGGGTACTTGATTCCATGGGGAGCAGGCTCTGGCACCTCTGCAGGGATCACCCCCTGTGAAGTGCCAGAGCACCTGGATCTTGGGGTGGAAGGGCTGAGGCAGAGCAGGGCCTCGAGGGGAGGGTGGAGATCTCCAGAGGGAGGAATATCAGGGAACACCCCCTTTTGCTTGGCAGGGTCTGTTTGAGCCCAAGGCGTGGCTGTGCCTCCCTGATGGAGCGTTCAAAGGGCTGGGAGCAGATTGCTCCTGCTAAAGCAATCAGCCGTGCTGCCGGCCCTGAACTTGCAACAGCCCATCCCTGGAACTGCTGATAACCCATCCTGGAATTGCTGTCAGCCCCTGTCGCAGGGCTGGGCTCTGTGGGGTGCTGGGCTGTTCCCCAAACCCTGTGGAGGGGCTGGTGCTTTTCCCAGAGCCCGGTGGGCGCAGAGCGGGGCTGGAGAACTGCAGTTCTCCAGGGAGCTCTGTCCCTGCCATGGGAAACAGCTTTCCCTGGTGTCACTGGAGCTGCTGCCAGGTGAAACCAGCACATTCTCTGGGCTGGTCCCTGCATTTCCTCCCCATCCCAAGGGCAGTGAAACCTTGGGGTGGGAAGTTGAGCTCGGGTCCTGCGGGGGACGGGCCGTGGGAGCGGTTCCTGCCTGAGTCAGCTGGGGTGACTGGACCCAGCTCATTGTAACACATCCATGTCATCAAACGTACCTTTTTAGTGTCGGACCGCAGCTCTCCCAGCCTTCAGCCCTGTTTAGTCAGCACCATAGAGTTTCCTGTGTCCATCCCGAAGGAAAAGCTTGGGGAGGCAGGGAAAGCTGGAAGGAGGAAGGCAGGAAGATGCTGGGCTGCATTCGGACCTGGGGAGAGGCAGCGAGGGGAGGGTGGGTGACGAGCAGGATCTGGGGCAATGCGATTGATGGGTGACGGGCTCGTGGTTGTTTGGGGTTTGGGGCAGGTCAGGGCCTCCTGCTCCCATTTCCAGAATGGTTTGGCTTTCCTATTGTCCATGGCACTCCCTCCTGCGTCCTCATCATCAGCCAAGGATGGCACGTTCCCAAGGGCACCTTCAGGCACTTGGGGCTGCCCAGTGAGAAGCCAGCTGTCCTTCACAGAACCATGGCATCCCAGGATGGTTCGGGTTGGAAGGGATCTTGAAGATTGTCCAGTTTCACCCCCTTACTTCCTAGTGGACTCCTCCCACTAGCCCAGGTTGCTCAAGCCCCGTCCAACCTGGCCTTGGACACTTCCAGGGATGGGGCAGCCACAGCTTCTCTGGGCAACCTGTGCCAGGGCCTCCCCACCCTCACAGGGAAGAATTTCCTCCCAATATCCACCTAACCCTGCCCTCTGGTAGTTCAAATCCATTCCCCCTGTCCTGGCACTACAGTTCTTGATAAATCTGGAGCTGCAAAAGCCATGTCCGGTTGGGGGAATGATGCTTTCCATGGGCCTTTCTCATCTCCTACCCTCCAGGGAAGGGGATAAGACTCCTGCATGTCTTTTCCTCCTGTGATCTCCACCCTTGTGTTAAGTCCTGGAGCTTCTGCTCGGCCTCTGCACCTCAGGGAGCTGGTACTCACTGGTGCTGGGATTTGAGCTGGAGCTGCAGGAAGGAATTTGGGGAGGTCCCTCCACTCCTTTGGGGCACAGGGTGGTTTCTTGGGGGGGTCACATATGGGGCAGGGACTGGGGAGCTCACTGGCCCCTCCTTTGGTGTTCCCACATGGCTCTGTCCCTTCTGTCCCTTCTCTTGCCATAGTAATTCCTACTGTTATTTTTTTTCCAGGTGAGCTGTGGTGTGCCAGGCCTCGAGTTTTAATGGTTTTTATGTAGGTTTTTTTTTTTTAAAAAACAAGACAAATGGATGAATGAAGAAGGATTTTTTTGAAAGAAGAGGAGGAAAAAATGGAGAGGTTTGGAACAAACTGAGACCTTCCCTCTGCACTGTCTGGGCCATGGGTGAGACAGACCTGCCCAGCACCACTGCCACCCTTGGGTGTCTGCTGGGGTTGTAAAGGCACTCCCTGAATGCCCCCTTCCAGGTCCCCCCCGTTCACCTGCTGGGAAATGGTTGCTGTTGAGAGGATTTAATGCAATTCCTGTCGATTCGCAACTGCCAAGTGGATACAGAGCCTGTGGAAAGGCCTGAGGGGTCAGGAGAAAGGAGCAAGTAGGAAAACCCACAGTCTGCCAGACCTTCCCCTCCACCCCCCTGGAAAGAAAGGATTTACAGCTCAACCTTGCACCAGCTGTTCCTCGGCTTTAACGGACAAGAGAGAAATAAATAAAATTAAACGGCCACCACCAACCAGCCCCGCATCCCGGTGAAATCAGGGAGAGTGTTCCCGTGACCCCTCCAGCGAGGGGAGGACGGGGAGGAGGAGGAGGCACCGTGAGGAAGCCGAGCAGATTGCTTGGAGACCACCCCCTGCTCCTGTACAGCACCGGGGGCTGCGGCACTGCCGAGGTGGATTAAAAAGGAGAAGTGGCTTCCCCGAGACTCCCAGAGTGGCTTTTTTGCAAGGAGTTTGCTGATCCTGTGCTCTTCCCAGGGTGCTGGCCGGGTGGGAAGCGCCGGGCAAGCCTGGGGAATTCCCTCCCCTGGGAACCTGGCTGCCTGTTTCCTGACGGAGCGAGGCTCGCGAGGACTCCCAGTGTTCCCGCTTCAACGGCTGTTTTAAACCCAAATCCCCTGCTCTGCTCTGGATTTTTGATGGTTTTCAGCCTCCTCTCCTGCACCCACGAGCTCTTGCAGGGCAGGGCGTAGGGTGTGCTCCTCTCCTGGGCCACCAGCTCCAGAGACTTGTCTGGATTATCTGTCCAGGTGGGAGCTTGGCCTGGGAGCGGGCACAGAGGCCGGGAAGGGGTCGGCCCTTGTCCCCCTCCCCTTCTCATCCTGCTCTGACTCCCGTGGGGCCTGGGCTATGCTGCGGGGCGGACCCCCCACCACAGCTCCAACATGCCAGCAGCCTCTGGAAAGAGATTCAAACCCAGCAAGTACGTCCCGGTCTCTGCTGCTGCCATCTTCCTAGTGGGAGCCACCACCCTCTTCTTCGCCTTCACGTGAGTCCCAGCGGCTTGGCCAGAGTCGGGGGGAGTGAGAGGGGGGGACAGAGGACATGGGGAAATAGGGAGAGGTGTTGGTACTTCCTCCCAGAGAGAAGGGGGATGTTGTGCTCCAGGTGGTGGAGTAGCCTGGCGGTCTGTGGAGCAGCAGGACCCGTGTCAGTCAGTCTCCCCCAGCCGGGGGTCCTGGTGAGGCACCGTGTCACCACTCAGCTCCAGATCAGTGGGGCTGGGCACTGGTTTGTGACCTGTGGGTGGAAAACTCAGGGATCATTTTCTCCTGTGGAGCCAGGCGGGGTGGTTTGGTTGGGCCAGGGCAGGATCCGCGGTATTTTTGGAGTTTTGTAATCAATTTGTGAGCCACAGAGGAGAGTTCAGGGAGGAGAACTCTACCCCTTGCACACATCACTGGCTGTCGGTGTCAGCCCTGCCCCAGGCAAACAAGGGTTCAGTGTCCCTGGGAGGACCCAAGGGGGGTGGCCAGTGGGTCACCAGTGCCTTGGGGGTCCACCAGGGTGGGAGATGGTACCGGCTGCTGGAGAGGCCCTGGAGGTGTCCCAGGGCTGCTCTCTCCTGTCGGGCCTCCCTGCCTGGTGCCATGTGCCTCAGTGACGTGCCCTGGGGGTGGTAAGCGGGGGGGGGCAGGACCTGGGGGTGTCGAGGAGGGGGCTGGGCTGCTGTGCTGGCTCTGAGCCCAGGAGAGAGTAGCGGCAGCTGAGGCAGGATGTGCCGGGCAGGAATGGTGTGCCGGGCAGGAAAGCTGGAGCGCGGCAGCCGGACCAACTACCAAACCCTGCAGGGTGTCCCTGGGGTGGGATCTGAGTGGGGATGTGGTTGGGGTCCTGACTGGTGGGAAGGGGATGCACCGTCTGCTGTGGGAAGCCTCTCCTGCTCCCTGGGGTTTTCCTGCTGGGGGTCAGCTGGAGCTGCAGGCAGCTGAAGGTCTGGGTGTGGTGGCTGCTGCCACTCCCTGGAATGGTGGTGGGAAGGTCACTGTGGCTTTGGCACCTGGGAGCCACCGGGCAGTGACAGGGGAACTTGACAACTGAAGGGGAGAGTGGGTTTGGTTCGCACTGTCTGGTTAGGGTGCAGCTGGTGGTGTCACTCAGCACGTGTGGCCGTCCTCTGCCGGGACACCAAGCGGTCACCCAGCTCCCAGGCTCCAGGTTTGGCTGCTCCAGGCTGCCAGACACCTGTGGAAGTTGCTGACTGTGCTCCTGCTCCAGAGGGATGCAGAAGAAGTGGGGGGAGCGGGCCATGTCCTCCAAGCTCTGCGTGACACCCCGTGTGTGACCGGGGAGGGACAGGCTGCCTCTGCAGCCGTGGTTTGGGGGGCTCCCCGGGCAGCTGGACCCCCAAGCCCATCCCGGCCCTGGGCTGTGGCAGCGCCGGGAGCAGCCGCTTATCAGTGCAGGGTGAGAGGCAGCGCTGGAGCCGGCACCGCGGAGCAGGTTTGGCCAGGGCAGGAACACCTGGGCAGGTCGCTGTAATTACAGGTCAGTGGTGTTGTTTAACCTACTTCAGAACATCCGTGAAAGCCTGGGCACAGCATTCCCACGGGGCTCAGCCGGGGGCAGCTGCGCATCCGCCTGGCCCCGGAGTGAGGTGGCAGGGACACAGGCCTGAGGTTTGCTCCCTGCGTGGTTCCAAGGGCCAGGGTGACTTTTGTCCTCCTGGACAAGGACAGCTGGAGCAGCTGCCAGCTGCCCTGCTCGCTGTTGGCATCCCAGCTAAGGCTCATCCTTTGGGAAGTGCAGTGGAAGCTGGGGATGGGTGCTCTGGGAGGCCTCCCCCAGGCAGGGAGCAGCCAGGGCTCGGCACGGCTCTCCAGGCTCCAGCTGTGTTACTTCCAGAGTATCCACTGGCCACCTTTTGGTCTGTGCAGGATTTGTATCTCTGGGCCAAGAACTCTCTTTAATTGATTAATTTAATGAGGAGCTGCTGCCGAGCACGTGGCTGTGGAAATGAGCCGAGGTCGGCTGGGCTGGAGGGGGGGCAGTGGGAGAGGGGATTTTCCTGCCTTTCTCTGGGAAGAGCAGGGGTCCCAGGCTTGGTGGGCTCTCAGACAGGTGTGGATTTAGGATGGAAACTCCCTCATGGGGTCCATTTGTCTATTCCTTCATCGCCCTGCTGGCCAGTCCTGGCTCCTGGTGCGGTTGGTTCTCAGGCTCCCTGTCCCTTCTGGAGCCAGGACACGGACTGGTGCCGTTGGGGAACAGTGCTGTGTGCTCTCCTGGTGGGACCCGAACTTGTAGGAGGGTCAGGGTGAGCAGGGATTGATTGTGTTGGTGCAGGGCCTTGGAGAGCCGGAGGGAGGAGAGGCGTCCTGGGGACGGCTGTGCTGCAGGAAGGGGCAGGGGATGAGGGGCTGTGGAGGGGACAGGGAGCCAGCGGGGAGGGACAGGCTTCTCCGGGCATGACTGGTGGCAAAAAGCCTGTCTTACATCCAGGTGTGACTCAGGGTGCCCGAGGTTCCCAGAGTTCTCTCATGTGCTGCCAGGGACAAGTCCTGACAGCTCTTCTGGCGATGGGCGTGTTGCGTCCCGATCCAATCTGGAGGGGGAACCCGATGAGTGCTGCGGGACATGCATGGCTATGATGGCCAGGAGCCTCCCTCCTCCTCCTCCTGCTCTTCTTCCTTTTCCTCCTCCTGCTCCTGAGGAGCTGGCGCCTGCCCTGCCCGGGGCTGTCCCCGGGGTTGAGGCAGGGCACTCTCTGTCCCGGGAGAGCAAAAGGCAGGAGCACCTCCTGCTCCCGATAAGGAGGTTCCCTCAGGGATGGGTGCCCGGGAGGTGACTCCCTGGCCGTAGGCTCCGTGGGGATTCCTGTGTCCCACAACACAGGGGTCCCTGGGTGCGGGAGAGCCGGGAGGGCAGCAGGGTGCTGGGGAGGAGACCCCGATGTTGTGCTCTTGGCCGGGAATGCTGCACCCCAGTTCTTCCCTCTCTACCTGCCCCAGAGCTTTCCAAGGCAGCTGGATCTTTCCCTGTCTCTCGAGGATCGTATGCTTGGCTTGGCCTGGCTGTTGGCTGTTCCCTGTGCAGGATGGTTGCCCAGCCACGGGCCTTCCTGGCTTCCCTCCATCCCTTTCCAGCAAAGGTTTGGGCTGGGATTTCCCTTCCTGGAGAGAGGAGCTCCTTCCACAGGGTTCCTGGAAGGGCGTTTGCTGCTTTTAGGGCTCCTCTGAGCCCCCTGCCCCTCTCCCTCTGGCAGAGAACAGAGCTGGGGAGCTCAGCTCAGAGATATGGGGTCCTTGGCTCTGGTCTGTTCTTCTGTCTCCGCAACTCCCTGACAGAAAGTTGGAGCCAGGTGGGGCTCGGTCTCTTCTCTCAAGGAACAAGCTCAAGGACAAGATTGCTTCAGATTGCAATTGAGGTTGGATATTAGGGAAAATTTCCTCATGGAAAGGGTTGTTCAGTCCTGGAACAGGCTGTCCAGGGCTGCAGTGAAGTCACAAGCCCACTGACGGTGTTCAAAGAACAACGGTGTGGATGTGGCACTCGGGGACATGGTTCAGTGGTGGCCTTGGCAGTGCTGGGGGAACAGTTGGACTCTGTGATCTTGGAGGGCTTTTCCAACCTGAACACTTCTGCGGTTCCGGGATTCTGTGATTCTTCCCTTGCTCAGGTTGTGGCCTGGTGCTGTCACTCTCCAACACTGCTCTCCGAGGGTTTTGGAGCACGGATTGGAGAGGGCTCCTGCTCTCCAGCCTGTCCCAGCTGTGAAGAATCCTCCTGGCCAGCTTCCAGAGGAGGCAGCAGGGCTGGCAGGGCCGGTGCCAGGCTCGGAGCCGCTCCCCAGCCCGGAGTGGAGCTTGGGGTGACACGCCGGGAGATGCCTTCCCTATACAGAGAGGGGAGGCAGCGCCCAGGGTGCCCGGCAGGGCTCCTGAGGAGCGCGGGTGGAAGGGGCTCTGGTGGGAAGATGGTTTGCAGGAGCAGCCTGGTCCTGTGTGTGGGGCCTGGAGGTGTCCCAGAGGAAGATGAGGAGGAGGAGTGTGCAGGTGGCAGAGCAGGGCTTGGCCCCGCCGTGCTGCTCTCAGCGCTCTCCCGAAGCCAGGGGTCTGCCTTCCCGCTCTCCTCCTGCACTCATTGCTGCACCTGGATGGGGACAGCCTTGGCCTTGGCTTGTGAGAGCTGGTCCCACTGATGATTCCCACCCTCCCCGGGGCACGGAGCCATGCCCGGTGCTGGGAGCGCCCTGCCCGCCTCGCCCTCTGTGCTGCCAGGTGTGTGCCAGGCAGGAGTGTGCCAGGCAGGTTTGTGCCAGGCAGGAGTGCCCACTCCTCCACCCCCTGCCACATCTGCCCTGGCCAGGGTGCCCCCCTGCCCTCCCCTGGGCCCCGGCAGCCCTGCGCTGGGGGCAGAGCCCTGTGCCAAGGCTTTATTCCCAGCTGGAGCCTTGCTGGGGCTCCCAGGGCTGCCTGGCTGGCAGTGGGACCCGTCCCTGCCCAGTGGTGGAGGAAGGGATGGGCCCAGTGCCTGCCCCTTGACCCAACCTGCGGGGGATTACGGCGCTGGCACCATATGTCGCCCTGCCTGCCCAGCCCCACGCTGCTCCGGCCACCCAAATCCATCGGCACTTAGCGCCGCAGGGAGAAGAGAGGGACAGATGCTGCCCTAGATCTGCAGGATTAAATCCCAGCATCAAAGCAGATTAGGGAATTACACTGGCGCCTCCGAGGGGGAAGCCCGCTGTCCTGAGCGTGCTGCCTGCCTGGGGCAGGAGGGAGCAGGGTGATTCTCTCCTGGAGGAGCTGGGTGCTGGTTGGGGTCCTAGCGTCCCACCAGAGCTGTCTCTGGGATGTGAGGGGCAGGAGCAGCCCTGGAGGCGCCGGAGCTGGCACTGGTTTTGTGTCCTCTCACAGGGTCCTCTCTGCGCCCTGTGCAGCTGGTGGGGCACAGGGAGGACAAAGTGCAGGCATTTTCTGGTGTTCTCCCCTGGGTCCCCCCCCATCCCAACCCTGTTCTCACCATGGCTGCTCTGTGTGTCAGTGGGATCCCACATTTCTGTGGGCACGAGGGGTTTTGCTCCCTGGTGGATGATGCCTGGAGCTTGTCCCACTGTGCCCTCAGGGTGCTTCCTGGGCCGGGGTCAGGCTGGGCTGCAGAGGTGGCCCAGGCACAGCTCCAGTTTGGATGTGGGGGGCACTGGGTGGAGCTGTGGGGACAGTGGGGGGTCCCAGGGGGTCTCACTGCTGCTGTGCCCGCAGGTGCCCGGGGCTCAGTCTCTATGTTTCTCCTGTCATCCCCGCCTACAATGCTGTCGTCTTCCTCTTCGTGCTGGCCAACTTCAGCATGGCCACCTTCATGGACCCGGGCATATTCCCACGAGGTGAGTCTGGCTCCAGCCAGTGAGGGTCTTGGGTAGAGCTGCCTCCTTGCACCCTTCCTCTGAGATAAAGGGCATTTCTGGGTCCCAAAGGCTGGTGGAGAGCCCTCCTCGCCCTGCCCAGTCGGATCGGGTGGTGACAGGGACGTCAGCTCTGGGTTCAGCACCCCATGTCGGGTCCCTGGGGCTCAGGTGGTATCGAGGTTCAAGGGCGAGGCTGGGGAGAGCCCCCCAGGCTGTGTTTGGGGGTCCCTGTGCTGGGTGCCAGCAGGGCAATGCTGGGTGCCTCTGGCTCGGGCAGGCAGGGCCTGGCCAGGCCCTGATGCGTGGCCATGCCGGGGTGTTCCCACCAGCTGAGGAGGACGAGGACAAGGAGGACGATTTCCGGGCCCCGCTCTACAAGACGGTGGAGATCAAGGGCATCCAAGTGCGCATGAAGTGGTGCGCGACCTGCCGCTTCTACCGCCCGCCACGCTGCTCCCACTGCAGCGTCTGCGACAACTGCGTGGAGGTGAGGAGCTCCCGGGGCCTGTGCCAGGGCAGGGCAGGGAGCCCCGGCAACACCCCCTCACCATGCCACTCCCCAACACCCCTGCAGGAGTTCGACCACCACTGCCCCTGGGTGAACAACTGCATCGGGCGGCGCAACTACCGCTACTTCTTTCTCTTCCTGCTGTCGCTCACCACGCACATCATGGGGGTCTTTGGCTTCGGGCTGCTCTACGTGCTGTACCAGGTGGAGGAGCTCTCTGGTGTACGCATGGCCGTCACGTATCCTCCCGGCCATGTGGGGACAAGGTGGGGGCCGGGGTGGGGGCCGGGGTTGGCGCGGTGCTGAGCGGGGCTGCGGCTCCTCCTTAGCTGGTTGTGGCAGGATGGTGGTGATGTGCGTGGCCGGGCTGTTCTTCATTCCCGTCGCTGGCCTGACAGGCTTCCACGTGGTGCTCGTGGCCAGGGGCCGCACTACCAACGAACAGGTAGGCCCATGGGGCTATGGAGGGCTGCTGGTCCCGGCGAGGCCACCTACGGATACATTTTGGGGCTCTCCGGAGCAGGGTGAATGTGGATGGGCTGGATTAAGGCTGGGAGGCCCCTGAGCTGGAGGGGCAGAGCACAGGTTGTCTGAGGGGCAGCCTGGGGTTGGGGGTGCTGCCAGAGGATGGAGGCAGGTGGGCACTTCTGGGGGGCAGGAGGCAAGATCAGGGAGACCTTGGGCACTCCAGGGTATAGTCGACCACTTAAACAGGGACCAGGATGAGGGAGAGGATCTCTGAGTATCTCTGTCCTTGGAGATTGTCCTGAGGCTGCTGGACAGACCCTGGCATGTCTGGCTGGGTCGAGCCCCCTGCGGTCCCTGCCTACCCCGAGGCCTGTGACACTCCTTTACCCCGCAGGTAACGGGCAAGTTCCGTGGGGGTGTCAACCCTTTCACCAACGGTTGCTGTAAGAACGTCAGTCGGGTGCTCTGCAGCTCCCCAGCCCCCAGGTGAGCCCAAGCAGCGCAGATACCCCTGGCCCTCATCACACCCAGCCCTGGCATCCCCAGAGAAGCCACCAGGCCGTGATCTTCCTCCCGCCTCCTCCCCAGGTACCTCGGGCGCCCGAAGGCCGAACAGACGGTGCTGGTGAGACCCCCCTTCCTGCGGCCCGAGGTGTCGGATGGTCAGATCACCGTCAAGATCATGGACAACGGTATCCAGACAGAGCTGAAGAGGACGAAGGTGAGGAAGGTGGGGACCAGCGCTGCCCACACTAGGGCCCTCCACGGAGCCCAGGGGTGCGAGCCTGCATCCGTGAGTAGAGAACCGAGTGAGCCTGGTCACATCCCTCGTCCCGCTCCGTGTTGTCTTGTTCTTTGTCCCCACGAGACAAAACCCACATCCCTCCCATGTGGCAGCGGCCACATGAGGCTTCGCCGTTCTTGGTCCCATCCTTCCCTGCACAGCACCCTTTGGAGGTCCCCCCTCCTTGGCACTTCCAGCACCCAGGGCACGCGGCAGCCCCAAGAGCGCAGTCTGTTGGATGGCCCAGGAGCACAGCAAGAGCCCCCACCACTGCCCGCTCCCTGCCCACTCGGGGGGCTGAAGCCTCGGCCCCCTCTGACCCCCCCTGCACTTTGTCTCTGCAGTCCAAGGGGAGCCTGGAAGTGACGGAGAGCCAGTCTGCTGACGCCGAGCCGCCACCCCCACCTAAGCCCGACCTCAGCCGCTACACGGGCCTGAGGACACACTTAACCCTGGCCACCACCGAGGGTAAGGAGGGCACCAGGGCCCCGGCAGCCGCTGGGAAGGGAGCCCAGGGCTGTGCCAGGCAGGCCAGGAGCCAGGGCCATAGGTGGCTTTAACAGGCTGCAGGGCAGACCCGGAGCACACCAGCACCACCGCACTCCCCGGGCCGCTGTGTGCAGCCCCTCGTGCTTGGAGAAGCCTGTGAGATGCTGACAGCCGGAGGGCCGAGCCGGCGCAGCGCTGTCCGGAGCCGTGGGGAGCTGTGCCTTGCAGCCACTGCGCCGCCGGGACGGAGGAGGCAAAGCGGTGGCGGGCTCGGCTCGGCGGCACAGCACGTCTTGGCCGGCTCCTGCCTGGGCTTGGCCAGAGGTGGGATGTGACGGGCAGAGCCTGTGGCAGCTGCTTCCCACAGTGGCTGGGGACCCCACAGCTCTCCCGGCCCCGGCTGGGCTGCACTGCCTGGCCCCGCTGCCCACCAAAGGCTGCAGTGTGTGTGTCCCTGGGGGGAGTGCCCCAGCAACCCCGTGCAGTGCACCCCCCCAGGGTGTCACCCAGCCGGGGCTGCTGCAGGGGCGTGGAAGTGCCAGCTCCACACACGTGGCTGTGGGGACACCCCTTCATCCTGCTCTGTCTCTCCTGCCCCTCTGCCCCTTCCCTCCAGCCCATCCTTCCCTCCCCGGACTGTCCGCCCCAGGCTCGAGCCGGTTTTTGGGCAGGGAAGGCAGGGCTGGGCGCGTTCCTTCCCTGCAGCCCCGGGGAGCTGCTGTCCCCCTGAGTGTTCCCCTCTCTCCCGGTGCAGACAGCAGCCTGCTAGGCAAGGACAGCCCCCCAACTCCCACCATGTACAAGTACCGGCCTGGCTACAGCAGCAGCAGCAGCTCGGCAGCCCTGCCCCACTCCACCAGCGCCAAGGTAAGGCCAGGCCCGGTGTGGAGGACCAGCCCCAAGGGGGTGGTGTTCCTGGTGTGGGGAGGGTTTGGGATGGGTGTCCAGAGCTCTGCAGGGACCCTGTTGTTATTCCATGGCTGACTGCTGTCCTGCCCCTCAGCTGAGCCGAGTGAACAGCCTGAAGGAGCCCAACTCCATCTGTGAGAGCGGCCACAAGCCCAGCTACCGCTCGGAGCCAAGCCTGGAGCCCGAGAGCTTCCGCTCACCCACTTTTGGCAAGAGCTTCCACTTTGACCCCCTGTCCAGCGGCTCCCGCTCCTCCAGCCTCAAGTCGGCGCAGGGCACGGGCTTCGAGACGGGCCACCTGCAGTCCATCCGCTCCGAGGGCACCACCTCCACCTCCTACAAGAGCCTGGTGAACCAGACGCGCAACGGCAGCCTCTCGTATGACAGCCTGCTCACGCCCTCCGACAGCCCCGACTTCGAGTCGGTGCAGGCGGGCCCGGAGCCCGACCCGCCCATGGGCTACACCTCGCCCTTCCTGTCAGCCCGCATCGCCCAGCAGCGAGAGACCGACCTGCACGGCCGCTTCGCCAGCGCCGCCTCCCCCAAGCACGCGGCGCCCCGCGAGCCCTCGCCTGTGCGCTATGACAATCTCTCCCGTCACATCGTGGCCTCCATCCAGGAGCGGGAGAAGCTGCTGCAGCAGCCACCGACCCCGGGCCGGGAGGAGGATGCAGGGCTGGTGGACTCGGGCATCCAGTCAATGCCAGGCTCCAGCAACGCCCCCCGCACCAGCTCCTCCTCGGACGATTCGAAGCGCTCACCCCTGGGCAAGAACCCCCTCACCCGCCCGGCCCTGCCCCGCTTCGGGAAGCCTGAGCCCCCCCCGGCGCTGCGAGTGCGCTCACTGGGCTCTCCCGACCAGCCCGCCACCCCCCACCTGGGCAAATCCGTGTCTTACAGCAGCCAAAAATCAGCCTTGCAGGCTGGCGGCCCTGAGACGGAGGAGGTGGCCTTGCAGCCCTTACTGGCACCAAAGTGAGTATGGCACAAGGCACAGCAGGGTCTGTGGGATGGGACTCTCACTCGTCAGGGAGGTGGCTGCTCAGTGCCCCCGTGCCCAGTGCCGCTCCAACTCCCTGGGGCAGCAAAATGCGGAGAGATGCTGAAGGTTGCCTGAGGAAAGGCAAAGGATATCCTCCTCCCAGAACTAGAGCTGGTGCCCCCCACTCCTCTTTGGTCACCCCATGGGAGCTGGAGTGGGCTGTGAGTGCTGGAGGTCCCTTGGGAGGGCAAGGGAAGTCCTCCTCCTCCTCCTCCCAGAACAGTTGGTTCCCCCCACACCTCCACAGGCCCCTCGGGGACTGGGGTGGGCTGGGGGTCCCTGGGGAGGGCAGGGCTGTGGCTGAGGTGAGCCATCCCCGCTCCTGACCCCGTGTCCGTCCTCTCTTCCCCGCAGGGACGAGGTGCAGATGAGAACAGCCTACAGCAAGTCCAATGGGCAGCCCAAGAGCCTGGGCTCAGCCCCACCGGGCCCGATGCCCCTCAGCAGCCCCACCCGCGGCAGCGTCAAGAAGGTGTCGGGCGTGGGGGGCACCACCTACGAGATCTCGGTATGAGGGGCAGAGCCGCTCCCCCCTCCCCTCCTCCCCGGTGGCCCCCAGGGACGCGCTGCTGGACGCTTGTGGACTCCAGGGGAAGCCGGGCAGGGGCACAGCCCAGCGGCCGCCCTGCCCTTCCCCTTCTCCACCCCTTGGCCTGTGGGGGCTGGCACACACCCTCGGGGGGGCTCTGGGGGGAAGGGGGGGGCTGCAGCCCTGGCACTGCCTCGGCTGCACCAGCCACTTGTGGGCCTTGTGCAATCACCCGCTCGCCTGGCGTGGTAGGAACGGATTGTTTTTAAACCAGAATACTTTTTTTTATTATTATTGTTACGGATTCTATTTTTTTTCTCTTTCCGAGTTACCAGGTGTGTGTATATATAAATATCTATATATATAAATATAAGTATTAAAAAAAAAAAAAAAAAAAAAGAAGCAGAAATTATATATCTTACCCAGAGAGAAACTGCCCGCTCTCTGCCCGGGGGTCTCAGCCCCCCAACCTGGTCTCCATCCCCAAAGGAGGGATGTGGGGTTTCCAGTGCAGGTCCTGGGCATCACTGTCCTACCCCCAGCAGGGTTACAGGGCTGTGGGGTGCCAGGTGCCCCTCTGGTGCCCTGTCCCAAGGTCTCAGATGCTCTCCCCCCAGTCCGTCATGTGTGCAGCCTCCAGCCCCCCAGGGGGCCCACAGACAAGGTAGGACGGGGGCAGCCCCCTCCCACACCCCCAGCCTCTCATGGACTCCAGCTTCCCCCACCCACGGTTTTTGTTCTTTCTCCTTTTCCCTGAGGGCTGTGGTCGGGGGTGGGGATGTTGTGAGTGTTGGTTTTGTTGCCTTTGTTTTTTGTTAATGATTCCAATGGAGTTTCTCGCTGCCACAGGGGTGTTTTAATTTCCATTTGCTTGGGGAAGAGGCAGGTCCGTGGGGCACATCCCCAGAAAGCAATATTTTCTCATCACATGCCAAAAAAAAAACCCGCAGCCAAGGAGCCCCATGCTCCCCATCCCCTGCCCTGCCTGGGCAAAGCCGTGGCCCTGCAGGCACTACTGGACTCTTTCTCTACGGCAACAGCTCCTGTGGCCCCGCAGAGCCACGCCAGGGTTTTTTATTATTATCAGCCATTTTAAAGACGAGGAATAAAAGGATATTTAATGAGCTGCCCCAGGGCCGTGCGTTTGCTTTGTTTGGCGTCCAGGGACGGAGGAACTCCTGTTCCTCGGGGTCTCAGCCTTCCCCATTCTGAGCGGGGAGAGGAAAGAGGGGACTGGGGAGAGGCAAGCCCAGCCGTGTTCTGGGCTGCTTTTGGGGCAAACTGCTCCCACGAAAGGTAAGGATTTTCCAGGCATGGGGAAAGCTGCTCCAGGGAAGGCGTGGCAGGTGCTAGTGAGGCTCGAGATCCGGAGGAGGGCTGTGACTGTGGCTGGAGATCCCGGTGCCCGCGGCAGCTGCCACCTCCGCGCAGGACATGGTGCCTCTCCAGGGGTCCCTCCCATCCTCAGCAGGCCTGGGATGTGAAGGCCAGAGCAGGACAAGGCCAAAGCCAAGGTAGGAGCCAGGCTGAGAGCCAGGGCAGGAGCTCAGGGTGGTGCTGACTGTGCACAGTCCAGGGACCCCTTGCTCAGGGCTGCTCCCCACACCGTGCTGGCCAAGGGTCGTGGCAGCCCTCAGTTCAGAGGGCCGAAAAGCAGGCCCCGACACTCTGGGGTCTTTAGGTACAAAAGCCCGAGGTCAGCACCCCCAGAGTTTGTGCCTCTGGTCCCAGGTGGCTGTGGGGGTGTCCCCTCTGCCAGGGGGTGGACAGGCCAGCCCTGCGCCCCTGCCCAGGGTTACACAGGGCCAAGCCCCTCGGGATCAGCTGGGGCCATTGGCCGGGGGGTCCCCGGGGAGGTGCCGGGGTGGTCTCATCGCAAGCTGCTGCTGGCCTGGGAGCTGCCCACACCCGGGTGCTCCGGGCTGTGCCGGTTCTGCGGAGGAAAGACAGACTTGAGGCCCTGAGAGCTGCTGGGCAGTAGCCCCCTGGGGAACGCGGGCAGGGAACTGGACTCCGGCCCTCCCTACCCACCTTCTTTTTCTTCTTCTCTTTCTTCTTCCTCTTCCGCTCTGGATCCTCCTCTTTTTTCTTCTTTTTCTTCTTGTGGTCGGAGTCTGAGGGGGTTTCTGGGAAAGTGGCAGCGCCAGATGAGCCGAAGCTCCGGCACCACTGGGGGGGGGGGCTGGCTGTGACAGCCCGTTCGTTACCTGGGGGGACGGGGTCCTGCGTGCGGCTTTGCTTGTGCTTGTGCTTATTCTTCTTCTTGGGGGGCTGGATGTGCATCAGCCGACACTGCTCGGGCAGCTGGGGACAGAGGGGGACGGTCAGGCCGCGCCAGCCCCTCCCACCCCCCTCCCAACTGCCGGTCCCGGGCTCACTGGGCCGGCGTGCAGGCGGAACCCGGTCAGCATGGCCCCCGTGAGGGGCGTGAAGGAGCTGCCGCAGATGGGCGGCTTCTCGATGAGCGAGCGCAGGCTGCTGCTGTCGTGGGAGCCGGGCAGGTCGATCATGCCGGGCAGGTCGGGGAGGAAGTTGCTGAGCTTCTCCTTCACCTTCTTCCCGCAGAACTTGTTGTAGGCGTGCTCCAGGTTGTAGTGCGTGATCAGGTTGGTGCTGCCCGTCAGCTCCGTGGTGCCTGGGCGGCGGCGCGAGGGGATAGCGAGAGGGGAACCGGCCCGCCGGGGCACCGGGACCGCTCGGCCTCGCTCCCCACCCCTGCCAAAGCCCTGGGATCCCCCTGCCCTGCCCCGGCCCCGTGACCCCGGCCCCTCCGCCCACCCCAGCCCGGGATCCCCGTGCCCTGCCCCCAACCCCGGGGACCCTCCTGCCGCCCGGCCCGTCCCCTGCGCGCGCCCGTTGCTCGGTCGAGCCGTCAGTTCACCCCGCGACCGCGCCGATTAACCGAGGGCGGCCCACGCCCTGCCCCGCGGCCCGCCCGCACCTGGCAGCTCCCGCAGCAGGTAGAAGGGGCCGGTGGTGGTCTTGCGGGCCGCGTCCTCGCCCGGCTGCGGCGCGGCGGCGGCAGCAGCGGCGGGCGGCGGCGCGGTCCCGGCGCCCGGCGGCTTGGCAGGCCCGAAGCCGAGCGCGGCGGCGGCGGCGGGCGGCGGATCGGCCGCGCCGAACAGCGCCGAGAAGTTCTCCATCTTCCCAGCGTGCCCCGCGCGGGGCCGCCCCGCCCCGCCATGGGCACAGCGCCGGCCCCGCCCCTGCGGCCGTTGCTAAAGGAGACTCATCCCGCCCTCCTGATTGGCGGCCTCTCCTTCTCTGTCCCTCCTCATTGGCCCGCGGCGCAGGGGAGCGCCCGGCGCGCCGCTCGCCATTGGCCGGTTCCGCGAGGCCCCGCCGCCCGCGGGGCAGCGGGCGGGGCGCGGGGAAGATGGCGGTGGTGGCGCCGCTGCTGGCGCTGCTGTGGGCCCTGCCGGGGCTGTGCCGCTGGCTCGCGCGGCCCTACTACCCACTGTCCGCGCTGCTCGCCGCCGCCTTCCTCATCGTGCGCAAGGTCCCGCCGCTCTGCCGTGGGCTGCCCTCGCAGCGGGAGGATGGCAACCCCTGCGACTTTGACTGGGTGAGGCGGCGCGACCTGTCCCGCACCCCCTTGCTCCCCTCCTGCCCTCGCAGCCCCCTGGCCCGGCTGAGGGAGGGCGTGCCCCGTAGCCCCCGTTGTTGCGCTGCCGGTCCAGCAGGCCTCCGGGCACTGGCCGGGCCTGGCAGGAGCGCAGGCTCACGCTGTCCCCTTTCTGTGCCAGCGGGAGGTGGAGATCCTCATGTTCCTCAGCGCCATCGTCATGATGAAGAACCGGCGCTCCAGTGAGTCGAGGGAGCACAGGGGGCTGCTTATGGGGCTTATGGAGCGGAGTGGGATGGAGTCTGGAGCACCAGATCCAGCCCTCCCTCAGGATCCCCCCCAGCCCTTTCGGTGGGGGATCTGGGTCCCATCCCTTCATCCCTGCATCCCGTCTGCAGTCACCGTGGAGCAGCACATCGGGAACATCTTCATGTTCAGCAAAGTGGCCAACGCCATCCTGTTCTTCCGCCTTGACATCCGCATGGGGCTGCTCTACCTCACGCTCTGCATAGGTGAGCCCTGCTGGGGCAGCTCTGGGGCAGCCCTGGAGCCCCCAGTCCAGCCTGTGCCCTGCCTGTGCCCCCGGGAGAGCCCCTTCCTGCCCCCGGGTGACCCTCATGGCCACAGTTGGCTGTGGGTGTGCAGAGTGAGTGTCCTTGGGGAGGACATCTCCCTGCCCCAGACTCGCTGTGTCCTGGTTCTGGAGCAGAGGAGCCCTGTCCCAGCCCCAGCCTGGCTCTGTGGGCTCAGGGTGCTGTCCCTGCAGTGTTCCTGATGACCTGCAAACCCCCCCTGTACATGGGCCCCGAGTACATAAAGTACTTCAGCGACAAAACCATCGATGTGAGTATCTCCCCATCTCTGGGGGTCTCGGGGGGCTCTGCCTTCCTCCCCCCCCCACCCTGAGCCCCTGCCCCGATGGCAGGAGGAGCTGGAGAGGGACAAGCGGGTGACGTGGATCGTGGAGTTTTTCGCCAACTGGTCCAGTGAGTGCCAGTCCTTCGCCCCCATCTTTGCTGACCTCTCTCTCAAGTGAGTGGTGCCCACCAGGGCCTTGGGGGGTTGCAGGGGCTGTGGTCCCCCATGTCCCCCCCCCCAGCTCTTTGTGCCCTCCTGCCCAGGTACAATTGCCAGGGGCTGCAGTTTGGGAAGGTGGACGTGGGCCGGTACACGGATGTCAGCACCAGGTGTGGGGGACATGGCCTGGCCCACCCCAGGGTGGCCCCTGGGACCCCCTGGCCCCCTTGGGCTGCCCGGGGCTCACTGTGGGCCTGTCCTGCCACAGGTACAAGGTCAGCACCTCGCCCCTCACCAAGCAGCTGCCCACCCTCATCCTGTTCCAGGGGGGCACAGAGATCATGCGGCGGCCCCAGATCGACAAGAAGGGCCGGGCCGTGTCCTGGACCTTCTCCGAGGTGGGTGGGACCTTCCTGCCCTTTGCCTGGGAAGGGAGGGGGGCCGTGGGGGTCCCTGGGCCCCCACGGGGGGGACGCTGACGCTGCCTCTGGGCCACAGGAGAACGTGATCCGGGAGTTCAACCTCAACGAGCTCTATCAGAAGGCCAAGAAGCAGTCGAAGCCGCGAGAGGAGGGGCCCGAGGAGGCCCCGCCCGCAGCCGCCGAGCATGCGGAGGGGGAGACCAAGAAGGACAAGTAGAAGTTGCCCTGCGCTGTCGCCCATCACCACACCGCCATCGCGCTGGTGGCACCGGCCTCGCCCGGCCCTGCCCGGCGCCGATCTCCGTGGGGGTCGGTCCCGGCCGAGCCCCGGGAGAGTGGCGGGGCCCTCCGGCCCGGTGCAGGCAGGGCGGTAGGAGGGGCCCCGCCTCGGTTGTAACGCTCGCTCTCATCGCTGACAATAAACGGTCCGTGCGGTGCCCGTGTCCCGTGTCCCGTGTCCCGTGTCCCGTGTCCCGTGTCCCGGTCCGTTCGGGGTGGGGGGGGTGGGGGCTTGCTGACGAGGGCGGGGCCTAGGCGGACGCTCGGTGCTCTGATTGGCTGATGCGGGCGGAGCCACTGAGGCCCTTCCGGCCACGCCCCGTCCCGGCGGCGCGCGCTCCCGGCACGTGGCCAGCGGCAGGTAGGGCCTGTTCTCCGCTTTCCCCGGGAACCCCTCCTTTCCTTTCTCCCTCCCTTTCCCACCCACACGCCGTGGCGGCATCCCTAGATGCAGCACCCCACAGCAGCATCCCAGCGGGAACTCCCCTTTTCCCCCATGGCGCATCGCCGGGGACCGACCCTTCCTGACCCCATTCCGAAGCAGCGTCCGCGTGGGCGGGGGATAGCGGGGTCCTTGGGGTGCCTTCCCACCCCCCAGCGGGATCCCCGGGACCCCGCTCCCCACGATGAGACCTCAGCGTAGCCCCCTCCGCCCCGGCTCTCGCAGGATGGCTCCCCGCGGCAGGAAGCGCGGGGCCCGGCAGTCCGCGGCGGCCGAGGCATCGGAACCGGCGGAAGCCCCGCAGAAGCGGGTGCGGACCCAGGCCCAGGACGAGGGCAGCTCGGGGGGCACCGGCCCCCGCGTCGTCATCGAGCACTGGTGAGCTGCCCCAGTGCCGGGTGGGGGGTAGGGGGAGGCCCTCGGGGTGCCCCCCGGGACGCTGACCCCCGTTGTCCCCACAGCAAGAGCTGACGGGTGTACGGCCGCAACGCGGCGGCGGTGAGCGAGGCCCTGCGCGGGGCCATCGCCCACCTCGCCGTGGACATCAACCCCCGGCCGCCGCGCAGGAACAGCTTCGAGGTGTCCCTGGTGAAGGAGGACGGCAGCAGTAAGTGCTGGCCCGGGACGGGAGCGGCGGGGGCTCCCCGGCCCCCCTGACCCGGCCCCCTTTCCCTCCCCAGCCGTGGAACTGTGGAGCGGCATCGGGAAGGGGCCTCCCCGCAAACTGAAGTTTCCCCAGCCGGAGACCGTGGTGGAAGCCCTGAAGAGCAGCTTGGCATAGGGGCGTTGGCCAGGTGAGCGGGGATGCGATGGGATGGGATGGATAGGATGCAATGGGACCAACTCCCCTCTCCCCACAGCCCAGCCAGGACCAGCACCCATGGCACGAGCATCCATGAAGAGGCGAGACCAAGTGGGGGGCACTGCCAGCCCCAGTCCCGTCCCTGACGCTGCAGCTCTGCCACAGCCGGACCCCTGGCTCCCCTCACACCCCCTTGTCCCCCCAGTCTCCAATAAAGCCCTGCACCCCACAATACAGCTCCAGACTTTTATTCCAATGATGCAGAGGCCAGGGGATACAGCCCCGAGCACAGGCAGTGGCGGGGGACAGAGCCAGCCCCCCCTAGGTGAGGACATCCACCTCCTCATCTGATTCGGAGGAGGGACAGGGCCAGAGGCAGACTGTGCCCACTGGCAGGAACGGCTCCACTGTGCCCACATCCACCTCCTCCTCCTTCTCGGGGTCACTTCTCGGGAATGCCTGCCCACAGCCCTGCTGGGCACATCCTGCTGCCTCCAGGCTGCACTGGAGCTCTGCTGAGGTGGGGACTGTCTGCTTCCCAGTTCACCCACATCCCGGGGGGGCTGTGCTCCTGTCAATCCCCCATGGCCCACTGGCACCGTGGGAGAGGCAGGGGGGGGCTGCATGTCCCGCACCACCTCCCAGCACCCCCTGCTCTCCACCTTCCGCAGCCTCACCCGCCTGATGGGGCTGAGGTGTGTCGGCCCTGGAGAGCGTGGCTGCCCCTGGGGGGACACCCCAGTGCTCCCAGGGGGGATGCTGGTGCCACTGGGCACAGCCCTGTGGAGTGGCATGGTGGGGGAGCCCTGCTGGGGGGAGCACAGGCAGGAGCGGTTGAGCTGCCTCTGGGGTCCCAGCCTCACCAGGCGTCCCCCCTGGAGCTGCAGCGCCTCCAGCTCGGTGATGCGGAGGCGCCGGGCGGCTGCCAGCACCTCCTGCACCTCCTCCTGCTCCACCTCCAGCTCGGCTGTGTAGAAGAAGCGCACGAGCTTGCGCAGCACCCCAATCTTCAGCCCCGCCAGCTCCAGCACCACCCTGCAGCCCCGGGGGGGCAGCTCTGGGCCCAGGTGCTCCATGAAGAAAGGGCTGCAGACGGAGAGGACGCTGCAGTGGGCTACCACTGCCTCGCCTGCAAAGCAATGGCGGCTGTCACTGCCCTGTAGCCCCTCCTCCTCGCCCTGATCCCCCCGGGGGATGGGGGTCGCAGGGACCCCCGCGGTCGGTGCTGCCCGCTCGCTGCTCACCCTCGGCCCGCAGCACCACGTCGCAGAACACGTCCGCCCGCTGCTGCTGCTGGTGGAGGAGCTGGAAGGCCGCGCGCAGCAGGCGGGTGCTGCGGTACCGCAGTGGCGGGGCCGCCGGCGCGGAGCCCATGGGCGGCCTGCGGGGACACGCGGCGCGGCACCGGTGACTCGGCCCGAGCCCGGGCGCGGACGGGGAAGGGGAAGGGGCGGCAGCGACCGGGGCCGGCACCGCCCGCCGCCTCGCGCCCGCCGCCTCGCGTGGCGCCGCCGCCTCGCCCCGCCGCGCCCACCAGCCAATCGGCGCCCGCCCCGCGCGCCCCCCGACCAATGGCGGAAGGGGCCAACGGGGCCATGGCGGCTCTGAGGGAGACGCGGCGGGAGCGGCCCCGGGAGCGGCGAGCGGGGTATGCGGCCCGCGGGGAGCATTTGCTGGGAGCCGCCCGTCGAGGCTGCCCCAGGAGCATTCCGCCGCCTCATAAAGCGCCCACTGTGCTGCCTTGCGTCAGTGTGGCTCCGCATGCACAGCGGTTACAGCAACCCCGGCCCCACCGCTCGGAGACACCCGCCGTTCCGACGGAACAGCCCGGGGTTGCCGTAGATTTTAAATCCGTGCAAAGCTCTCCGACGTGGTCTTGCAGGGGGGGTGTTTCGTCCTGTCGCACGAGTGGCGGTGGGTTTCCTCCCCCGTTGTTGCAAAACGGGCACAAACTAAGGAAGAGCGTGGCTGGTGCCAGGCCCAGGCCAGTGGCTGCTGAGGTCAGTGGCAGCCTCTGTCCCTGCCCCTGGGAGGCTTGGAGCCCGGCCCAAAATACCGAGGGATGCAGCAAAACAAGTAATTTTGCATCAAAGTGCTATCATGTGCTCACAGAAATAGAAGGAAAATAGAGATGTTTCCTCCCCCTGCTCCTTGCAATCCTTTGGAATTACAGTGATTGAATCTGTCACTTGGAAAGCCTGACTTCACCAGGCACTTGGGAGCACTTGGATCCAGATGCCGTGGAGGGCCCTACCTGCAAGCTTGAGCCCCTTGACGGTCAGGAATGTCCAGCGGGGTTTATCTCCTGGTGGGATTCACTGCAGAAGGGAAGGCAAGGCCTAAGACTACACTGGCTGTCCAGGCTCTCTCTGGTTGGTAAGAAAGGACAAGTCCTCTCTTCTCAGTGTCTCACTCAAATCAGCAGATTCTGAGCCAGTTTCTGTAAGAGAAAGGAAATTCTTGTCTCAGGTCTCACAGCAGGGATCATGTTCAGCAATATTGCCTTTGCCTGTGTCACTACTCTGCAGGTTAGGAGCTGCCTCTGAGTCCCTGCTTCCCGGAGGGACCTCGCACAAGGGAAGGATGAAGGCAGGGTCTGAGGCTGGGAAAGGAACTGGAGGGGGGGAAAGGAAGGAGAGACTGTAAGTGGTGATGGATCCTTGTGGGACTGGGAGGGAAGGAGGTTTCTGTGCACTCTTCACTGAGCAAAAGATGTAACAGGAATTTGGACAGCCTGAGAGCACGATGGGATGCTGCCAAATGCTGAGAGTGGGATGATCCGTGGGCATGGGAGGGCCCAGGCACAGCCAGAGGATGGTGGAGGGACCACACCAAGCATATGGATCTGCCAGACACTGCGCTGGGAAGGTGTCATGGTGGGCTCTGGGGCTTGCTTTATTCTGTGGTGTCTTCCATCTGGGGCTGGAAAGCTCCGTCTGGCCCTGCTTGCCTCTTCCCCTCGTCTGAGGGATGAGTTGTTCCACCACCCCTGGTGCCACACTTCCCCTCCTACAGGGAGGGACAGCAACCTGTGGGGATTCCCATAGGAAAGGGGCTGCGGAAGGGCCTTGTTATCCTGACCTGGAACAATGCAGGCCATCCCTCGGCCCCGGTAACGGCGGCATCCCCTTCCTCCTGCCCCCGGCCGCCCAGGAGCGCGGGGCTGCCTTGTAAACAAGTTGTCTTGCTCTGTTCCGGTGGCAGCTGCGCTTCTGGGCGTCTCATCTGGGAAAGGCATCAGCCGGAGGATGAAAGGGGGTGTGCAAGATGTTATTACACGCAATTACTGGAAAACAGGGCAAATTTTCCCATGCTAGTTACACATCTCCTCTTCCCAGGACGCAGAGGGACAGACTCCTCTGCCACCAGAGTTGTATTCAAACAAGAATGTGATCTGTTGCAGGGTAAGCTGGAGCTGGAGGATCAGGGTCCAGCCTACCTTCCAAAATAAGCACGCACTGATGGGTGTTCCAGCTGCTGGGGCAGGGCTGGGGCTGACAGTGCCGTGCAGTGATAGACCCTGTCCAGCTCCATCCTGCAGCCCCGGGGACAAGAGGCAGTGGCCCAGTGTCAGAGGCATGTTTGCAAGAGCACATTTAGTCTTTGAAGAAACTAAAGACTTTAAAGGCTGCTAAATTTTGGGGCTGATCAAAACAGCAACTCTGTCTTCGCCTGGAGTAGCCAGAGGCCTGTGCCCTGCCTGCCTCCCCCTTGCACTTACACTGGTGCCCTGCTCTGGGCCACCCACCTTCCTTGGGACATGTCAGGTGGGCAAGGACTCTCCTTCCCAGAAGGAATTGTGAGAGCACCTCTTCTCCCTCCTTGTCCCCAAGACTCAGGGGATGAACCCACCGTCCTCCTTATGTGGGCAAAGAGGAGGGGAGGGCCGTAGAGGGTTACTTGTGATCTGGGAGCAGTTCTCACTCG